TTAAAAGACCCATCTATTGGCAAATTAAGGAACTTACTATCCTTTACATCCGTGCTTTACATAGTTATTGAACGGCTCGTTGCGTATTCAGAAACGCAGTGACAGTAACCGACGTTTATCTTATTAATAACTTTATTGAACCAACAACTATTTTAAACATAACCGACGCCTTCAGAAACCGGGCATAAGACAAGTATTCGAATCTAATTTTTGTTGTATTAAAATATTGTACTTTAATTTGAAAAATAAATAAATTAGCAATAATGTTGCAATAATGTTCTTTCTTTCAGAATCTATACTCCCAGTACCACGAGGAGGTGGGCGTGTTGTTTGCGAGTGTAGTCAACTTCGACATTTTCTGCAGAGACAGGAGGGCTCTGGACTGTCTGCGCACGCTCAATAATATTATACGTTCGTAATACTTTAGTATTTAATAAATAAATAACGTTAATATTATATATACCTACTATTAATGCCTTTATGTACACACAGAACTATCTCGATGTAATTCTTTCTACGGAACTATGAAAATTTTGCGCACACCAGTGCAGACACCACAAATGGTCCTAAAACCCAATCAACTTGCAGTGGCGTAGCTAGGGAGGCAAGGGCCCTGGTGCATAGGGAGAGAATCGGGCTCTCCTCCCCGCTTTCCGCGCAGTTTGAACTTAGTGATATAAAAATGATTGATAGGGAATACCTAAGAATAGGAAACAGTGGGTTGAATCATCCCTAGTAGGCTAAATCCATACGTCGTCTCTATTAAAATCTTTATGTTCAATGGAAGAAAAAGGGAGTAAATAAACAACGACGCACATAACAATATAGAATATTTTTAATTAAAAGAAAAAACGATTTTTAAGAGAATTCCCCGCCCGATTTACAATCTCTTGCGCGCTTTAATGTTTGGAATTCGTCTATAATTTCACTCAATTCCAAGTTTGATGCCGCCTCATTTTCTATTGCAATCAACGATAAATGTCGGAGGCGATCTTGGCCAATGCTGTTTCTTAAATAATGTTTTATAATCTTCAGTTTACTGAAAGATCTTTCTGCTGCCGCGGAAGTAACAGGAATTGTGTGAAACAGTAGCATCGCTGTATACACTTCTGTAAGGTCACATTCGAGCACGCCAAATTTCGTTATAATTTCTTTGCAAAGCTGGCGAATAGACCACGTCTCCATCAATTGAGGGAGGATCAGATGGTATACATTAAGAAATTGGAGCGAAAAAGTGGGTCCAATTATATCACAATATTTCTTCTGAAACTGATCACATTTTTTGAGTAAAAGCGTTTCATTCCAGCTTAGCAGATTTTTTGGAATCATGAAGTCGAACGATTTACAAATTGCACTCATACCTATAAAACGCGCATCTAATTGATTGATTATTATGTCGAGTACCTACACTGTTGAAAATAGTTACTCTAAAGACTTCTTCCTGGTTTTCGAATCGGTGATCAGAAGCCGATTCATCGAAATGCTTTTTAGTTTTTCTTCGTCGCTTTTCTGGGAAGGTAGGATCGATGTCGTATTTTCTTGCGGTTTCGGTGGCCTTGGACTTGAAGGACTCGAAGTCATTTCTATACTTTTTCAATTTATCCGTTATTTCGTCCAAAGCCTTACTCGCTTCGTCCAAAACGATATCACGTTTTTGCAAAACTTTGGAAACATAATTGATATTATTCAATACGCTGTGCATGAATTCACAAAGAAATACCTACAAACTCGAAATTCAGCATTTTTGATTTTATAATCTCTGCTTCACTGCGTTCGTCTTTACTGGAACTCTTCAGCGTTATTTCGGACAATGCTTTGATGATATCGAAAAAACGAAGTTTGACTGCAGTTATTGAATTAACCCTGCTGGACCATCTTGTTGGATTCAATTTTTTCAAAGTAATTTCTGATTCACCGGTGAATTTCGATAAAAGGTCCCAGCGCTTAATGCTGTTTCCAAAGAAGTTAAATAAGTCTTGAATTGTTGCAAAAACTTCCGAATTTCGACGGAACCTCTAACGGCATCATTTACGATCAAATTCAAATTATGACTGGCGCAATGTACGTACTCTGCGTTTGGCTGAATATCTTTAACTTGTTTTTGCACACCATTATACGCACCACTCATTACACTGGCCACATCATAACCTTGCCCAACACACTTTTTAAAATCAAGACCCTTTTCGGAGAACAACGTAGTAACTTGATTTACCAAATCCGCGCCGCTGTGTTTAATGACTGCGTGAAAACCTAGAAATACCTCTCTTACTTCAATGTCGATTGGTAGTCCATTTTCCGATCTTGATATCACTGCATATCTTACGACAATGCTCAGTTGATCCACTTTTGATATATCCTGCGTTGTATCCATGATGATGGCAAAAAACGGTGACGCCCTAATTCGATCAAACAAATGATTCTCGAGTTTGGTGCCCAAACACTCGATCATTTCATTTTGAATCGTTGCACTCAGGTATCTTGTTGATCCTAAAAACATGGGGGTATTAGAAAACATTAGATTATGATAACATAAATTATAAACACAGTAAACGCGTTGTGTTTCGCCGTGTGAGTGAGGTTACCGGAGGCCCAATCCTTCCCCTTCCCGGACCCTTCCCCAATCCCTCTCTAAAATCTCTAAATCTCCAAATCCCTAATCCCTAAAAGGTCGGCAACGCACTCGTAACTCCTTTGTTGCGGGTATCCATGGGCGGCGCTGATTGCTTACCATCAAGTAATCCGTCAGCTCGTTTGCCGACTTACTACATAAAAAAAATAAAAAAAAACTAGATAATTTCTTACCTTTGGGCATATCCAAAACTTGACGCAAGATGTGGTCGTATCTAGCGACGAGTTGGACAATTGAGAGAAAATTTCCGTGGTTTCCTCTCTCACTCAGATCCTCTCGATGTCCTCTCAAAGCCAAAGAACTCTTCGCAAGAGTAATTATAATATCAAATAATCTGCGAAGAACTTGTCTCCAAAATGATGCTTCTTTGCGAATTTCATCTTCAAGTTCTCTGTCGATGGTGGAACTTTTTTGCCACGCTTCATATACAGCGCACGCCTCCGTGTGTGCTTTCGAGGAACCATGTTGCTTGATTCTGTCTGATAAATGCCTCCAGTCCCGAAATCCATCAGCGAACAACCAACACGGTTGGCAGTAGGCAGCATCCAGCATTTTGGAGTAACATATCCAAAAACGATCAACTGGACCGTATTGTGACGTAGAAACGTAATACGTTTCTGAAAAGCTCCTGTTGTCTTGGTGGGTGTCCTTCGGAAAAGGTCCCGGAGGTTTCAAAGGTCCCTTGTCAAGAATCAGACGTTTTTCGGTATCACTCAGTTTCTTGTTGATATAATTTCCCAAGTCATTTGAAATTTCGAGAACTTTTGAAGATGTAGAAATTGATGATTCCTCTACCGTAGGTTGCACGGAAGCGTCGAGGTAGTCATTTTCAGCAGGGGCATTGATGGTAGTATTTTGAACGATGACTTCGGCACTTTTGAACGATGTTTCGGCTGTTGAAGGAACTGTAGCAGGAAGCGGTTTCGTAAAAAAACTATCTAGCTTAGGCAATTTTTTTTTTCCTTTCTTCTCTTTCTTGTCGTTGTTTCCGCTATGCGGTATCGCTACGTTCCTTTTTTCGTTCCATAATTTTTAATTGGTAACTATCGAAATTTTAGAAATCCGGAGTACTCACTGAGATTTTCCTATATTGCTTGTTAATGTTTAGTATAGATTACAGCAAGCTCAACAGAAAAGAACCATAAAACAGCTTGTTTGGTAATAATGTGGTAAAATCAATGTTAATTCATAAGAAGATATTACCGTTTCTATAGTAGCTCGTTTCTCAATTTGGACTTGAGTTTAGGATAACGTTGGTTATATTTTATTGCCGATCGTTGTGCTGCAACCTGTATCGTACATATCTTGTTATCGGATTTTTTTTTTTGCGAAAATGAGTATTACCTGAAATTGGTGCCGGATGGATGGATGGATGTACGGAATAGAAATCATAACATTAGTGGTGATACTTGATGAAATAAGGCTGGTAGTAGAGGTATTAATCTCGGCTCGGAGGCTCTCTATATTAATATAGAGAGTAGGGAATTACTAAGTACAACAGTAACAGTCAGCGACACACCTAGCATCAACTACTGTAGTACGTCCCAGACGAAATCGCCGGAAATATCATAAATAAGAACTGATGTAAGGCAAGAGCGAATGAAAACTTCATTAACAAGTTGATGGGCGGAATTTGTGAATTGATCTCACGACCGTCAAGCACGTGAGATGAACCAATGTGCTACGGGCGGACTCATCCAAACTACCATATAACTGAAATAACGACAACAAACAAACAACACTTGCTTATCGAAGACGCTTGGCGCATGTGTTGAAAATGTTAAACAAGGAGTTTAATCATTGGGGGTGTTGATTTAAATTTAAAAAAATATTTTTTTTTTTTTCAATTTTTTAATTTTTTTCAAGTTTTCATTTTTTTCAAAGCTGAGGCTAGAGGCCCCCCTGAGCTCGAGGGCCCTGGTGCACGGCACCACCTGGCCCTATGATAGCTACGCCACTGTCAACTTGGCTTCTTTTACGGAACGAGCAGACGGATAACCTAATGGTAAGCAATCAGCGCCACCCGCAACAGCGGAGGAGTTATAAAGCACGTTGCCGACTTTTTGAGGATTAGGAGATTTTGGTACTGGGGAGGGATGGGGCCTCCACTAACCTCACTCACACAACGCTGTGGTTGTTTTATGTGAGGCCGTGGTACTCCGGTCGAGTCGACCTACTCGTGCCGAAGCATAACTCTCGCAATTTTGGCTAAGATTACCTTAATATTGATTTTTCCAATGATAGTTGTTTGGTTGAATTACTGTTTATTTGTAATGCAAGTGATGTGGTGTTTACAGTATCATTTGACCAATTGCTGACGAAACCACAATTTTGTAACATCGAGAAGATAAAGACGATCAGCGCTACGTACATGGCAGCCTCGGGTCTGGATGCAAAACGCAGAGTAAGTATTCATTACACTATTAGTTATTTATACTTATCTGTGATTATCTAAATATTAACCTTCTATGGTAAAGGTCTGTGTTTCGTGCGGTTCCTCTTAGTGTCCGACTAACGTTATTATTTGTTTCTTTTTTTAAGAAAAACTTCCCCACACTAGGATTTTTCTCATGTGTCGTAAGTGCATTTACAATCATAGAGCAATCAATTTGATTTTTTTTTAAGTGGTATCCCTTTGTACCCGTAGTTGTATTAGGGTTAGATCTACTTGCGTTAAATTTCACTTCGCGCCATCTGTTGGTTTGTCGTCAAGAACGGAATTGGTATAAACCAACCATTAACCACCATTTTAAACCTAATATCGGCCTTATAACAAAACAAGGCTATTCTTTAGTCTAGGTTTGAACCAGTTTTTGTATTTCGAATTAAAGGTAGGTGAGAATAAGATTCAAAATTCAAAAACCCTTGGTTAAACCTAGACTAAAATGTATCGTGTGTGTTTGAGCGCACTAATCTCCGGAACTGCTGATTCGAATTGAAAAATTCTGTTAGTCCACTTGTCTAGCAAGAATTCTAGCAAGAATGTAGGCTATAAAACATCACGCTATGATCTGTAGGAGCCGTGTAGTGGGTGAAATCGCGCGAGGGTAGCTAGTTTATAATATTTATTTAACTATTTTATTACTTACATTTTTTACTTTTACAGTCAGGAAAAGACGACCACAAACATCTGCACGCGCTGGTTAATTATGCATTTGCACTCAAAGATGCTCTAGCTGGTATTACAGTTCATAGTTTTGAACTGAAAGCAGGTGAGAGAAAACCTTTATTATTTTTCCCCCTCCTTTCCTTTCTACATTCATTTAGATCAACCATTTTTCTTAACATTACCAAACATTTTAATCCAATTCCTACAAGGGGCCGTCCATAAAGTACATACGTCACATAAATTTCATGATTTTTTGATGTCAAGCTTTGTCCACCCTCTATTCTTTGTCTACGTTGTCCACCTTCTCATGACATGTGATCGTGTCATGGATGACACCTAAGGTTTTCTTAAAGAATAGCACGGCAAATGAGTTTACGTACCTAGGTAAGTAAACACGATTGTTTAAGCCAATAAATTCCACTTACATTGCGCGAGACCGTGTGGTCGGCACTGCTCACTTACAATTTGCACATTTATTCTCTATCCTTTAAATTCTCAACAGAAAGTCAAACACATTGAATAATAAAAACATTTAATGGATGAGACGTCACAAATCCTACATCTCGATATCTCGAATCAAAGCGACCTTTACATTCTGTTCCCTTAAATAATGATTTATTTTGTGCCAGGTATAAGTTGCGGTCCCTTGGTGGGTGGAGTGATAGGCGCTCGGAAGCCGGTGTATGACATCTGGGGTAACACCGTCAATGAGGCTTCGCGGATGGAAAGTACCGGGGAAGCAGGAAAGATACAAGTCACCGCCCATACTCGTGAGGTGAACATATACCTCTATAGTTTTATTTACACGCATCCCACAAGTGTGGGAGAGCCATGCTTCGGGAGGAACGGGTCCGCTGGACCACAGCGTTGTGTTTCGGAGCTTACCGGTGGCCCAATCCTACCCCAATCCCAAAATCCCTAATCTGCAAAAGGACGGCAACGTAGTCGTAACTCCATCGTTGTTGTGGGTGTCCATGGGCGCGCTGATTGCTTACCATCAGGCAGTTCGTCTGCTTGATTGCTATCAAGTAAAAAAACACATCTTTTAAAAGTTGTAAGTAAATATATTTTGCCCGCAGCTTCTGAAAACTGAGTATATTCTAACATGCCGTGGCGATGTACAAGTAAAAGGAAAGGGAATTATGGAGACCTGGTGGGTTACAGATCCATTTTGTGGTATAGTAATGAATTCAAATAAAATGATTTCTTCGAGTGATGATTTGTATATACGACCTCCTCTCCCGGCCCCTGAACGGGAAGACATAGAAGAACCTGGTCAGGTAAATATTTTAAATTTATACCAATCTTGAATTTAGGTAAATAGCAATAATAAAATCGTTAAAAATACTTAGAAATGAATATAATGGCGCGTCCGCCATTATATTCTTAAGAGTTTATTTATTTAATAAGTCTTCATTTCTACCAATACATTTAATACCTTTTTTGTGGGGGGAAATCATCAAATGACTTGTCACGCCCAGGGTGGGACGGGACTGACTAAAAGCACCCCCGTTCCTTTTCCTGCTCTGGAAAACTCCCTCGTTTCTTATCCTGCTCTGGGCCGAGGCCGCGGTGCCTCTTTACGCTTGCCCCGCAACCCCGGCTGAATATTAGCCCTAAAGGGCCCGGCCTGTGGTGGTCTAATGGCTCTTTGAGGCGCGTGCGAGACGTTAAGCGCCGTACGCTCAAGTCTAGTCGCCGGTTCGAGCGACGCCGTCCACAGACTTGCGTTTACAGGTGGTCGGAGATCGTCTCTCGGTCTGTCCAAACTGAAAATAGCAAATTCAACCATAACGCATACATTACTTAGAGAGTGCACCAAACAGCATTCATTGTTCACACACGAATTTATGGTCATAATAGTAATGTGTGCATTACGTTGTATAGTTAAGGCTGAATTTGGTTTGGATGCTATTCAAATCTGTACACTAGTATACCCTATATTGAACCTAATTTAATTAAAATATAAAATACCTATTTGCAGGCTAAATCTTTCGACATTCCTATGAAGAAGAAAAGAAGAATGGTCATAATTACTAAACGCTATTCGAAACGTGATGACCCGAGCAGAAATAACGACCGCAGACGTATTAAATGCTTGGTCGAAAAAGAGGAACCTGGGCCATCTGTACATCCATTTGCTGAGCTCTTGTTTTCCATGCAACAGACGAGAATGCAGATCAACACACACCCGATTTATACGTAAGTATACATATTACGTGCACTTTATGTAAATACACACAAGTGTGGGAGAGCCAAGCTTCAGCACGAATGAGTCGGCTCGACCATGGCCTCACAGAATACCGGCGTGAAACAACCCACCGCGTTGTGTTTCGCCGTGTGAGTGAGGTTACCGGAGGCCCAATCCCTCCCTTTCCCCTATCCTTTCCCGATCTTTATATCTGCAACCCCCTCGTAACCAACGCACTCGTAACTCCTTTGGCGTTGCGGGTGTACATGGGCGGCGCCTATTGCTTACCATCAGGTAATCCGTCTGCTCGTTTGCCGACTTATACCATAAAAAAACACAGTCACAGCAGTAGCACATATACTTTGCAGTAAAGTAGAATCATAGTATAAAAATATATAGAGCCTCGTCTCCTAAAGTAGTTGATTTTAATTATAATATTAAGCAGGCGGACTTAATGCAAGATCATGATGGCCAGGAGGTTAACGCGGCCGATTCTTATGCATGAATCGTAGTACTAGAAGAGATACTACAAGTGTTGCCGACCTCTTGTAAGTCATTTACTGTTGCTTTACGGCCATTTAGTTTACTGTTGCCTTTCTGTGAGGCCGTGGTATGGTACTCCGGTCGCAAGCAAGCTCAAGCATGGCTCCCCGCTTGAACTTTTATGCTCGTTTATCCATAAGCAACGTCCATTAAGATTTAAGGTACCAAAATTACTTTATTCCTTATAAGCATTCTGTCATAATAAGTATTCTGTATTCGACAGGGAAAATGAGGCTTAAAAAAATAAATTAATTAAAGATAAACTTTAAAAATAACTATGATGTACAGATTGGAAAGAGCAGGAGACGAAGATCCTAGTTCAACACCAACGCGCACAACAGCTTCAACACAAACTAGTGGAAATGAGGCAAGTTGTTTTTTAAATTTCAACCTGGTTGTTTTAGTTATATATATATTTATGGTTATTATAGCCGAACGGTTTGAATTATACTATTGTAGTATAATTCAAACCGTTCGGCGCGGGTCTGCGGACGGCGAGCAAGAGTAGTTCGCTACCCGACTAGAACCGCTGCCGAGCGTACGGCGCGTAGCGGTCCGCGACCACCACAGACGGGGCTCTACAAGGCCGATGTTCAGCCAGGGTTGCATTGTAAGGCTAGCGCAATAAGGTACAGCGGCCTCGGCCTAGAGCAGTAGAAGGAACGGTGGGGTTTTTGTCAATAAGAATCTGTCGCTCCATCTCGTCTCACCCTGGGCGAGAGAAGCCATTTGATGATTTTTCCCTCACAAAAAAAGGGATTCTTCGTTTTCAATTCAATGATGCTTCTGAGGAGTACCCACTTTCACGTGGCACATGTCCAGAACATGCAGTTATGCTAACAGAGGTCAAACGTGGGAACGAACTTCTTAGCACCCCAGCCGTCGACGAAGACGCTCCGGGCGGGATCTCGCGTCGGTCTCGGGTATCATATCGAGTATGTAGACGGCGAAAAGGGATCAACGCAACTTTTAAACTAATTTTCAAATAGTCACTATCGTAAGACATAACAAATTGATTTAACAGAGAAAGACTCTACTGGTATTAAGTTAGCTCCTAATTAATAAGATTCCGGTTGTAGCTTGAACCGTTTGAACTAGTAGAGCTTTTCTCAGTTCATTCTAAATCTTTGACGGAAATATTATATATTTAAATATCTTATAAACAAAACATTTGCCTGTTTCAGCTCCAACTGGGAACTTTATTGAATGCGACCCCTGATGCGTAGATGGCGCTACCGTCGCCTAGGGCACCCTGGCCTGGAAAACGGGTACTGCAGTACCAATGATGGACCTCTTAAGGCTGGATTATAGAAACAACGTGCGTTTATGGTCGTTGGAGACCATTCCTATTGCTTCAACCGTTCAACCAAACGTCATAACCACGGAACCACAACCCGCTATACTTTCACGGTGTATGAAGCCACTAAGGTTGAAATATTAACACTTGTGGTAACCTCGCAGTATTATTATAACGTTGCCCTACATAAGGTTTTCTCCTGTGTCGTGGATACGTTCACAAACTACAAATTGGTGTCTCGTTGATTGGTTTGGGAATCGAACCAGCGACAAGTTGCACAGCAACCTTTTGCCCAGCCACAGCGACAGCCAGGAAATAATAATGACTGCACGCCATTATTATTTCCACCACTTCTCTTTATATACCGCAGAATAGGCAATTGTTAGTACCTTTAGGACATATTCTCTATAGAAAAAAAAATATCCACTAAATACGAGTATTGTGCGGGCGGTGCAGGGTGAAATTGCAAATAATTAAACACTCGATTTTCCTTTAATGTTTGACCTTCGCTAAGACCATCCAAACAAAGATTAAAATACTTAATTTTAATATTTCTTTCAAATTCATCTAACATAATAATAGGTATGTATAAAGGGATATTTTAAAATAAAACAAACATATAAACTTTCCATATATAATCGATATAAACATTATAAACAGAAGCGTCTCACATTCAGCTTAACAACTTGCACACGATGACCGACCACAGATTATAAAGTATACGATCAATTGACTTCATTGGAGCCCAAGCATGAATATATTATTGACACCTTACTTCAAACCTTGTAACGATTAAGATAGAGTTAAAAAAGTATTAGATCATTTTGGGATAGCTTGTCGTGTCCAAGAAGTCAAGAAATTGCATAGTATAATCTGTTCACACTAACACTACGGTAACTACTTGTGACATAGACAACTAAACTAGAGAGTTTACAATGACATTTGTAATCGAACAGAATGAAAGTAGGTACGATACCAATTTGAATTCTACATACGTTGTAATAGGGATGCTTTTAGAAGTGAATATAAGAAATCATTTAAATGAATAAAAAAACTAGTTAGAATATAATGTTCTTGACATTTCTGTTTCTTCAAATATGTACTAGTAAGAGTTACAATCCCTCTGAATTATATTTCGCAATGTAAAAAAAATATTTAATTCAATGACGTATCTAACATTCCTGATATTCTTAAACTTCACAAACACCTCCATCTTTATTCCCAAAACAACACCTTTACACCAATAAAAACATCAGAGTTAATCCCAAAATATTTCTTCTGTACTTTAAATAGACTTCGTAAAATGTAAAATAGAACAATCAACATTAAACCTTATGAACATCGAAAAAGGTTGGAAATTGCACTAATTGCTTGACTACGCGAACTACACTTAGCTAACATATTGTGCGCATTTCCTTAACAATTAATAGAGAATTACCGTTTTTTATGCTCAACAGGTGGCGCTAGTAAGAGGCGTGAGTTTTTTTAATATGTAGATTATTTGCATTGTCAAACCTTTGTACATACATTTATTTTCTCACAGCTACAGTGAGTGACAAAGATCTAAAGCTACATTAACGCCATCTAGTGAACGTAAAAAGAAGTAAGCTCTCTTTGCATCAGGGCAAGTTAAAGCCTTAAGTGTAGGTACACAAATTCATTTATCTAACATAAAATCCGTATAATATCAATAATTCATGATTATCATTCATTTTGATCTAATTTCCTTGTGGCAACACTGTTTAAATGACTTAATTATAATCACTTAGGTGACTAGGTATTAAAAACAGCCAAAACCAGGACTTTCTCCTTAGCAATATAAATATTTATATTAAAATTAGGACGCAAAAGCACCGTGAACACAATTACGTAAAAAATTATAACAAAATGTAAGGAAATTTTACAGAAATGATTATATTACATAAACAATTCAACCTGCATGGGAAAAACATCTTTATTACAAATACCAAAGGTTTACTTTGACACAAACTGTAGATGCATCATAGATCATTTTTAATTTTCTATAAAATTCCCTTACTGTGTTATTTTAATGATGTAGCTTATAAATATAAGAGTATGTATAATTTTACATAGGTTATAGAAATAACTTGGTTTTATAAAACTGTAGTATAATTCACGGAAGAACAAATTCATGTCTCTTTATGTATCTTTATGATGTAATGGTTAATTATTTATTGTTATTATTATTTGAGTATAACAGCATCAGAAAATATGTTTTATACATATAAGAACAAATATAAATTTATTTTGTTATAGGACGAAAATTTATTATTATTATTAAGCAAAATAAATGTAACGGTATAGAATTCTAACATTATATTATTAAAACGCTTCAAAAACTTTCTCCATTTATTTTCTACACCTCTCTTGCCAACTATACGCTTCACAAATTCTAGAACTTTCTACATTTCTCTACTGAACACGTTAATCAGGCGAGTTTGTAAACTTACAGCATAAGACGACACACAGACATAATTATATAAATATCTAATATAATAATGATTATATCAAAATGTACAAAATAAAAAACGGAGTTGCATAATTGTATTTATAAAATAATTTGGCTAATGTAGAATAGAAAGCCTTCAATGACCTTAATGTGTGGCAAAAACAATACCTACGGCCATTTTCCATTTTTAAAATAACAACGAAGGTCAGTTACAAAGCAATCAGTTCGAAAAATCAGCCTAATTTTGGTTTGCAGTATACTGATACTGCTGCTGCTATTCAGTAATAGGGATTATGAACTATTTTTTATGGCCTTTTTTTCCTTAATTACTTTAAAAATACTTTTGATGATATACCGATTTGAAATTTTGCGTGACGTCACTTCTAAGTACATTTTAATCTTAGAAATGACGTAGCAATTTTACCTGTTTTATTGAGTAGAAAAAAAATCGTGTCTACCTGACGGTCTAATTCGATTTTTTATTGTTGGCAACCCAACTTCATCATTATGACGTCACTTTTAACCCTTGAAATGGTAAGCTGAACATATACATTGTAATATACCTTTCTCTTAAATAAGAGATTCGTTATTGTTATAATAAAAGCGACTACTCCTAAAATACAACTTTAAATGAATAAAAAAGGTAATAAAATGTACTGAGATACTATCATTTTAGATAGGTTTACTTACTGAGTCGCTTAAAATTCGCCCTACTTTCAGCTTATCTTTTAAATACATATGTTTTCCATAAAAACGAGAACCATCGACATTTGGATATCGAAATATAATCGATAAACAATAGAGAATCGAATTATGTACTCTATTACTAAACAAATACAGTCTACATTTGTAATGTAGTGTAAATAAACTTTGGTTAGATAAACAGCAATAAATATATGCAGAAAATGCTCAATGAGATTCGATTTTAGTCTTGAAATATACAAGATAACATAAACAAGAACATTTATAATATAAAAAATGTATTAACATACGCGTTAATCATAAAAGTATGATACTTTGAAATAGAAAGATTTTTATAAATATATAACTGACAGTAACAAGCGATAGAATATACCAAAACATATATTAGCTACACGACTTCGGTCGCTACTACACAGACTGCTCGTAGTTATGGGCCACGGACACAGCTTGAAACTAGACGAGCACCTTCGAAAAATTTCGAAAGTTAACTGTAATTCAAACTTGATTATAATATTTGAAACATGTAAATCGCGCCTATCTTAAGCTTTATAATGATAAGTCCATAGGACTTATGAAGGCTGTTCGAATACCATACGCACTATGTAAATCCTACAGAACACTTCATTACTTTTCATTCTCTCTCTTTCATATGAAATGAATGTTGTCTGATATGTGAACGAAACCTGTTTTCGCTTAAGTACATTTTTAACATCAAAGATTACTACCGTACTCAGAGCCATTTTAATGATTACTTAAACTAATAATTAGTAGCGATTTGGTTGCAAAAACAATTGCTACGTTACTTAGTTAAGTAATAATTAAATGACTCTCAAATACGATAGTGAGAATTGTTTCAAATCTGTTATTGTCTTTTAATGTATTATTTTTAGACATTATTTAATAAAACTGAAGTTAATTTTTCATCGATTTTTTTTATTAAAGTAATGATTTAAAATAAAAATTCCTAAAACCTCCTTTAATAACCACTCTAGTTTTTCTTCATAACGATTGGAGTGCCAATACGCATTAAAACACAATTTCTCAACTAACTCATAATCATATGCAGCTTTGAGAAATAGTTTAACCAGTTTTATGGCAAAACTAATTTCATTTACCACAATTGCCTGCCGGCACTCCATTCATTACTAATCCGTGGTCAAAATAGCAGCACGATTATTCCTATGCACAAAACCTTTATTCCCTACACTACAAAGAAGGTCAAATTGCACATCTTAGCTTTAAAAGTTAATTATTTCTTCGCACAAAGCAAATTCTTAACACACCTTGAACAAGCAAAATCGGGTGAATTAATATCAGATCACGTATTTCCCTTTTAATCTAATATCTTTGAAAGGGACTAGACTGTACAGTATTCGGTTACTGTTATTGCTTTTTTTATATAATTAGCAAATAAGCAAGTTACATTTCGGTACATAATAGTAATTAATGTAGGTCAGTGTTTTAAGCTTGTATTTTCTGAAAGCTGAAAAGTTTTGAGCATGCCAAGTAGATGTCAGCCTCTCAAGTATAAGGACCGTAACCTGGCAAGTATCAATGTGACTTTTTCAAGGTTATATGTATTTCCTAAAGTGGACGTACGCGTACGTTAAACAAAACCATTGTGAGAAAACCTGAATTTATAATTTCTAGCTATAAGTTTTAAATCGCTAATCGCATCTTCAACCACGTGGTCATTAATGCTAAATCCTTCTCCACTTGCTAATTTCTTCTACTTGTGGGAAGTTTTTGAAGACTTGGTACTGGCTACTGGCTAGACCTAAGTATCGCTAATTTCTCAAGATACTATCCAGTGGAAATCTCTATATGAACTTTTCCAATTAAACTGTAAACTTCCTTTTCTCAGAAGCGTCTTTTACTACTTAATCATCGATGTACTTAATGCTCAAAACTTTTTAGCAACCTTTGTATCATTATGTGACACAATTTAACACACTCTCTCTGTTAACCACGTCTACACGCGATATTTCATTGCTTAGATTAATCCTCCATAGATATACAGCACATCGATATATAAAAAAAACAATAGAACTACCATGGACAGGTGGCAACAGCGCCTTAAGGAACTACTAGACAAACATTCTAGCGTTATATTGTAACTACATTCGATCTACGAAACAATAACGATACGTAAACTTATGTATGATGTATCTGGCCTCAAATAAAGCCTCGTAAAAATAACACAGAAAACAGTATCTTTGGACAACATACATACACAAATTAAAAGTTCAACGACCCAAAAAGATACAATTCCATTTAATATCTATACGTACTTTACTGGCGTTCTTTTTTTAAGGCACTATACGTGCGCAGGCGGCGGTTGGTCGTCGATCTCGCCGACGACATGCTTCCCAATATCCCTGATGTTCTGATGGTCACCGTGGGCAGCTAAATCGAAGTCAGACCCTGACATAGAAGCTATGTGGTTCCAGTTTGAATCTGTCGTATCTCCTACAATTGAAAACAGTGTCAATTATTTTGGAAAATATATATTTAAATAAAACATTAGGTACTTTAAAAACATGCTCGTGATAAGTGTCGTGTATGTGAATTTTGAGTTGAAGCCCTTTGGTATTATGAACGAAGGCGTTCACCATGTATATTTTTACACTGAATTCCAAACAAGCGTGTTTATTTTCATGGTGAAAAAATATCATGATTACAAACTTTATGAATCAAATTCTGTGAGAAACAAGCATTCTGAAGAAGCCTGTACAATATGGGAAAATGATCGACGAAAATTATTATCTGGTCTATTTACTTGTATACTAGAATTTTTAGGATATATTATAATAGAAGTTATATATTTGATTTAATTTTTTATTTAAAGAGCCCTGAATGGGCTTGATTACTTAAGTTAGCAAACCTCGTAAATAAAAAATCTCTCTCCTCGTAAATTATTGCAAATAAAAATTAACTAAAATTACTGAGGGCTGATTCTTCAATAGTCAGATAAATGTTATCTGAGGAATAAAATTGTTGCTGTCACTATCTTATATAAACATTCTTACGCGACAGCATCATAATTATTCGCCAGACAACTTTTATATAACCATTGAAAAATCACCCTAAATTGTTTAAAGATCTTAACATTCCTACCTTCATAACAATAACCAATGCCACACAAACATGCATTCCCAGTAACCTTATGAAAACCCATTACAATCTAGGATAAGGAACCAATAATAATGATTTAGAGGGACCGATTAAAATATCTTACTTCCCAAATTATTTGTAAAAAAAACATGTCAATTATGAATCTTGATGACAAAATGTGAATCGATTAATAATTTAATCAAAGTCTACAAGCTGAAGCGGCCTAAATACGTAAAGCTTAAATCAAATAAGCTTGGTTCTCAATTTATTATAAGTCAAATTGTGGCCGGTGTTAGAACTAACTACGTGGTGTTATTGTGTAAGCCAATCAGTGTTGTTCATTTATTAAAGTGCATTGGAATTTATTTTTAACCGACTACAAAGAAGATTGTACGTAATGATTTGCTATAGAGTAAGATTATAGTCTGTAGAAAGTAGTTTTTTCAACGAAGATGTTATGTTTCATTATACCTTAATAGCATTGAGCAGTTTAATCGGTGAAAAGGAACTTTGCTTTTTTCTACTTTAGTGTGACTTCACAAGTACGATTTGGTTACAATTTTGTATTTTTATTTTTTAATGGGACAAGCCCGCCCCACTCTCCCTTAACCGCTGCAACTCCTGTAAGCCAGGATCTACAGTAGATACAACCGTGAAAACACCGGAACACTGAAGTCCGGCGCGTTCCAGGGACATGAATGACTGTCTTGCCTCCCGCAACGAATCAGAAGATATTATTTGAGGAGAAGATAAAACGAAATAGTTTCCACTTTCCTCGGTAAATTTAATGCAGGAGACAGAATGACTTAGGCCTTAAAGGCACAGAAGAGACTGTACAACTGGGTGAAGCCCAGTCACTAAACACTACAGAAAATTTTGTATTGTTATTGTAATGGGACCTATGTGTGAGCTGCTATAGTTGTTTCCAGTAATAGGTATGGCAAAAACGCCTAAACGCACGGAAATTTGTTCTACATTCCAGAAGGTAAAATTTGGTATGTAGATAGGTATAGGTAGTAAGACATAGCTAGTTATAATCAACATACCACGCGGGTGAAGCGTTGGGCAGACGCTATTAGATCACCTAAAACTTTTAATAAAATGGCAAATGCTATTTTTCTTTTCTTTTTTAAAAAGAAACGTTGCACGACACTAGGATTTTCTCCTTTGTCGTGGGTGCGTTTATAAACATACAATTTCACATACACACACATTCAGACCCGGAACAACAATTTGTAGATCACACAAAGAGTTGTTCCATGCGGGAATCGCCCCTCATCGCTCAGCCACTGCGAACACCGTCTGCAGTCAAAACATTTTGGACACTGATACGAGTATAAAAAAGTCTACTTTATGTCTTTTGGGAAAAATCATTATGTACTCTATTCCAATGCACTTTAAATTCAAATTAGTAGTATAACTATGTCCTTAATACCAATCCTTTGTACCCAGGCATGCTGTTAAGTTGTACAGTAAAATGTTCACTCACACAGCACCGCAGTCTCTGCAGACCTGCTTTCTTCACTAAATCCTTATATTTAATCATATATCAAACTTAAAAACTAACTTAGTATTAAGCGAGCATCAGTTTCAAATTAGTTGAAACATGTTGAGAGGAACTTCAAGAGACTTTGTGATTTATGTATAAGAACTTATGGGTGACATTTGTAATGATAATTCTATGGTCATATTTTAAGCGGTGATAAAATTATTTCAGAAATCGCCTTCTAGGTGAATATACCCCGTGACTATAGTTCTTATGTATTTCTTCCAACTTGACCCTTAAATATAACAGCTTAGTTCAAACACAAATAACTATAGTAATTTGAAAGTACCTGACAGTATATTTTATACCTATAAGAGGTTTAGGAAGCGTTTAAAAGCAATGAATATGATTAATACAAATCAATGATTTCATTACAAGAACTGTTCGAATAAAGCTATGATAACAACCCCACGAACAAACGTCCCGGCATGACGCGAAACCATTCGATTTTTTCTCGAATGCTTTACAATACTAAGCTAGAATACCTTTAAATTAATTAACAACCTTGAAAACCGCACTCAGACACATTTAATGATTACTTAAACTATTATTTAGTATTTTGTTCGAAAATAATTGTGTACAACTTAGTTAAGTACCCATTAAATAACTCTGAGTACGGCAGATCCACACTTAATAAAAAAATCACCCAATGAATACGCGCTGTAGTACAATTGAAGTTCCCAACAACACGATCTAAGACTGCATTGAGCGTGTATGATACATTTTATAGCTATCACACTTATCACACTCGGATAAGCGATCAGAGTCTCCCTCCCCCCTAGAAATCCAGCTCTCTGAAAATATCTATGGATAAAATTTTGTAAAAACTTATAAAACGGTTCAACATAGGTAAATGTGTAATGATATTGCTGTTTAGATTATAATTTTGTTTCCTATGTAATCTCTTGCAGAGTTTAAACACTTATGAATCTCTAGCTTACAGTTAAAAGTTATTGACTTCTTCATTTCAAAGAGTGATTGCGTTGCCATCTTGGTTTATTGTTTAAGTTATAACAAGTGTATCAGAATCTGCTGTTACATTGATAATTGAGGAGTAGGTAGCCCCTTGCGGCTCCTATCAACTGTAGTGGAAATTTTGACAACCGCCTTGCTCGATAAATTTACTACCCAAAATCCTCGAAAATGGACAAGTAATTCCGGAGGTAAAATAGCGTGTTTAAAAAACCAAACACTTGGAAATTCCAAAAAAAAATACAATAAGCGAATTACCCCAAAAAAGAAACGAATTTCAATTCTGCTATAAAAATGTTAATCTAAATCCAAAATATTATTGCAATATCAACACCAATACACAAGTTTACTATGCTGAACTTTGTAACAATAAAGTAATATTGTCCTATTTTTTTTTATATTCCATTTTATAAGCGTATTTTTTTTTATAAGTATTCCTTTTTTAAAAGCAAAAAGCTGGGACAGTATCAAGCATGTAATGGACGTAGCTTCGACCTTAAACAATTCGCACTACTCACTACATGAAACATACCCTGTATATCAATATACAAATCTTGCTGTATAAGATATGTACATCGTACAGGCCAAAAGCGACCTTTTGAAATTCAAAATAGAACTCAAAGTTCCATATCAATCTTCATACAACATTCAAGGTATGTTATTTGGCACACTAAATGGGGGTTTATTTTTAATTTGTTTCCAAAATGGATTTTTATGTTTACTATAGTAATGACGTCATTGTGTAGTAGTAGTATCAAACACACAGAACACAGTCTTTCATACGGATGTAGTTCATTGGCTCGGAAATATAATTAGTTTGCTTGTCTAAGATATTAATATATTTTGACTAGAATAGGTACTCTAACTTTATACTAAATACTAGAAATACTTGGTTTAAAATATTCCATATCAACCTTATCGAAAATGAAACTAAACTCAACTTACTTATTATCGACATTTATAAATAATGAGTACGTAACGGAGTTTGCTTTGCGTTAGCGCAATGGAACGTTAACGCGTTCAGCCCTCTGATTGGTTGGTTCACATTGAACAGGCCAATCAGATCGCCGAATGCCATAAACGTGTCGATTGTGATAATATAAAACAAACTCTCTATGACTATACTTATTAATAGCCGTAGTCAATCTGAAATCTTTACATCGATTTCGATTTTTAGCAATAAGAAGTTAGAAGTAAGAATTAAAGTTTTTGAGTTAACAATGTCTAAATCAATTTGTTGCTATCTCATTTTAATACTAGCTACTCTCGCGCGGTTTCACTCACTGCTCGTGGTGTTTTTGTTATAGCCTAAAGCCCACTGCTCGTGATGTTTTATAGCCTAAAGCCTACTTCAATAAATGGTCTATTAATCAAAAAATTTTTTTTTCAATTTGAACCAGTAGTTTTTGAGATTAGCGCGTTCAAACAAACTCTTCAGCTTTATAATATTATAAGTATAGATTTAATATATTTAGAGCGTAACTACTGTAAAAGCCAATGAACTACGTCCGCGGTTAGTAACCAAAAGGTATAGAGCGAAGCGATTGCGTGCGTACCGTACGTAACTATACGGGCGTGGAGTGAGCGGCACCTTGGTCTCGCACGGACCGCGCGCGAGTCTCCTCCAGGATGAACGAGTTGATCACGTAGGCCTCGCGTCTTATCCGGTCCCGTAACTCTCCGGACATATCCGGGATCGCCCATCGGACTATTATCATCACTAGCGCCACCACGTTCTGTGGGGTAAACGGTAAACATGGTGAGATAATGGCGGCCCTAGTCCGACTAAACAAGTTTATAATTCACGTCACTGCGTTTTTATAAACATTATCTTATGTGTTAACAAAAATATTCATTAAGAAAACATATCATTTTAGGCATTTCAAAGAATCCGGGGTAAAGTAAGACTTCAATTAGACAATCTGACTGCAAAAGTATGAGTTCTAAGTTTGACTCTAGGCAAAGAGCTATGTTGTTATAATATACAATTCAAATAAAATCTCCTACTAGATTTGTATTATAATAATAATAATTTGTACCGGACTAATTTGTTACCTCGAAAACGACGACGAAGGCAAGTCTAGCGCCCATAATGTGCCAATACCAGTTACTATGCTCATAGCTATCGCCCTCCTTGTAATACCAGTAGCCAGGGAAACTAAAACAAAAAGAAGCCTTTTATTTGAACACATTTGTCATAACAACCATGGCAAAATTCAAGCTAAATACATCCTTATAACTTAAAAAATAAAGTCTAAACTCACCTGCACATGGTCTCGTTATACGTCGTCTTGATAGGGGGATGTTCTAACACGCTGATATTGAAGTCTGCAAGCGTATTGTTGACGTATTGGTCCATAGAGCCGTTCGTGAACTGGTACACTAGACGCGGTATGAAGTCCGATGTGAAAGCTATTATGAAACCCTGGGAATATAGAAACACAATTAATGGCAGTTTATAACATTAAAAAAGATATTGCTTAATTTAATGCGATGTTTATCGGTGATTATCATCCTGTAATTAATAAAGCACACAGATTGTATTTTGTCAATTATTAACGTATTTCTTGTTGGAGTCCCTTAATATAAATTAATAAATAAAAAAAGATCCAAAACTTACATTCGTAATAATACTAAGCTTCCCAATAGAGTCGAGTATGCGGTACCAGACGCCGATGTCGTTGACCCGCTGCGGCACGGGGCGGCGGTAGCAGGTCAAAAACTTCTTGGCATCCAACCTCATTTCTAGCACATTGTTGATCAGGGCGAACAGGGGCGCCAGGGGAAACGCCGCCACAAATATTGTCACAAACCCGTATTGTAGAACTGTAGACGACAATAACAGTAATACGTTAATAAAGCACTTTTTTTAAATCAATTAATTGTGAGAGAGCCATGCTTCGGCACGAATGGGTCGGTTCGACCGGAGTGATACCACGGCCTCACAGAAAACCGGCGTAAACGACGTTGTAGTTGTTTCACGCCGATTTTCTGTGAGGCCGTGATATCACTCCGGTCGAACCGGGGTTTCCGTGCCGAAGCTGGCACTCCTACTCTTAAATGCTAATCTTTAAAAAATTGAGAAGTTAACATATTAATATATTAAATATATTTGACTCACCCATTTCCAAGTACTCGGGGAACAATCCCATGTTACCGAAGTCGACTAGTTTAAAATCTTTCACCCATTGCAAAGGACTCTTTATTCTGTAACAAATACAAACGACAATATTACAACGTTGCCACATGAAAAAAAAACAACTGGCAACACTAACCAATTAGACGACATATTTGCTAATGGAATAAAAATAATAAATTCAACATGTATAGAAAGCCTAGTGAATATGAGAATGAAATTCTTTGTTACATTTTCAAAATTCTGAAAATATTAACAAAAACAACAATGGGATAGATTTAAAAACTTTACTCCTCCTTTACGACAAGATTAAACTCTACTAACCTACAATTATTACAAATGTGGAAGTTTGTGACAATGTATGGATGTATGCTTATTATTTACGCGAAAACGGCTCGAACGATTTAGTAAAATTTTGGTATGTAGATAGTTGATATTCTGGATTAATATAAATGTTGCTTTTTATCAAAAGCACCATGCGGGCGAAGCCGCGAGCGGAAGTTAGTATGTAGTAAATATGACTTACTGTCTTTTCCTGCCAATAGTTCTGATGATATACCACCACTTGAGTAGGTACGGCATAAGCATCTCCACAATGGTGTTTATGAACTGCTTGCCCACCATTATAATCGCCAACTGGATCGACAACTCTAACAGACAACCGCCAGGGGCACACTGCAATAACAACAATTAATAGGTAAGAAAAATCAACCTTGTTGCTTAGAAAATAAAAATCCTTAGCCATTAGCTCTTGTAATAGTATAGTCACTTAATAGTAATTAACTCAGTCTTTTAATGTCCCGCGGCCCCGGGTTAGAGGAGGAAAAAAGCCAGAGAGTTTAAGTCAGTGATGGAGTAAGAGGTCGTGTCCTTTTGCTTTGCTTTGATTGCTTACCAACAGGTAATCCGTCAGATCGTTTGCCGACTTATACCATAAAAAAAATAAGGATTTGGAGATGTTAGGATTGGGGAGGACTTGATTGCACACTTCATCATCATCATCAGCCTATAAGTGCCCACTGCTGAGCAAAGGCCTCTTCTCATACGGAGAGGGTTAGAGCATTATTAATCACTACTATTGCTCAATACGGGTTGGCGATTTCAAACTTATAATAAGAAATTATAAGTCCAGGTTTCCTCACGATGTTTACCTTCACCGTATGTCAGTGGTGTCTAAATACCTAATCATAGAATTTGTTTATTATTAGGTATTTAGACACCACTTATTATTTATTATTGACAATTTTATTTTTTGACACTTAATTTTTAATAATAACAATGTTTAAAACCTCTTACCTCTTCCTGTCTATGTCCAAATAACCGCACATAATCTCCTGGCCGACCAATGAGCTTGCCCTTAAAGAAGGCTATATAGAAAATGGACGCGTAATAGTTCACAAATTGCAGTAAGTAGATCTTCAAAGTTAAGGAATCATCGAATTCTGTTTGTGTACGCAAGAGCTCCTTTTCCGTCAGCCATTCTGCTAAGTATTGGTAGACCTAGAAAATAAATTTTGTGTAAATCTTACTAATATTATAAATGCGAAAGTTACGATGTTTAGATGTTTGAATATTTGTTACTCAATCATGCCAAAACGGCTAGATGGATCTGGATGAAATTTGGGACAGGCATAGGTTACACTCCGGAATAGGACATAGGCTACTTTTTATTAACATACTCATGGATAAATGAGGACAGACACAGTTAGTAAATTAAGAAACTGCGACATATAAAAGCGAAAGGTAGTACCGTTTCGAATTGGCGCCCAGCAAGGGACTGAGTATTAAAACTTAAAAAGAGTCTTGAACACAACTTTCAGACCCACTAAATATAGCAGGCGTCAAGAAGATAAAGAAAGATAAAACTACAAAAACTTTTTATGTATTACACATACACTTCTTAAGTATTATTTCAACAACTATATTCCCCCTAAATCCAGATTATGGCGCCCAAATGGGACCAATACGAATAAAATACAAAAGATAACAATACTCACATAATTGAACAAACAGATGAAGCACAAATTGATGCAGGCAGCAGTCGCCGTAGTAAACATTATAGGGTTGTACGTAGTTAGAGCGTTTCCGTTTCGCAAGATTGTGGCGCCCAAAAGGGACATTCGGTATAGGACCACCCCTAATACCGTAGCTAGGGCCATTAGGACTAGAAGAGCGACTACACTGAATGACATGAGGGTTGCCGGGAGACGCATGCGCCAGAATGGTACCATCGGTTCCCGTTCGCCTGTTACCACGTTCAACTGAAAGAAAAAAGATATAAAGCACCGTAAAATAATAATAATTAGGCGTTTATAGCTTGCTTATTCGGAGACGAAAAGTATTATATCATCATACGCGTACTATGAAAATTCTTAAAGACAAATCACAAATACAATATGGCTCATAAAGATCATTTCGTTACCAAACTTATGTTATATGGACAAGACACGATTCCGCTAGTCGCTTACCAACTACCAAGCAACCTTCTTCTCTTTTTAAATCGTAACTTTTCCTCATTAGAACTATGGCGAACTCTCTGAACCATATTTATGTCCATAGGAAATGTCGAACCATACCTGTGTCCTCTTAACATGCGCCAGTCTAGCGAGGTACTGCGGCCGCGGATGTTCCTCGTACACGTCGAAGCCAGTCAGGTCCCAGCGATGCGTCATCTCTGCAGAGTATCGCTTCCATAGCTCAAGGAAACATGCCCCTGGACAAATAAAACATAGATGTAATTCTAATGCACATTCTTTAACACAAGGAGTGATCGAGAAATTATTGCTTTTTTTTTAATGCGACTTAAGTTGGAAGACATGACGATACTCCTATTTCCCTTATTTATATGTAATCAAATTATACGCTAATCTAAAATTTCCAAATCCCCAATCCCCAGAAGATCAGCAAAGCACTCGAAACTACTCCTATGTCACGGGTGTCCATGGTCGTTTGCCGACCTAACACATAGGAAAGAAAAGTACTCACCCCAAAAACTCATGAATATAGCGAAGAACACAGTGGTGGGGTTATCAAAGAGGTAGGTTATCCGAGACTGAAGACACGTCGCCTTTAGATCCCAGAAGTCGCAGAAGTAATCACATTGCGGACACATCTTTACAGACGAGTTGTAGTTGCATACGTCTTCACTAAAATGGAAATTATTTACCATTAAACAATTTATAAATCTATATTAATATTATAAATAGGTAAAAATTGTAAGTTTGTATGTAGTAATCTTTGGAACCGCTGGTCGGATTGCCAAAATTCTTTCACTGGTAGAATGTTCCTGGGTGCTAAAAGCTATTAAAACATCACGCTGCGATTAAATGGAGCCGACAATAATATCTAATGTTAATGTAAAATTTTATATTTTAAATATTATTCCTTCGTCGTGGTGGCCGAGCCTAATTCTATTGCTAATTATCCCACACTATTTGTAAATAACATCCTATAAAGAACATTGTATTATTAAAAATGCTAGAGAGATTTTGCAGTCATCATCATCATCAGCCTATAAGTGAACACTGCTGAACACCCTGCTGGCATGGCTTTTTTAAGGGATAAGTTGGCAATGCTGAACAACTGCTGAGCCTCTTCTCACACAGAGAAGGTTTGAGCTTTAATCTTGCTTGCTTGCTGAGCGTGGGCGCCTTAACCTGTAGGTTAAGAGGAGATGATGATGATGATGATGATGATGATGATGGTGGGTGTGGTGGTGGTGATGATGATGATGATGGTGGTGGTGGGTGTGGTGATGATGATGATGATGATGATGATGGTGGTGGTGGTGGTTGTGGTGGTGGTGATGATGATGATGATGATGATGCAATATATCTCCAGCATTTTTTATATTGAAATATTCTTTTTAGAATGTTATTTACAAGTAGTGTTAGACAAATAGCCAATAGAATTTAAGCGAGTCAATAGGAGAACAGTATTACTATTTTTTAAATTGGTCTAGAAAACTTATCGGCTTTAGAAAACTAAACTGATATATTAGCACTAAGAACTAATTAATCGACTTCAAAAAAAAGGAGGATCTCATTTTGTTTAACGTTTAACTTACCTAGGCGTATCACCGTAAACAGTGGCAGTTTTTTTTATATTGGTGTAATTTTTTTTTTTATGTGCTTTATAAAACTAAACTTTGATGTTTTAGCACTAAGAACTAATATTGGTAAACTTACCTAGGCGTATTATCGTAAACAGTGGCAGCGGAGTAGATGACGCATATTACGCCTACTATAGAGGCAGGTATGAGCATGTGTGTGTAAAAACCGAGCCAAGCAAAGTATAAACCTGAAACAAAACCATAGAAATCATAATAATATAATAATCATCATCATTTATTACCTTACTGGCGACCCGTTCCGGCTTCGCACGTATCAATGCTGATACTAAACTTCTCCACTATGTAATGGGTGTTATTTAATATTTATTTTAGTGACCCGCCCTGGCTTCGCTAAGGTAAATTTAAATATAAATATAATTTTGTAAATTGATTTCGATACATTTTTCAGAACATGCTCACGGACTCATGTTTTTTAGATAAACGACTGGTCATCTGATTTTCTTTGGAAGTGCATTCGAAAGAAGACTGAAGATCAGTCATAATACACGATCAATGGCTTTTTAAGGGATAGGTAGGCAAACGAGCATTCGTATTACCTGATGGTAAGCAATCGGCGCTAAGGAGACCACAAAGGAGCACCAAAGGAGCTACGAGTGCTTTGCCAGCCGTTTGGGGATAAGGGTTTCAGATATTTAAGGATGGGGAGAGGGGAGGGATTGGACCTCCAGCAATTAAGTCCGGAGTGAAAGCAAATACAAATAAAAAGAAATACTATATACCTATTTTAACACCAAAATAATCCTTGACGTAGTCTAAAGGTTGATACTTGATACATTTGGAGACGGCGGCCCATTCTGTATACAAGAGGTGCCGCATGGACCCGGGAGTTTTGAGATCACCCTGTAACAACAACGTTATTATCAGTAATACAGACTTTGTGTCAATGTTTATAAGACTGATTATTGCATTTAGCTTGATGTTAGACTATTATTTTTTATTAGAAACTAGCTTTAGTCCGCGACGTCGTTCGCGTCGTAAAGTGACTTCCTGCAGATTTTTGGTTTAAAAACAATCTTTTGCCCTTTCTTGAGTTCCAAACTATGTACCAAATTTCACACAAATCGGTTCAGTAGTTAAGGCGTGAAGAAAAGACAGACAGACAAATGAGACTTACTTTCGCATTTCTAATATTAGTTTGAATTAAAATAATACAATTTGGAGAAAAAACTAGACATTTCGTGTGTTTTAAAATATGGTTAACAAAACGGTAAACCCATTGTTAGCTATTCAATACTAGTCAAGAGGCAAGAACAAGTCTTCTTTCGAGAAACTTCCAACTTTATTTTGTAAAATTATAAAATGTTACTCACGTCGTGTAGGGGGTAGGCAGCGCTATAAGTACAATTAGATATCAGTCTTGTGATGCCAAAGGCGAAGTCGTCGTTCGTAGCCTCTGAGAACTTTTTTCGGTCGAGAATGAACTGAACGATGCGGGAACGAATGGATGGTGTCCAGAAGCATTCAGCTGTCGTGTCGAATCTGAAATTAATAATAATTCAATACTTAAGTTTTTCAAAAGGAAAGCAATCAGCACCGCTCACGGACATCCGCAACGCCGAAGGAGTATCAACGTCACAGGTGCATTGACGGCCTTATATGGATTGTTAGAGATTAGATTATTGGAGATTTGGGGATTTCTTCCCTCACACGGGCAGCAAAACTTAACGTGAGAGAGCACGGCACGAATGGTCTGGCTCGACCGGAGTGATACCACGGCCTAACTCACTAACACTGGTACTACAAACCCCAACCCCCAAAAAGTCCTTAACATTACCCATTTTGATAAAAATGGCTGCCAAATAATGACAATCGATATAACTACTGACAACGAAGCAGTATCATAATCCAAAATATTGACTAATGTAGTTGCTACAACGCTGATTAGCATATTAAAGTGCAGAGACTGATTAGCATATTAAAGTGCAACTTAATGGCACTGTAAAGCGCCGGAGCTAATGTGGGTGGACTATTGACTATAGTGATTCATTAACAAAGCACATATGAATGACATCAAAGATGCTTTATAGCAGTGCCAAATAAAACCTCAAAACTGAGAACTCCTTTCGTCCAAAAAGGTTAAATAGTAAAAATTTGTTTACAAAAAAGTAAACAAAAAAGTCAGAATAAACTTAAATGTGGGAGAACCAAGCTTTAGTCGGCTCGATCGGAGTTATACCACGGCCTCACAAAAAACCGGCTTGCAACAACCACAGCGTTGTGTTTCGCCATGTGATTAAGGCTACGGGAGGCCCAATCCTTCCCCCTTCATTAAATAATTCCTTTCCAATACTTAAATATCCCAAACCCTTATCACCAAAAGGACGGTAACGCACTTGTAACTCCTTCGGTGTTGCAAGCGTCCATAGACGGCGCCGATTGCGACCCATACGATGAAAAAAAAAATTGAAACATCCAAACAGAAAACAAATAAAATAAACCTTATTCCTAGTCATTTAGAATCATGTAAATACAGCAAAACATGCTAAAACAAATTTAGCAGATAAAGAAGTACTCTATCTGATTGTCTGAATGTTAGTTTTGTTTGATTCAGTTCTCTTTGTATAGGATTAAAGGTGTGAATAACATAAAAATAGGAGTACGGTTATCTTGTTATCATTATATAGAGACACTATAAAGAGAAGTACGTTGGGAATTTTAATGTTTAAGAGGTTATTTCTGAATATTGCCATCGTTTGTCGAATATAAAGCTATATTGTTATCAAGTAATAAAGACTGTTTTGTTTCGAGTGACTGCAGATGTTTTTATGGCATACGACGGCAGATAAGCAGATCACTTGATGTAGCATTGAAATTATCAACACTTGAGGAGGTACAAATGCTTTATCGGCGTTTAGGGATTGGTAATACGGTAACCTTAGGATTAGGGATGGGGGTTCAAGAATGGGGGGAGAATTGATCCTGATCCTCCTGATCAACGTTTTTCATTTATTGACGATGAAAACTCCAGAAAACATTCTGAACACTCCAGTACATTACTGAAACTAATGGGACCGAATATCTCAATAAAAATAGAAATAGTGACCTGATTGCGGTCTGCTATACCATATCCGAGTTTTATTTAATACTGTTGGAGCCACGGAATAGAAAATACAGTGGAAGTGCCGCTCAGACATCGCGCGCTAACCAACATGATGACTAGTTATACAACATTTTGGCACATTTGTTGTCAGCATCGTTCGATCCGTTGTCATGATTGGTTGTCATGGTTGCCTTTATGAAACACGAAATATATTAGAAATTATGCCTTGTTGTGCGGTTTTCAACTGCAAAAAAGTAAGCAGAAAAAAAGATGAGTCTTGTGGTGGTGTATCGTATCATCTTTGAGTATTAACCTTTGTTAATTTTAAATATATTTGATTTTAATGTAAATATCACATTTCATTACTTCAATGCAAACTATAAAGGGCCTTATTTTCATTACAATTAAGTTTAAATCTACTTGTTCGTTATATGACGTTAAATACAATACATTCTAGTAGTTTCGACGCTACTCATTTAGGGATGCGACATATTCGTAAAATAGGTTCATATCGATAATTTTTCATCATCATCGTTCAGAAAATTGTTTTTGACAAATTTTGTGTATAATTCATAAATGTTTAACTAAGATTGCATAGACACATCAACGTTTTAACCACACACAGCGTGCATCCGTCTGTGGCAGGTGCGGGTGGTTAATCACCATTTTTATTTTATAACTAGTTTTCGCCAGCGGCTTCGCCCGCGTGCTGTGTTGATAAAAAGCAGCAAATAGCAATAGAACAAAATCTAAGTATACATAAAATTTGGTATTTATCGTCTCATTTTTATTGGTACATCTCCAATGGGTAAATACTCTATTACTTACTAAGTCTCCGCAGTCCGTCCGTCAATAGATAGAAAGGTACGGATCTAACTAATAGGTAAGAGTTACAAATATTTGATAAAACCTATATTAAGTATATTATATTTTATACCGCATCGTGTCGAGCACGGCAACCGCTACACAAAAATAATTCTTATACCATGATTCAGTGTTCACTTGCGACGGCGCTATGTCTTATTATCCGAATTGCTAAACTATCAGGAGTTACACGTGCTATTGTGAGTTAACCATAAAAGATAGACATATGCTGTAAATCATTTTTTTTAGACAATTTAATTTAAAATATTTCCGTCATACATAATTTCTATGTAAGTTTAACCATTAAGGTTACACACGCGACTGAAACTTACAAAAGGGAGTAACTTCTCTCGTTTTCCTAACATTTTCCTTCACTGCTCTGCTCCTATTATTTGTAGCGTGATGAAAAGTATCCTATCACCTGCCCAGAAGTATAAAGAATAATTGTACCAAGTTTTGTTAAAATTCGTCGAGTAGTTTTTGTTTCTATAAAGAACATACAAACAGACAGACAGACAGACAAAATTTTTACTGATTGCATTTTTGGCATCAGTATCGATCACTAATCACCCCCTGGTAGTTATTTTGAAAATATATTTAATGTACAGAATTGAGCCCTCTACAGATTTATTATAAGTAGGTATAGATGTTGTACATGATTTTTATCAGAGTTCCAAAAAGGAGAGTGACTCTCAATTCGACTGTAACATTTTTTTTTTTGTTTTTTCGTCTCCGATATTTATGAACCGATTTTAATGATTCTATTTTAGTTGGAAAGGAGATAAAACTTGTAGGAGCGCGCAGTGCTTTTATATGTTAAAATCGAAATCTTTAATAATAACTTGACCATCTCCAAAAAACATTAAATCTTCCAAAAATATGTTAATATTTTTCTTTTTTTCTTTTAGAACCTTTTTCATTACTGATCATTTGTAGGTATATCGTGTCGATAAATTATATTGCTCACACGAATACAAAAACATCGATATATTGGGATACCCTGCCCTATCTGAGTAGCAAAATAGTAAATGTCTATTGGTACAAGTGCATACAAATATGACATCTATTTCAAAGAAGTTAGCGTTTTGAATAGAATGAATTTGTTACAGCGCCATCTAACGTTGAGTGGCTGAACCCGTTTGTAAATTGTTTTATTTAAGTTTTTTACACGATAGACGCCTTTATTGATTGTGACATGTGAAATGATAACAACTTTCGCTCATTGTTATAAGACTCAATTTTTAACAACATTTAGAAGATGATTTGCTAAAGTTGCGTTTCATCTTTTTATCCAATTATATAGCTGTTTTTTATGTGTGTAATGGACAATTTGATTTGCGAATGTGTGATTTTGGCGACACTGGTTTTCCTTTTGAAAGAGTGTAGGGGCACTTCTACTTAATTTTCTGTTCTGTGGTTGGAGCGCTTGTCCTCCAAATTAGTAAGTATTAAAATCAGAGTGTGTTATTGTAAATGGGACACACATTATTATCTCTTTTTTGGAAAAATAATCAAATGACTACTCTCGCCCAGGGTATGGCGAGAGAGACTGACTTAAAAGCGGAAAAGCCCCTGTTCCTTCTCCCGCTCCAGACCGAGGCTGATGCGCTTGACCCACGACCACTAACAACACCCATATCTGAAGGAAAACAATCATAATACACTGTGGGAGTACCTAGTTTCGGCACGAATGGGTCAGTTTGGAGTGTTACCACGGCCTCACAGGCCACAGTTGTGTTTCGCCTTGTGATTGAGGTTACCGGAGGCCCACTCCCTCTTCCTCTCCGCATCCCTTCAAAATTCTTAAATATCCGCAACCCTTATCCGTAAAAGACTGGCAACGCACTTGTAATTCTTTTGGTGTTGAGGGTGTCGCTTGCTCGCTTGCAGACTTATTCCATAAAAATAATACTTACAAATATTCCTTGTCCTTCGAGTATATGGCAGTGAGTCGGTGTTTCCTCTCGGGGAACATGTCAGTGTCGACGCGTATCTTCGACATGAAGCGATCCCAGCAAGCGTCCACTTGTTCCACCAGGCTGTTCGTCTTCTCGTGCACGTCTTTCAATGCTGTGAACTAATTTCCCAAGTACGGAAACTTAGTAGAATCATTTTATACGACTTTCAACCATATTCCACTGTAATGAGATTGAAAATCTATTCAATGCGTTACGGAATTACGAATAGATAGTTATGAACACTATAAGGGGTGTTTTATATTTCACTTTAGTCTTTTTATAAAATATTTGTTTTGAATGCATTACAATGAATAAATATAAAATAATATAGTCTGTGAATTAAATTTAATTCGTAATAAAAGTTTGGGATGCATAAATTAATTATGTAATTACATTTTCAAGCAATGAACAGCTGGCAGTAGCACATTTATTTTTTATTATCTTGTTTTTTAAATGGGTTGGATTATTTTCTGTGACAAATATAATTTTGATATTAAATGAATTAATATAGTGCATCATCTCACTAAGTAAGGAGTGTTTATTTAATTATTAAAAATATGTTTTGAAATGTATACAAAGTACAACCGACAAAATACAGAGTTACTGCATTTAAAAAAAATTGTCACTAATCCATTATCATTCTTATACATAGTATCTGTCACGCGCGCTTGTAATTTTGTTATAGTAAGGGGTGATTTTTCAATAGTCAGATAAATGTTATTTGAGGAATAAAATTGTTGCTGTCACTGTCTTATACAAAGATTCTGACGCGACAGCATCATAATTATTCCCCAGGTAAGTTATATCTAACCGTTGAAAAATCAGCTCTAATAAAAATAAAAGTACTGACTACAGAAAAGACTGAGAAAGTTGTTTGTTATCATGAGTACAATCACGTATTTAAATATCGGTCACTACCAGTCTCCCGATATACAAAGCTTTTGTCGATTGTACTTTTTAGCAATGACACAGCTGTAGCCTAGTACATTATTTACATTTTTAATGACATTACGCATGAAACTATACCATTAGGTATAGCTATCGTAAGTGTGTACAATTACTAAATAAAAACAAATTTATTAACAATTTGTGCCAATTAGTAAGAAATTGTTAATTTAGGGTGAAACATAAACATTAACCAAACACCTTCGGTTAGCCACATCATTCTTTATACAAAAACTATTGCTATCTCTGTTACACTATTCGAATAAAATGAAGAACATTCTAGAACACTGTTCTAAAAGTTCGTTGACATTTGAATACTCCGAACATAATATGGCGTTGCGTGATGTCACCTTTTGAAAACCGTAGGGTTAGGCATAGGTGCAAAAGTTTATTAAGCTATACAAAACCAGTATAAGGTGGTCTCGCTTTGTATAATATTTCTGCTTTTTATAAGGACCAATGTTGTTTAGCACGCTATGGACAGGACTTATCTATGCAATTGCCTCTTAGTTTCATCAAGCCCGGGCAAAAGTATAGTTAGACTAAATGAATACCCATTGTGGGGTTAGAACCTCGTCTCAGCTAGAACATTGGATGGGGGAATAGTAAGATGGGAAAGACTGGGTGGAATTATTCAGGGGGATATTTATACTGGTAAATTGTACTAAGTTATTTGTAACTGTATGCAAATACTTCTTCCATATAAGAGATAGCAGTAACTTTTGGTCGATACAAAACAAAACTAGCATATGAAACCTACAGTTCTGAATAGGTACCTACACTTTTTCTCTATATTAAATACTCTTTTGTTTTATATGTATATCAATAAAGGAGGCATGAAAACTGAGGTTTTATATCACAATGGGTAAGGCTAACACAACATAAATTCATAGATGATTCAACATATTTATATACAAACGAAAAAAAGAAACTCTTCCATTGTACAGAATAATAACTATCCACCACCTGGTTCCTTTTTCAAATTATAAATCTATAATTTTACTTGCAATAATTTTACCTTACTTTTAAACGATTAATAAATATTATTAACCTTTTTTGTTTACTTCCTGAAACGCAGACCTAAATTACATGAAAGAGGAGTTACTTAATATTTACTGAAATTTACTTAAACAAATATGTTTAAATAGTAAACTCTAAACAATAGAACGTTCGACGCAACCTGTATTTTAAAACGACAAAAAATACTATGTAAAGCAACGTTTAAAACCGCGTACACATTGTCGTAAGAAAGGAACATGACATACTGACATACAATTTAGGAGCCCAGCCAAGCGCCAAGTTAGCAAAGCCATGCTCATACCTGATGCATACCTTAGACATATACAATGCTGCCTGCACTATCGCATTCGCCTGACCAGACTTCTTTATCTTACTGCAATCCTATAACACATCATGTGATGCAGTTATTACACCGAGCGTGCAACTGTGTACACTGTGCCTTACTTAGTTAGTACACAAAAAAGGACTGATGTAAGTATACATTTTGGATTTCAAACTTTATTACTGTAATTTTATGGTTCAAATTCTATTGGAAGTTGATGTGTTTTCTTATTATAACTGAACCTAAACCCCCTTATTACAAAACAAGGTTTATCTTTAGTCCAGGTTTAAACCATTGAGTCGGGTTTTGAATTTTGAATCTTATTGTCATCTACCTTCAATTCGAAATACAAAAGCTCAATGGTTTAGTCCTAGACTAAAGTAAAACCTTGTTTTGTAATAAGGCCGATAATGTCCTAACGGTCATTGTCTATAACAGTAAACTGTACAAGTATACACGATATATTAGTGCTGTGCCAACAACATCAACAGACATTCAATATCACAACTAATGCACTGGTTAACATTCTTAGACTAGTGTTGCATTCATAACTAAACATACGATAAAACTACACCTAAATAAAATAGTCAAAAAGTTAATCGACTAAATATATCCCATTTGTTGCTGAAAAAGAAAAATTGTATTAGATCTAACCTTACTAATCAATTTCGTTCTTCAATATGATATTATAGGGAAACTTACATATTTATATATGGGTATGTTGTCACGACATTGACCAGGCTAAGCGAGAGACAAGTCTGCGAACAGAGCAACTCAGCTCCGATGGAAGACAGACGACAGAATGAACCATGTTCTGTGGCCGTCACACACCGTTCCAATCTCGTAGGTAGCAAGCTTTAAAACCGGACACATATTGACTGACATGTCCGAATTGCTAGCTAGTTACCTATAAAATGTGGCCTTACTTCTTTATTTCACCACCTTTTATCATCTAATTGTGCAAGTCCGTTGAGGCAAACATCAAAGATTCTTAGGCCAAATATGACCTTGATCACCATTAGGGGTCATCTTTAAAAAGTACGTCACACGTAAAGGGAGTCCACAAGGGTGAAATGGTGTGTGGGAGGGGTCGTAAGTTTTGTGACATCACATTTCAAAATCTAATATATATAAAGAACTCGCGTAATTTGAAATATTAATCAAACTAAATAACATTTTTTACTCTAGGACAACGCGGTTCAAATTGCTCTGTTGACGAGTTCATACCAGCTCTAGTAACACGCGCCGAACAACAAAGAGCGGTTCGACGGATACCGCCAAACGCACCGTAGCTCGCGTGATTTTATTGTTGCTATTAAATGATTTTTCAATGTGAAATTGCAAAACATGGGACGTCACACTAGGGAGGGAAGGATATCTGAAATTTGACCACCTGTCACAAGGACAGGGGTGACAAAAATTATGAAATGCCTATGACGTACTTTATAGATGGCCCCTAGAAAGTATCGGACTGAAGCTTAAGTTTTAGATATATTCAGAGCCAAAATCAGGCGCTTATTGGAGAGGTTGGCTTCGCTTCTCTAGCTAGCTGTGATCGCAAAGCATCCGCGTCAAACTTACAAAATACTCCCACAGTACCGAATGTGGACCAAAATGTGCGGTGAACTTGTCGATCAAGAGTTTCCCGCAGTCACTGTCGCTCCACTTCAACCAGACCAAAGCCTAACAAAATTTCAAAGGAAACTGTTTTACTTTTTTCTTTTTTGATATAGTGTCCAATCGCAATAAGATTTTATGTCGAGACTGAAACTTTACTAAGCAGTCATCATAATAATAAGTAATATCTTTTTCAACACACTTCTTCATAAAGTGGCCTTAATCCCCTGGCAATTACGCACATAATGACACCTATAATCAAACTGTGACTTAAACACGCGTGAGTAATGAGTCTTTTTTTCATAATATTGTTTTACTTACGCATAGACCTGCCGTAAAATGCTATCCGTGACTAGCCCAAAAAAAGAAACCACATTTTTAGTCGATGGTCGATGCGCGCGCATAGGAAAACTGTTGAATTTTTTCCCGCCATTACGAAACATCCAACAACTCTTCTCGTTTTTTCTTTTAAAATTCGAAGTATGTTTATATCTCTTTGGAGTGCGTATTATTTTATTGGAGTGTGTTGAAATACTGGCATATGATATACGTGTGTATTGAGGATTACTACACTCGCCTAACAGCTCGGGCCTCAATGCACCTCAGCCGGTAATCGCCAACATTACACACTTGTACAATGTACTATTATTGCGAATTTTTCATGTGATCGGATCCTTAATAAGGTTCAAAACAAAAAAATAAACAAGCAGGATTTGTCTTTCAACGATGAAGACTATCCTGCATTTTATTTAATAACATGGCATTTCTTAGACACTACACCACTAGGGCCAAAAATAATTTGTTTAATTCCCATTGCTTTTTAGAACATTCCCATTTTCAAGGTCACACCAAAAAATCTAATTACGATTGGACACTTACTGAAGAACAACATTCAAAAGTAAGGTATCTTGTCTTCTACCTGAAGCGAAGCCCTTGTCTAGAACCATATAAAGCCATAACACGAGTCCTGCGCCTAAAATATCATTAGTAATTAAGTTCAGAAGTGCTACTTCATATTTACCTTCATCGGCATCCGAAGCTTGAGAATCTCACTGTAGTCTCTTAACACAGACACGGGGGCGTGGATCTGGAAAAAGATTTCACTGTACATAAATGTTGCCCCGCTTTAAAATTTTCTCCTGTGTCGTGGCTGCGTTTACAAGCATACAAATTCACATACACAAGCTACCCAGACCCGAAACAACAATTTGTGGAACACACAAAGTGTTGTGCCGTGCGGGAATCGAAACCGCGTCACATTACACAGCAGCTAGTTTCCTAGCCACTGCGTCAACCATGCTGTCAATTAATAAAGCTTTAAAAATTCTGAACTGATTAATGTTAATTTGGTAGAAATAAACAAGTTTTTTCAATATTGATTATAAAGTAGACATTAATAACTAGGGGTCCGAGAAAGTAACTAAAACTATTGGATTTTTTGTAAAATAGTATGTAAAACAATCCTCAATAATCTCCCCAGGTCGCATTTATCTAAGTCACTGAACGCCTATACTGCCTTTCTAAGGTCTAGCTGGCAGTGAGGCTTTTGTTCAGTGGTGACATAGTATAAAGAGAAGGGAAGTAGGTTATCTTCATACAAACGCACCGCGCGCGGCTTGTATGTGTGTGCCATAGTATCTACGCGTCGACGCACGCACACTGTAACAAAATCTCGACCCGTTTCTCAGTGCGCCAGTCGAGGCTAACTCTGCAAGAGGTTCGCGTGTCGCTGTTTTTCGGCACCGCTAAATCACAAACCCTGTACCCAGACAATACAAGTAAAAATACAACTTCCCGACACTTGCCTTTTTTTTTTTTTAAGTGACAGCCCTAAGGCTGTAGGCAATTATATCGCGGATTGGGCCTGAGATAGCATACTGCCCTTCTCTTTATACTATGGTGGTGACGTATTCCGACTGATAATAATATTATTTTAAGAACAAAGAAAATACATAAATGTTTGCATAGCAACTATCGTGAAAGAGGAAGATTTATATGTATATTAACATTCATTAAATACCTACTGTAAAATTTTTGTATCAACATTGCACTCGCGCGAAGCCGGGTCGTGTCGCTAGTAGATAATATACAACGGAACCCCTCAATCCCTTTACATGATCATATAATTCGTGAATGTAAGATTCAGTGGTAAAACAATAACGAGTAATAGTTATATTATAGTGTGCTATAAGTACAATAACAAATAAATAGCTATCTATTTACTATGTAACACCACCTACGTCCGGCATTTGGCACAGCTTAAACAATACCTTTATACCGCGACTACAACATTTTATCGTTTTGTTTGTGCCAATAAATAAATAATATTCGAAAAACAAAGACAAAGTCGGTAGTAATTGTCACATTTATTAATGTCCAATAATTTAAAAGCACTAGTTAATCAAATCTATACCTTATTTCTACGACATTAGATGTCAAGATCTTATTTATGCGATCGTGTTTTTTTTTTATGACAGTTTTTCTAATAGTGTGTATTTGTAGTTTCAGTTTACGTATGCAAACAGCTATTACTCAGTCATTACGTCATTTATGAGAAACAAGAACGGACTATCCGTCTGGGTCCAAGCGACAACGAGAGCCGCACCCCTGTGTGCGTGCTTACAGCTTAATGTAGAGTGTGTGTGTGAATCAGATCGCCTAAATCAATATTAAGCATCAACTCTTGTAAACCCCTTTGGCTGACCTGACTTGAAAGTTAAGACGTCTGCTTCTCATAGAAGTTGTGAGTTACTTAATCTAATCCTTAGTACTAACGACTCTAAATCAAAAACAGTCGTTAAGGAACCATAAAGGGACTCTGAGTACGACGACGGTTAAGTTACTTATATGTGTTGGTTAACATAACAACTGTGTTCACTACTTCGATTCTAGAATTTCCGCATTACTTATTGGGTTTCCAAGACTGAATCACATTAAAAGTAGTACATAGTACGGGTAGTATAAACGAAAAATTAATAAGATCAAAAGATTTTCCACAAGCAACTTACCTTAACAAAATTCAGTCCATACAAGTTTTCTGGCGCTTCTCGTTCAAGCTGCAGGCCTTCGAGCTCTAGATTCTGTTCGAAAATCTTTCTCTGCTCGTACGCCGCTGCCGTAGAGGCGTCCTCCTTGAACGCCTCCCATACTAGCACATAGTCTATCGATCGAACACCATCGTTGAACGTGAGGGAAGGATTATTTAGGATACCTCCCATCACTATCCTGTTTATTGGAAATATATATTAAAAAATGCATTGCATAATAAAGTGAGGTACTTATAATTTTTTTTATTATAAACGACTTCACAATGATTCATGAACAAAAATCATATGTTTAAATTTTGGCAATATTTCAAAATGGCCGTCTTAATTTGTGGTGTGTTGGGGAAACTTCGAAGCCGCACGATTAAGTAATTACAATAACAATAGTCGGCATACAGATATATAATGTTTGGTCTTGGCCCGAATAGAAACATTCGTGAGAAAATAATTAACTTACTCATTATTTTCCTTAATCACCACCATGGGATTTGAATTTTGGCCATTAGTATACAAATCACTTTACATTTAATATACAAGATACGTCTGAGGCATTCCCGTGTTTAACAACGAATCAATATATCACAATTTATTTATAAATCTTACGCAAAACATTTCTGGTCATAGATGAGTAACAGTAGCCACTGCTATTATAATGAGGAGTTTCCTTCCTCGACGTGGCAACAACGTGTTTATTAATAAGTGAACTTCAGTGACAACAAACGGACGGTGTTTAATCACATTATTGTCAGTCACATTACGAAGAACTGATTTAACTAAAATTTATTCCATATCAATCCTGATCGAGGTCAAGTAAAAAGCCCTTGAAAAACATTAACACACATGCCAAACGTTATTTGTTAGCCCAACCCATGCCGTTACTCCACACCACACAAGACAATATCATGAAAAATATGTAGATATGCATATAATAATATGATAATAATGTACGAGTAATGTATGAAACTTTGCCAAACGCAGGACAAGTTCGGCGAACAAATCGTTTGATCAAATGTTTGATCAAATTACTCACGAGCAATGGTTGGCTGGAGGTTTGCCATTGCCGTTTGGACCAAGGGTTATAGCTGGATCGCCACAAGTAAAGTCTTCAGCTGGACGGGTTGAAGCTTCGCTACCATTGTCTCTGAAATTAATCTGCACTTGGGGACACATTGCAATGCCAGTGAGGCGTTAGGCACTATTTTCTATAAATTTAAATGTTAATAAAGGTAACATAACAAAATTAGTTGGTGCCAATATGTATCTACATCTACGTTCCTTAGTATTTAATTCACAGAGTATCTATACCAATGATTAATAGAATTGCGAATAAATTGGTCAATTGTGAGATGCGAGACCAAGCTGTGGTTATGACGTCACTCTATTAGAATTGTAAAATGCCTGGCAGGACACTGATTGGAGAAACGTTGCCGTGTGACATCAATGATCACTCATTTATTTACTTTTGCACTTTAGCGCCTAGTGTTTGCTTATGCGCAGAGTGATCATTCGTGCTTCCTTAATTGACTGTAGCAAAATACAATTCATATTACTTAGTATATTATACAAGACTATCCGGATGTTAATGCTAATACAAAACATGTATTACTAACGGAAATCATTAGTTCCACAAAACCAACTTACATGGGCAACATTATAACTTACATGGGTTCAATGACCTCATACGACGTGACCAAAAACTTTCTGGTATATTTTAATTGTAATTGATACCATAATTTTCGTACTTACAAATGATATGACTTACATGACTATGATATTTATTGTCTATACCCGAAAGTTCATTTTAGACATTGCTTAAAATGAGGTCTGAAGTCATACATAAAAAATAAAAACTAGGGACATCTCTAAATCTATGTAAGTATACTAATCTATGTAAGTAAGTAAAGCTCTCAAAATAATAAAAAAAAAAACAATGGCAAAATGTCGGAATACGATAAAGACAGGCAACGGGTCGTTATCGATCACGTTTCCCTGAAATTACTTAAGGAATATCGTCCAAGCTGTCGACATCGGAGAATAACGATTTATTCAATCTACGTGCCGCAGTCGTAAGCAAAATTCGACCTTATAAACTACTGCTATTAGGTAGTATATATATTATTTACATAATAATTTAACTCTGACGAATTATTAATAAACATTTTACCATCACCTATAAAGTTATTACCGGCCTGTTTCAAAAAAAGAACATGCACGATTTTTTTATTTTTGCGCGCCAATTTGAAAGTTGTGTCATGCAAACGCGCGAAAAAGCGGAACTGTATGCCATTAGAATTGGTTACGATACCTACACCTATTATTATAAGTAACCTTTTCAAGATGAACAAATAAAAATATATTATTTCAAACTTGGCTTAAAAATACCATTGCCTGCCTAAACCAAAAATATAAGTACGTAATCCACTCATTTTTAGGCTTTAACCTCTATGTAATATTTTATCATTGAACACAAAACCGCACTACCATGACGTAAGCACACAGAACAAGCTTAAATCTTTCGCAATAACAAGAATAGGTAAAAATAAAATGCCAAAGTCAAGGTAACAATAAAGCATCAAATCATAAGGTAAATACGAGTTACGGAATTAACTAAAATAAAAGCAAAACTATACATTAAATGAGTCGATAAAACTATAAAACGGTTCATAAAAAATAAGAATATAAACACCGCTTATAAATACTAGGTATATAAACAATGCGTTTTTTACACAGTGCTGATAACATAAGGAAAAGCATAACTATTTTCGCAATCAAGTCAAAAACATACAGTTACAGTTTAATTTAATTAATTAGTGTGAATGTTATTTATTATAAAACATTATTTTACCAACTGCGATAAAATCAATATTCCTACCTGTAGCTACAAACTAGTATGTGCAAATAATATTTATTAGTTGTGAGTTTATTAAATCTTTAATCAAATTAAACCATTGAATGCCAGGTTGTACTGAAGGAACCTACTTAAGGCCGAAATTTAATCGATCTACATCCAAAATCTATTTTTATCTAATCTGTGGATAAAAATAGCTTTTTGACTTAAGTAACATGGAGTTAACGTAAGAATTGATTAGAAGAAATTGATTTTGAATTAGCATCGGCTATTACTTTCGGCCATTAGTTGTTGCCAGACAGTTAATCAGCTAGGTAATAGATGTTGAAAAATAGGTCCCTATTAAAACATAATAATGTTATGTGAATCAACCTTTAACTAAACAGGTACGTAGGTAAACCCATTCGTTAAGCCTTTGAACACAGAGCCGAAAATATATCGAATAATGTGATACTTCGAGTCGATTTTACGATTATTTTATGAACATCACTATGCTAATAATCGAACGGAAACAAGTGTATATATATATGTGTGTAAACAAACAAATATAGGTTACTTACAAACAAATATGTATAGATTAGGTACTTTATAGTTTTTATAAATACATTCATTGTTACCACATAACTTTACTAAATTAAGTAGCCTACCTACTTTGATTAGTAAAAGTAGGTCATTAGAATCGATTATTGAATAAACAGAACCGAAATACCTAGTAAAATTTGCAGAATTAATAAAGCTATGGGAATAAAATTACTTTTTAAAATTAGAACATTGTCATTGTGTGACGTCAATCCCCAAAGGAAAATTGACATGGAAAATAGATTACATAACAAAACACTTTTACCCTGTAGATATTAAGGGGACCTTCAAAATACTGTCGCGTCGGTAAGGTATTGATCTAGTAATAAAGCCCACTCCTCAACAACTTATATCAGTATCAGTGTGAGTTACATAATAAGTACCTACATATGAAAAGTCTTTCAACAAAAAGGCTATAACGAATCAGTTTTCCCAGAGCACATTTGTTTTAGTCACAACACATACGGAATACCTGCCAAAATTGTTGGTGACTCATTTAAACGTCAGCGCGAAGTTCATTTGCATTGTGAGGCTACACTCACCGGTCGGTGTTCATTTCCTGCGACAGATTGTCTGACATCGCCTGAAGCTCCCCGTTCTCTTGGGCCTCCCTCTCCGCCTGCCCCAAACAGTAAGCGAATCAGTCACCGTCTTCCAAAACACATTCCTTAATACTTATGCTAAAAGTCTTTACAAATTCACACATAAGAGTCATTGTTGAATCACAGATCACACGTCAATGGTTCAACAACACAAGATTCAGAGCAGATAACAAATAATTAGAACAATTTGTGATAACACCAGCATATTTTAAATTCTTTACACTTCTCATTGGTTATTTTGAGCGTTACCAAACGTACACTAGTTAGCAGTAGCCTTCAATAAATCGTCTCATTATCAGAGTTATTCACAAAAACTGCATGAACTCTCAAATTACAGACACGTAGCGACTGACCTTGCTTCGTTCACTGTACAACACTGACTTGAGTCTGAATCATCTGTTTGACCAGCGATCTTAGTTTAGTTTGAGATACGAGCTATCTATCAAGAATCATCACATGCTGGCTTTACACTGTTAGTAAATATAATAATGTTTCTCTGATATCAGCACTACATTATTGTTTGAATAAAAATAAAGGTATCGACGACTGTTTAGGAAACTGTTCAGAGGTATATTGAGGGTAAATGTTGGTAATCGGCACGCTAATGTGTAAGGGACAGTACACACAGCGCTTTTTAGCTAAATCGACGCGACACGCGCGACTCGACGGGCTAGAAAACTTTGCTGGATGCATTCCTTACATAACGTTGGGACTGTGGCCAAATATTTACTGCAAATCTTAAGGTCAATGTTAAAAGGAAAAGTAACACATACAAACATTTTGTATGAACTACCGTACTTTAATATTGTTAGACTATGTAAACACTGCACGCAAATCGTACATGTCGGTAAGCCATTGTAAAACAAGCGACGAAAACTATTCACAATAAACACGTCTCTCACGGAAGTCGTAATAAAAATCTCGTTTATCGAAATGTTTGACTCAAAGTGCTTAACACGTGTGTCCGGTATTGTGACCTCCCGCCTATACCCCATCTATTCCCACGCAAATCGTCAGAGACAACTAATTATCAGTCTCAGTCGTCAGTGTACAAAGTATTTGCTTGTTCAAGTCATATCAAGCTGAAATAACACTAATAAACCTCTTTTTGTGTAATATAAAACATTAACTGGGAACCTTTACTCATACTAAGTAAATAATTAAAAGAGTAAACTTAGAGAAAATGACGCTGTTTTTATGGAATAAGAGGCAAACGAGCAGACGGATCACCTGATGGTAAGTGATCAGCGCCGCCCATGGACACCTAAAACATCAAAGGAGGTTATAACGCGTTCCCGGGCTTTTATAAATGAGTATGCACATTTCTTGAAGGTTCGAAGGCCAAAGTCTGCCATTATTCCAAAGTTTTCCTGTGTGAGGCTTTTCGTCAATTCAGGTTTTAATTTCATATTTTACGAGTAGAGAGAGAAATAGAGAATGGTGATTAAACATCTCTAAATGAAGCACAAAGTGAGACGCTGTAATCCACCCATTCAAACCGAATTGATAGTAAATTATAGTTAAAAAACACAATAAATATTGTACAAGTATTTATCTAAGTATTTAAGTTACAGATAATATTATGCTTTAAAGTCAATTTGCTAACATTTATCAAGAAGCACTTGTGCATTTTACAATAATTTCAAGTGGATATCACTTCATCTTTGTAATCGTTTTCGGATAATATTCGCGTGTGACAATGAGTACTAACCCTTATTTTAAAGTAACGAGCGGTTACGAATAGCACTTATCTTTATTAGCTAAACACCGCGATTAGCGTGGCGAATTTAACGAAGGTAAAAAATGAAAGCATTAGTTTTAGAACACATTTAATAACATTTTCTAATCAGTTAAACGAGGGTTCTCTCTACTACTCGGAAAACCGGTCCCGAACACAAGGCTGGTAGACCAGGTACACTTTGAAAGTACCACCATTTTCGAGGTGAAGATCCGACAGCCAGAAAACCAGAAGGAGCGAAAATATCTTCTACATCCTGACGTTATGAACTTCTCAATGAAGTTTATGTACAGTAACAGAAAAGGTGCGTATTTGCGAGAAAACGCTATTAAAAAAGTTCCGTGAGTTTTTCTTTTGCTCTTATCTTGAATGAACCTTTTGTTTCAAATATTCAATGGTCTTGTAACTATGTAAGTTTTTTGTAGTACACATTGACCTATAAGGAAAATTATTCAGTAATGCAGGTTCATAATAATAACAATGTATAATGTACATATAATAATAATGTATGTAGGTATATAAATAATTTCTCTCTGATAGTTTCTGTATCATTGTTTATCATGTCCATTTATGTTGCTTTATTTATTGATGAAAGTCAAGTTCACAGCTGCTGTTTTAAATATATTTTTCTGATCAAAATTTATGAACTAGTACTTCAATGTTTATAAGCAAAACAAATGTCTGATAGAGATATCAGAAATGCTATGGATTTTTGCTCTGACTTTAGGAACTTATGAAGTCCTCATCTTATGGCTCAATCTTTAAACCATAGTAATTCGAGACATAATAGAAGCATGGAGGTGTGCGAACACAATTCACTTGGAATTTGATGAATTAAACATGTTAAGTAAAACAATATTGTCAACAATACTTGTATGACAGAAAATAATTTAATATTTTTATTTTATTATCTTATTAATCTACTCTCATTCAATCCAAAAAGTTGCTTGTTATTAAATGTTTAATACAAAAAACATCTGATAGAGATATCAGACTGTGTTGCCATTTTCAACAATTCTACTCAGACTTAGGGACTTTAGAAGTGCTTTCTCAAATTATTTTTCAAATTGTTACATAAAATACACTTGTCAATGACATGTCACAAAATAGTTTTTATTTTGCTATCTAAAGACCTTGATCTTCAATTCCTTTTAATTGCAAGAATAAATTCAATGACCAAAACATTACTTTTATGCAACATGTAAAACAGACTTTATGGAAGTATTAATTAGATACATATAACAAAACTAGTAAGCTGATTATTTTAAAATGTCTGATAGCGGCAGTTTTTACATATGTACATACAATGTCAACAAGTGCATCAAGTCACACACATGTATTGAACAAACTTTGTATTGTATACAACATTCATATTCAGTTGAGGAAAAATGTTATAAAAACTGTTTTTCATGACCTTCATCAAAATCAGTACTGGGTATTCCCAAAAAATATTGTCTTTTTTGTTTGTAGTTACAATTAGCATTGTAATTTTAATATGTAGGTAATCTAGTTTTACTTATACATAAATTTAGCCAAAAAAACATAATATTAATTTGATTTTGAATTAATGGATATTTAATTTTGAAGCTTATTGGTATGTATTTATGATACATTTCATTTTACAAACAATGTAAATCAACAAGTGACTATTAAACAGAAACAAGTGAAAAATATTTTATTACTCTTATTGGCCCCCTGTAGCTTCAGCTGCCATTAACACACAGTAGGACATCTCTAGAAAATAATGGCCAAATACAGATACAAAATTGAACAGCAATAAAGCTTTCAGTCTACTCTATGAAAACAGAGGGAAATATTATGTCCTTATGTTTTATTATATCTGTGGTAAAATAAAATAAAAATGTAATAGAGACAAAGATATTTAAAAATTATTATTAGGTATCTTTACTTATCAGTGGCAGCTAAGAAAGTAATGTGGGAATGTAATTGCATTTGATAAAAGACATAGTAATTATGGTCTTATCACTGCGCTATGAATTAACAATAAAGTGATAATGACCTTCAGAGCAAATTTTTTTTAATTAGTTGAAGTGGTGGTTAATACATTTCAGCATTCAATCTCAAAAAAAATTAAGTTACATTTTGTAATTATTTAGTTTTTTTTTTAAATAAAATATTATGAAAAGAATTTCCAGGTACCTAAAATATTAGTCCATACAACATTGATATTATTATGAGCTCTTAATTTTATACTTAATGAAAGCAAAGTTCAACCTCACAGTACCTTGAAAAAGTTAATTGCTAATGGTCATGAAAGCCAGTTATGCTTGAGCCTTGTTTAGTTTATAAACCCATAGATTTATGTATATTACACTACATAGAAAATCTATAAAGAATCACTGCCCACAAATTAATAATGAAGATATTTAAGTTCTTAAAGCTTTCTTTGTCTGACCATGACAACCATATAAAGCCAAAACAATTCAAAATATTTTTACCTCGTGAAATGCTCCAGCTCCATCTTGGAATAGTTGTTGGAATGCGAGCTCATTTCTTTGAGCATCAGACAAGAAGGATTCGGTCTCTCCAGCGTCAGATCTCTTGTGGTGCAGTTTTACACCGCCTGCGTATATGGGAGTCGCTATCTTTGGCGTAAACACATTTTCTTCTTGTTTAAGTAGAGGTTTTGGCACATCCTCTTCGAGAGATGGATCTCCGTCAGACATCACATAAAATAACCCACCAAATAATCTCACACCACTTTTACAGTTCGATAAAGTTCATATCCAACACGATCTTCCTTCCGACAATGTCTTAGTCATATACGGAACTACGAGGAAAAGATTTATCTCGTTTGAGAACTTAATCGTAAAAACCAAATTACTGAATTAAAAATAAACTTGAAATTATTTTTCTAGGTTCCTACGATGTGTATATTCACTTTTATTAATAACCCACGTAGTGTCGGAACTCGAAAGAAAGACGGTCAAAAACCCGAGATTATTTTCGAGAGAACGACGGGAAAAGAATTTCTTTCTATGCAAAATATTCATTTGCTGGTGGGTCGGATTGACAGATTGTCATCATTGTCATAAAGACAGACAAAAATCTTGAGGTAAACGTTGAGTGTAACAGCATTATATAAACTACTGATTAGTGAAAGAGACAAAAGATAAGAAATGCTCAAAATCTAAAATATGCATGTCAGTGTCATTGTCAAACCAAATTATGATTTCAAAAACATACATACCTAACACTCCTGTCCTTTTTGGGCAGTCGTGTAGAAAAAATTGACAAAAGTGGATAAATTAAAATTTTACATCCACTTTTAGACAACTAATAACAGGAATAGTTTACTGATTTCTAATCTCAAAGACTTTGATACTGCAAACGATTATAAGCCAGCCATTCCTTCAACTCACACTTTTTCTTAACAAGTGTTTTTATACATTATAATTAACTAAGAAATTCAACATTTAACACTAAATACAAAGTATTCAAAATGATAGAATCACAAGGACTCAGATTAATCACACTGTAGTACTAACATGGTACCTTTGATTATTAATATGTCTAGATGGAGCGTCGCCCTACAATCATAACAAAGAAAACGAGTCAACTATTTCAAGCATGTGTGCGTGCAGGCGTCGTTTTACACTGCGCGTCTATGTCTTTGTGTGCGTAAACAATACGGAATAATGATACCAGCTACTACAAATTCTCCCATAAATAACATTAAAAATAGAATAAATAAAAAAGTTGAGGGTTGTATGTATGTTCCTAGTGTTATTTAGTTTTAGTGTATTTTTATGAAGTTGGTGCTGTTTTAAATAAATTAAAGACACTTATTTAATTAAAATTGGGTGGTAGAATGTTGTTCTTGGAAGTCGGGTAATAAAAATCTGTTCAAAAGTTATTATATAATTTATCGTCTTATCTCCGAAATTATTAGGCCTAAAATTAAAAAAATATACTAAAGATAATATTTACCCATAGATTCCAGGAAAATATACGATTTAAAAAGTGATATTTAAAAAATGTTTTAGTTGGGAACCCTTTGCACTCGATATCAATTTGCATTTGACCAGTAAAACTTTAAAAAGTACATGAACGAAATTGTGTAGACGTAACCATAAACAAACTAATATTTACCCAGAAAATTGACGTTAAGTTGGGAGAATGAAAAACAGAAACTGGCAACACTGATAAGACGAAAATAAAATGGCGTCATTTGGTAAGCATAAAAACAAAAAATTAATATGTAATTTTCTTGGCTCATTACTGATGATAGGTGATGTGTTTGGTATTTTTTGCCCTTCCTTTATAATTCCGGAACACTTTTATAGCACATACCGTCATTTTATCGCTGTTATTAGTTTTTTCCTTAGCGCGCGTAATGCGTAGTGACAATAAAGCGACACGATATGTACTGACCGGCGGGTAAGCACCTGTCGGCCAACAGTTGGCCGACACTTTTTGACACGTTTACGCGCACTTGACACTCTATCTAGACATATTAATAATCAAAGCATGGTACTAAATTAATTTCCTCTTTTTTTCTTTATTATGGCAATAAAGTATGCCACGCCGCTCATGATCTGTCAATTTGCGTCGCCGAAAAACGAAAAGGGATAGGTTGCCGGCGAATTATTTCTATAAATTATACTAAAATATTATTGTACACGATTATTTATGTGACATAATAAAAATAAGGAATATATCACTAACTTAAAATGACGGTGGAGGTGCAAACTAAGGCGAAGCTCCCGCAGCTTTCGTCTGACAAACAACTAACATTTATAAAATTAGCTGTTTTATCAATGGCAGCAATATTATGTGAGTATTTATAACAGTTAATTAGCATCTGGAGTTGTATTAGATTAGTATTATACAGTGTCTAATCGTTAAAACACGAATTACATCGATTTTTGTTATGACTTACGTGGTCCTATTGTGATAAGCAATGGCGATAAAATGTAGCGATTTTAAGAAAACATTGAATGTTATTCGATTTGTCGTCAAACAATATAACATGATAGTTGTTTTACACCTTAAATACAAGATAAGGTATCTCATTGGGTTCGTAGTTGGGGTACAAAATACCGCATAGAGAAACTGCGGTGTCGACCCGGCATTGGACTTAAAATCCTATCCTATGAGACTGTTGGAAGTTCGTACCGACCATACACGTTGCGATCGGTTTGATCGATATTATACTCTATTTAAATCAACGTGTCTGTTTTACCTATTTTTACATTGTCATAGAGCCACGCCAGTATGTTTCAATTTCGAGAATCATAACTGTATGCATTAATATTTCTTTTTCAGCTTTTGCAACACGTCTGTTCTCTGTATTACGTTTCGAAAGTGTGATCCACGAATTTGACCCTTATTTCAACTACAGAACAACTAGATATCTAACTGAGGAAGGGTTCTATAACTTTCACAATTGGTTTGATGATAGAGCATGGTACCCACTGGGACGTATCATTGGTGGTGAGTTCTTTACTATTATAATTTGTGATTAACAAAGTAAACTTATTTGCCTTTCAATTGTAATATAAGACAGTAAGACAATAGGTGCACTAATAATGGTATCTGCTTAGGGTTGGATTAATAAAAAAAAATATATAACCTTAGTGTTGTATAACATTACGCTGATATGGCTATTTGTTATTCCATTAAAAAGTAAAACACCTTTGAAAATAGTTGAATTCAAATCCTTTATATTTATTAAATACTAGCGGCCTGCCCCTGCTTCGCATGGGTCCCACTATCTCGCTATCAAAGTGTCACTTTTTCCTAATCTTCCCATCTACATTTCTAATATTTTCTTTGATAAGAACCTTCTCCTGATAATAACAAAAACAACAAAAAAAGAATTAGCAAAATTGGTCCAGGCATAGCTGAGTTATGTGCTTACCAACACATTTTTATATATAACAATTAGAATGTCTCAACTGCCTGTCTAATAATAAATAATGTGTGATACATACTCTGTTCATGAATGAAAGTCCCATTTGATAGTGACTTGAAATTAGTAGAGCTTTTCTCTGTTAAATTAGTTGAGTTAGTCATTACTATACTATAAGCTGTGAGTTTGTTTGTTTGCAATGCAAATCTCTGGAACTGCTGATTGTAATTGTACAATTCTTTTGAGTTTGTTAGTACATTTATCAAGGAAGGCTATAGGCTATAAAACACCATGCTCTGATATGTAGGAGCCCACACCTCGAGGAAATCTTAGGATAGTATCCCTCCCCAAAGCCTAAATCTCTAAAACCCTTATCCCTAAAAGTTCGGCAAACCCACTCATAACTCCTCCATTGCGGGTGATTGCTCACCATCAGGTAATCCGTATGCTCATTTGCCGAACCTATTACATAAAAAAATGTTCGTCTTACAACATTTACTTTACAGAATTCTTCATAAACTGGCCTGTTTTTTAGCCTAGGCTTATATATAATAGGCTTCCTCTATAAAGAATTGTTTGATTTGAACTAATAATACCAGAGATTGGTGCACTGAAAAATATGTTTAAGCTTTATAATATTAGTAAAGATATAATCAATTAAAATAACTCTGTGTGTAATCAGTTTGAAACTTAGTTGTTTACTTATTTTTCTCCAGGTACCATCTACCCAGGTCTGATGGTAACATCGGCCACACTTTACAACATGATGCAGTTCTTGAACATTACCATAGATATTCGAAATGTGTGCGTATTCCTCGCTCCATTCTTCTCATCACTCACAACTATTGTCACTTACCTCCTGACTAAGGAGTTGAAGGTTTGTTGCATATCTTTTTTTTCTTTATACTTAATGTTAATCCAAATCCAAATTAATAAATTCGAAAGTAACTCTATCCATCTGTCTTTTCTTCACGCCTAAACCACTGAACCGATTTCTGTTAAAATTGGTACAGGCATAGTTTGGAACTCAAGAAAGGACATAGGATAATTTTTATACCAAAAGTGTGCAGTCACTATTCCATGCAAACCGAGTTGCAGGCAAAAGCTAGTATTTTTATAATCTAGCTTTAGTCACCATACTTTAGCCAGATTCTGATGATGGATAATATTTTTTGAGTTTTATTAACCTTTGCATTCCTTTGTTATTGTCTAGTAATTCATTGACATCAGTGGTTGATGAACTACATATTTAAAGTAGCATTTACTATATCACGGTTGGTGCGGTGGTTGGGCAACTCGCTGCCGCGCAACGTGTCGTGGGTTTGTTTTCTGCAAAGTACAACTCTTTGTGTAATCCAGTTGTTCTGAGTCTGGGTGTGATGTGTATGTTTATAAGCGCACCCACGACACAGGACAAAATCCGATTGTACGGCAATATTTAAAAAAATAATTTGTAGCATAACTACAGCCCCCGTGAAACGGGTCGTATATTGCCACATACATTCGTACACATTATTATTGTGTGTATGTCTTCGCGTTATTATTTTAAAATATACATTAGCAATTAGCATACAGGGAAATTGCCTGTGCCCCTAGTTGATTCATTTTCATGTACTAACACATTTTTATGTACAATTTAACAATAAACTAATAGAAATCTATTAAAAGTAGATTTAAGTTATTTTTTAAACAGGAAATTTTAAATAAAAACACTAATTACAAACTCTCATTTGACAGGATGAAGGTGCTGGTCTCGTGGCAGCGGCCATGATCGCCATAGTGCCAGGATACATCAGTCGTTCAGTCGCAGGAAGTTATGATAACGAGGGCATTGCCATTTTCTGTATGCTCCTCACATACTACTTTTGGATCAAAGCGGTCAACACTGGAACTATACTCTGGGCTACCATGACTGCACTCGCTTATTTCTACATGGTAAGTTGAACAATTATGAAAAATTATTTTTGAGTATGGAGAATATTTTTATCTGTTTTTGTAGTACCTACGAGCAATCGGATCTCCTGATGGTAAGCAATCAGCGCCGCCCATGGACATTGCACCTTTTGGGGATTAAAAATTTGAAGATTTAGGCATTGGGGAGGGATTAGGTAAGGGGAAGGATTGGGCCTCTTGTAACCTCATTCACACGGCGAAACAAAACGCTGTGGTTGTTTTACGACGGTTTTGAGCCGACCCATTCGTGCCGAAGCATGGTATTGCTTATCTTATCTTTTTCTTTATTAGTTACGTTAATGGTTAAAGTTTATAGTGTAATGGTGCCTGCATATTGCCTTGTAATGTACCTCGGCCTCCGCTTGAAGCAGGAGAAGTGGTTTTTAGTCTGTAAGAGTGACGCCTCCTGTCGCTTCACCCAGTGCGAAAAGTCTTTGGAAGGCCTTCCCTTACATACAATACCGCCGACGTATCTTGGCGAGTCTGAAGTTAGCCGATTAGCTGCGCAGTACACAATTTTGTTCCAAATGATCCATTGCGCAAACAATCGGCTAACTTCAGACTCGCCACGATACGTCGGCCGTACTTTACCTTGTGTTGGCCTGAGATTTATTTATTTACAAACCTGATTTTATTGTTAAGATTACATTTATTACTTTAGCAATAAAATTCTTTACACTATCTACCTCATGTGATAATAAGATCTGATTGGCTCTTTATTATAATTCTTTATAAAATATTTCTGTACCTCACACATACAGATGTTTGTAAGTCAATCAAAGAGCATATAGATGACAGTTTCACACCAATAAGTTTTTATTTAACTTTTTGGTTTTTGCTCTGTCGTACATTACAGCTATTTTTGTATTATGTAATAAACATAGAACTTTCGAATGCACGGTTGATGCGATGGCGGGGCAAGTGTCTCGAGGTTGATTTCCCGACGGTACAACAATATGGTAGTTTCCAATTAGTCAAATTTAATACTTTTATCCAAAATGTGTGTCCGATATGTTTGTATGAAATTTGTATGAAAAACTGAGTTATGACATTATAGTATTTTAGCGTTTTTTTTTTTTTTGAAACGTCGATTTAATTTATTTTTGACCTAGGAAACTACCCAATTTGTGGGTCGAACCCGCGACACGTTGCAGGCTTGCATTGCAGATGTTTGCCCAGTTTCCGCCACAAACGTGCAGTCAAACAAATTATAAGTCCAGGTTTCCTCTCAATGTTTCCTTCCGCAGATTTTGTGTCCCAAATAAACTTAGAAAGTACATTATAACTTGTTAAAAGTTACTTTACCTCCACCTCATGCTTGAGAAACTATACGAGACGTTCTAACCTCCGATCCACATGACATGCGGCGACATGGCCATTAACTAAAATTAATACTAAATTGACTTAAACAAAATATCTTCTTCAACAGGTGTCATCTTGGGGAGGCTACGTGTTCCTAATCAACTTGATCCCACTTCACGTGCTAGCCCTAATGCTGCTCGGCCGGTTCTCAGCGCGAGTGTACGTAGCCTACAGCACATTGTACTGTGTCGGAACTATCCTATCAATGCAGATCTCCTTCGTCGGCTTCCAACCTGTACAGAGCTCTGAGCATATGTTGGTAAGTTTATAATATAAAAAGTTTCTTTTTAAACGTAAGTTTTTTTATGGGGTATTACTGCGAGAGTCATTTAAATAATGGCAACACTGATTTTAGTTTTGATGAAACTACATTGAATTTTCTTTATCCTCAAATACAGGGTGTAAAAAGACAACGAAGCCGTTAACTACGCATACTGCAGTTCTAACTAAGTAGCTTTACGCTAAAATTATCACTGAGAAACGACTTTTATTTTTAGGTATCAAAAAAATTATAATTTTATTGCGCGCAATGTAAAGCAAACGGGCTTCGTGTCATTGTGTGCGTAGGTTTTCAGCTTAGCATTAAAACGCTGTGATAAGTACGTAGGTCGACGTTTTACTTCGCAACAACAAAACAATTCTGTAAAATAAAAATCCTACTGAGATGCACGATGTTTTTTGTACGGGTCTGCATTTATTTATTACGTACATTACTGTTCGTAACTTCAAATGCGTAATATATTTAGAAAAATCAGATGTTTGTTTGGAAAAAAGTTTTGTAACAACACTTAGAATACGATTGCGAAAAAAAAAAATTAAAAATGCATCTTTGACCTTCAATATCTCGAGAACCCGTGGAGTCCCAGCTATAGTCTTAAAGAAAAAAAATGATCCAAATAATGGGTAGAATACGTGGCTTTCGGCTTCGTTAAGTGTCTTTTTACACCCTGTAAATTATCTTAGTCATCTAGACTTAGTAGAAGATCCGAGTAATAAATAATATTTTAGTTATTAACATACATTATTACAATTTGGAATCTAAATTTGTTTTTTTTTTGTTACAGGCTTTAGGTACATTTGGTCTCTGCCAGCTCTACGCCTTCACCCAATACTTACGTGAGCACCTATCTCCAGCCAACTTCGAGCTGCTCTTCAAAGCTTTGGTCACCACCTTATTGGCTACTCTGGGAACTGCGTTAGTCGCCCTTACGCTTACCGGTGAGATATTTTAACATATTTTTTTATATTTTACAGTGGGGCCGCAAACACCTTGATAGACCACCTGATGGTGGGCAATATAGTCACTGGTAACATTAGAGGAGTTACAATAGCGTTGCCGATCTTTTGGCGGTTGTAAAGGAATTTATTTGAAGATGTAGCCTTAGAAAAACAATACAAGACTTATTTCATGTCGGATTTCTGTGTGGTCATCACTCGGTCAAGCTGGCCCATTCTAGCCGAAGCAAAGCTTTTACACACTTAAAATGAGTATCACTCTTACAGCCTTTAACTACTATTCCTTTTCCTGCTCCGCTTGCATCTGCGACCCTGGCTCATATATTAGGCATTTAAAAATTAGATAAATCTCTAAAAGAATTGTAGAAATATTATAAAAAGTCACATGTTTATATATTTCATACTATCCTTTTCTTTCAGGTAAAATCTCGCCGTGGACCGGACGTTTCTATTCTCTTCTGGACCCGTCCTACGCCAAGAACCACATTCCCATCATTGGTGAGTACTAAATATCTATACTAATATTATAAAGAGGTAAAATTTGTAAGTTTGTATCTAGGGGGTAATCTTTGGAATCGCTAGTAGATTGCCAAAATTCTTTCACTGATAGATAGCTCCAATGTTCCTGAGTGCTATATAGGCTATAAAACATCATGCTATGCTTACATGGAGTCAAATTACAAGCACTTAATTGCAAAATAAAATACTTTATTATAACAGTAGTCAAAATAATATATAGGTAATAATACTTTATCATAACAATTATACTAAATATTTTATTCCTACAGCATAAATCTTGTCAAATAAAATTTTTCTTTATTGCTACAGTCACAAATTTCATATTCCTACGACTTTGTTCTCGTTAATTAAAATGACAATATCAAACAGTTACAATATCACTTTAGGCGATAACTTTCATTGTCATACAATATTGGTCTTGCTAATGGAAATTGTACTTTATGTCCACTAACACAAATTTCATTTCACCACAACACCATACTTGCTAACCGAAAATAGAATTTATCACCACATTATGCTATGCTAAATTATATTCTATCACTACAGCCATAATTTACATTTTCAGCCTCCGTTTCTGAGCATCAGCCAACATCCTGGTCTTCATTCTACTTCGACCTTCAAGTCCTCGTGTTCCTGTTCCCAGCTGGACTGTACTTCTGCTTCAGCAAGCTGACTGATGCTAATATTTTCATCATTCTGTACGGTGTTCTCAGCATTTATTTCGCGGTAAGTTGATACTTATTTTTAAGATGGCAAGGTTGCATTTACAAAGATTTTAGTTTTAGGAATCCAGTATCTCGAATCATTTTCACAATCTGTAAAGTCAGAGTTTGGCTTACAGATCTATTGAATTAAAAATTTGCTTACACAAACAGATAGACAAAATGTCTGCTAAGTGCACTGGTGCAATGCTGATACTGTATTTCTCCAATATTAAATGGATTTTTTTATACATATACAATAAACCATCCTCTTGAATAACTTTATCTATTAAAAAAAGGCATCAAAATCCGTTGCGTGGTTTTAAAGATTTAAGCTATGTTTACATATAGGTACAGAGAAAGCGACTTTGGTTTTATACCATGTGGATTACCTTCTTTAAAATTCACACCGTTTTTAACTAGCGATAATAATGTTTGCCATTAATTCCTAAAAAAGCACATTTCCCAATAAAATGATGACGCTTTGATGAAGCTTTGAGCGCGTCGAGTCACGTAGAGTACACTCCGTGGACTCCGCCAATGATCTATACACTTTGATCGCTGACATTACTATTTACAAACTCCTACTCCACTCTCTCCAACTCTTTCTCTAACTTTTGTTCGTCATTCTCAGGGTGTGATGGTGCGTTTAATGTTGGTGTTGGCTCCGGTCATGTGCATAGTGTCAGGGGTTGCGGCATCCAGCTTGCTCAGTCTACACGTGAAAGATATTGAACCTAAAGTTGAGAAACATGACAAGAAGAAGAAGCACGAAAACAATTTAGTATTCAGATCTGAGGTATGTATTCTTACTATATGTATAAACAGTAGCTAGATAACCAAGTCTTGCTACCGGTATTATTTTTATTTATGAAACCTAGCTTTGTATTTTCTTTTGAAAAGTCTGTTAGAACTTCCCATAACGCTGCAACTCATGTTAGCCAGGATCTAGAGTACATAAAACCATGAAGACACCGAAAAACCGATGCGTCTAATAGTCATGAATCTCTCAACGAAAAAAATCAGCTTCTATTATTTGCGGAGAAGTCAAAACTATACAGTTTCCACTTCCCTCGGTAAATTATGTAGTAAGTTTACTATTTTAAATGGGTCTTATATGTGAACTGTTATATAAGCTTAAATAGCTTTTAATTTTTAGTCCCCAGAACCCGTTATATATTTTTTTTTATATTCACAGCATAACATTTACACACACGAAGCGCCGTGTGTGCGTACAAATGACCTAAGAAAGACGAAACACTTAAAAAAAAGCATACAACTCTATTTTATTTAGTTATGTACTTGTTGGTACACAGGTGGGAGCTCTCTTCGTGTGCGTGTTAGGCTGCCTCCTAATATCGTACGTGTTCCACTGCACGTGGGTAACGTCGGAGGCGTACTCGTCCCCGTCCATCGTACTGTCTGCGCGGGCGCATGACGGCGCGCGCATTATCTTCGACGACTTCCGCGAGGCTTACACTTGGCTCAAGATGAATACACCTGAAGTAAGTTGTTTATAATTATTAAATACTAGCGGGCCGCCCCCGCTTCGCACGGGTCCAGCTATCGCTAAAACAATGAAAGGGTCACCTTTTCCCAACGTTCCCTTCGATATTTCGATTCGAATTTACTTTGATACAACAAAAAAGGATTTGGCACAATTGGTCCAGGCATTCTTGAGATATGCGCTTACCTACACATTTAGCGATTCATTTTTATATATTAGAAGATGAAGCCTTATTATAATTACACTTGATTTTAACTTTTCTAAATATTAAAAAAAAAGAAAAACCACTTAAAAATACAAAAAGCAGTATCCCACCGGTTACGGGAGGGTTTCAAGCAACCGATGGTCAGGGCTCCCGAAAAACAAATCTCCGGATAATGCGCGCCGTGTCTAGAAGTACAGCTTTCTGCATCAGGTTCTTGACCCAACCATCAAAGTTATCCTGCTTAGGTGTTTATCAAGGCTTTTAGCCATGAGACCATTGGCAGAAACGACTATCGGCACAATGATTGCTGAGTCTACATCCCACATGTCGACAATCTCATGAGCTAAATCAAGATATTTACTTGCTTTATCTTTTTCAGCTTTCACAAGATTCTCGTCATGTGGGATTGTTATATCATTTAGCCTTATAATACTATTAAATACTAATTATAATAATTAAATATTAATGTTTGAGAGGTACAAAATACGTGCCTAATGTTATGTCAACGTCACCAGATGGACATAAACACAAAATTGGATTCTTATTTCTCCTATCCGGGGTTGAAGATGGTTTTTAGTCAGTAAGAAACTGACATTCTCGCCTCACCCAATTCATTTGATGATTCTACCAAAAAATAATCCCAACTTCTTAATCAAGAAAACCATTATACAATTCTCATTTCGAAAATGTATTCTTTTATGTGGATGTTATGAATATGAAATTATTTCGGATTATTTCTGTTACGGATATCAACAAATTTAAGGAATTCCAAAAGTGAATTAATTCGGTAAAAATACCAACATCCTGTCTCAATTATTGTTTAGCCTGTGATAGTAAAGTAGAAGATGTTTATCACCTCCCGGACGAGTGTGTCAGGAATGGGCCTGAAAGAAATGCGTTAGTTAGTGAACTAAACATAAATAAGTTAGATGTAGGTATATTTAATATGATCTTAGCGAAACCAATGTCGCCAGAGGCTGCATTGGTATATACATTGGTTAATTTGTAAGTTTGTTTGTAATTAGATTAGTTTATGATGGAACTAGTGTAACATATTGTTAAAAGTTCCTAAAACAAATAAAGAAAAAAAAAATGTCTCAATTAGGCTCCGCCCCTATTCGATATTATTCGAAACTTATTTCGGATTCGGTTACGGACCTCCCACACAACCCTAACTAATACCTATTTAAATAAATCTTTTTTCATTCTAGGACTCGAAAGTAATGTCATGGTGGGACTACGGGTATCAGATAACAGCGATGGCGAATCGAACAGTGATAGTGGACAATAACACGTGGAACAACACGCACATATCTCGCGTCGGACAAGCCATGGCGTCCACTGAGGACCGCGCCTATGAAATTATGAGGGAACTCGATGTCGATTATGTACTCGTTATTTTCGGAGGACTAGTTGGTTACTCCTCAGATGGTAAGTTTTATTTTAAGAGTTATGTTTTAATCTAATATGAGACTGCACGGTTGGTGCGGTGGCTGGGCAACTGGCTGCTGTGCAACGTGTCGCGGGTTCGATTCCCGCACGGAACAACTAATTGGGTAGTTTCCTAGGTCAAAAATAAATTAATTCGACGTTTTAATACGATAACATATTGAAAAATAACTATACTTTTATTCATCGATCGATCGATACACTAAGTTTTAGATATTTTTTAGCTAATTTTTTAAAAATAAGTAAGCTATTTGACGCAAAAATGCTATGACGTCACGACGTTTTTGACATTTGGATAAAAGTATTGAATTTGACTAGTTGGAAACAACCGTATTGTGTGATCCCCAAATTGTTATTCCGGGTCTGGGTGTCATGTGTATGTGAAACTGTATGTTTGTAACCGCCCTCACGACACAGGAGAAAATCCTAATGTAACATTTTAAAAAAAGATAAAAAAAATATCCTACCTAATATCGCATGTGATCCTAATATAACTCGCTTGTTTTTACCCGGTCCGGCTTCCCACGGCTGCAATGGTGATACTAAATTTCTCTACCATTTAATGGATATTATATATACTAATATTATAAGGAGGTAAAATTTGTAAGTCTGTATGTAGGGGGTAATCTTTGTAACTGCTGGGCGGATTGCTACAATATTCCTGAGTGCTATAGGCTATAAAACATTACGCCGCGAACAAATAGCAACCGGGTGAAACCGCGTGAGAGTTATACATATAAAACTTCTCCTTCAATCACTATCTACTAAAAAAACGCCTCAAAATGTATTGCGTAGTTAAGAGTTGAGCGTATATACGGATATAGGGACAGATAAGGCGACTTTGTTTTTCTCAGAATGTATAAGAATATCCAAACCCTTTAATGCATATTGTATCAAAAACGAAACGGAAAATTTTACACGATTCGGAGCCCTTTAAATTAAGGAATAAATAGTTGAGAAATTTAATATCAGTATAGCAGACGTGCGAGCATAATAAAGGAATTTCTTAATAAAGGATTTTAATTTTTAATTATCAATGTTTAAAATTTTCTTATATATTCTAACAAAATCCTTATAACAACAGATATCAACAAGTTCCTCTGGATGGTCCGTATCGGCGGCAGTACGGACCGTGGCGCTCATATCCGCGAGGCAGACTACTACACGCCTTCTGGAGAGTTCAGGGTCGACGCGGATGGATCACAGACTCTACTCAACTGCCTAATGTACAAAATGAGTTACTACAAGTTCGGGCTTGTCTACACTGAAGGAGGTATGTGTTTATTATATTTTTTAATCGTAACTTCGGGTCTGTGTGGTTTGTGAATGTGAAATTGTATCTTTGTACACCCACGACACAGGAGAAAATCCTAGCGTGTGTAGTGGGGAAACGTGCTATTAAAAAAAGAAAGAAATATTCAAAAAAATACGAGTTCTGATGGACGATTACTTTCAAGCCACACGGGGTTTCATAGCTATGAACAGCTATTTATATCAATATTATTGAAATAAGATGACATTAACAGCATTTTGATTAATAAATTTGATCTTAACCAATTAAAAACGAATATACGTTATCGTCTATACCTTATTTCTTCCCGCAGGTCGACCGCCCGGTTTCGACCGCGTTCGTGGCGCTGAGATCGGTAACAAGGACTTTAACTTGGACGTGCTAGAAGAGGCCTATACCACTGAACATTGGCTCGTACGCATCTACAAAGTAAAGCCGCTTCCTAACCGTGGAGTCTGAGCCCCACACCACCGCCTCGGTCGGTAAATACCTCTCCAATCCATATTGGTGTAGCTAATTATATTACTTGAACATTGTGGACCATTTGCAACAGTCAAATGTTGGTAAAATCAGGCCGTAAGCGTGGCTACTACTTATATATAAGAAAAATAAAAACTAAATAAATTAATTCCATTTATAAATTTTAATGAGTCATTGTGCTGTTAGCAATAGTCCAGAGACTAGAACATCTTGTGTGTAAACTACATGATTATGATATATTTTTACTTCAATGATTGGTCTGGAGATTCTTAAGAGTTATTTTATGGATAAGGGAATGTTATTAACGCCAATTTATTAGGACATTTTACTTTAATTGAATTTTACAATGTTTTTTAAGTAACAAAATGAATTTTGTGTTATTTAATATATTTTGCATCTTTAATATATGAATTTTATACTAAATTTGTAATGTTTGACTCCTCTGAAAAGTAACCGGAAGCCTGTTCTTTCCCGTCCCCTCCCTCTCCAATCCCTTACGCCTTAACGGTCGGCACCGCACATAAAAAAGCTGAGAAAGGTCCACAGGCCACAGTCTTTAAACACAATTGAATGGTAGCAATTTGTATAAAACTGTTACAAGTAGTCCACAATAAAAAAAAAAAACAAGTAATAGTTACCGGCCATCGTGCGCACGGAAGGCTCAATTGTGTAACTAAGAAAAAGTGATAAAAAATTGAATATATTTATATATGCTTAAAGACAATTCGGTTTTATTGTTATTTTTGGAGTACGCTCCAACGCGATTGTTGCACAACTTTTAAGATTCTAGTAATTGATTTAAATATTGGTAATCGCACGAAAATAGCACTTATTGCTATGTTGTATAGGATGAAATCTGTTACCACCTAACGTTGACTGCTCCAATACTCAGTCTTCTCAAACAATCGCTTTTGTTCTGTCTTCAAGAATTATTCGTTATCGCGACAGTCTAGTGTAGACGTTAAAACAAAGATTTAAAGCTTATAATACCGTGGCTAATATCATGTTATATACGACCTTTATAGCTCTCTTGAAATAAGTGTATTTATAAATGTGTTTTAAAAATACACTTAGGACACAAAATTGATGATAATCAATGAACCTTACAACTTAACATTAGAGTTTATTTTTGCATTATAACTACACTAGAACGTCGCGTCGTAAGTTTGAAAAAATAGAATTAGCAATGTTTTTATATTTTTTGATATTATAATAAGCGCTATAGGAATGGAAGTAGATAAAAGTTAAGTGTGCTAGACACACTATTTACCTGTTAAATGTGCAATCTTTGATGAATGTTTTCATTTACAATAGTGAAATTATAATGAAATGATTGGGCGAAAATATAGTTGGAAATATGGTATAAACCTCTTTTAGGGCTGATTTTTTGGAAGGACCTGCGGTATATTAATGATGCTGTCGCGTCAAAATGTTTGTATAAGACAGTGACAGATACAGACAGAGATAACATTTATCTGACAATTAAAACATCAGCTCTAAATCTATGGAAATTTATCGAATTACAACATTCTGCAGCGTTAAATAGTGATGTGTGAATAGAAAACAAATACCATATTGGGTTACTTAAATTTAATATTATTATTAAAACTAATGAAATTGCTTTTACGAAGTGATTTTTTTTTCTTGTATACATGCTGACCTCCTCAGTAACACAGGTTTTTTTATTATTAATAATAATAAGCCATAGATAAATATAGAGAATCTTCATACTTCCTTATTTCCTATATTTAAGGCTGAAAATATGTATATAGACTTATTATATGATATGTGTGTCTATGTTCAAGTAATACCATTTTTTATTAAATATAATTTGTTCAATTGCACTTTTTTATTATTAAATTCTATAGGTTTGTTGATGACACCTAATTTAGTAAAAGGTTGTTACTTCTAAGGATCTTGTTTTTAATTAAAAGGTGAGGTGTCGATTGACAGAAATCACCATCAATTTCAGAAAAAAAAGTCTTGCAGAATGGTGAAACTTAATTTTATAACTTTAGTTTATTGCATTTGTAGCTTAAATATCTTATGTTCCACATCTACACAGTATATTAACAGACGCGAACAACGATATTGTGCGAGACTTTTTTAATAGATGAAATAAATAGACAATGCACGTTAAGCTTTTTTACATCTAGTTTATAACTAAAAAAAATGTAAACAAGTTTTCACAGACGGTTATCAATAGAGGATGTATTCTGTATTCGTTTAAGATCCCTATTTCGGAAGCATAGTTTGCGAGGTTGCGCAACCAACTTGTCAAAAGAATTCAACCCAAGTTTTGTTATTGATTATTTTTTTGCTAATAAACTCATATATTCCCAACGGTAAGCAACCATCATAGCCGTGTTACAAGTGCGTTATCAACCTTAAAAAAATATTTCTCGTTTCCTTACGGCAGACAGTAAGGTTGCGCAACTAATTTCTAATGAAATAGGGACCTCACAGTTTTATAAATAGTCTTATGCCTCAAGGCTATAGAAATGCGCACAAGACTTATCATCTAATGTTTTGTATTTATCACTTGCCTGATCTAATTTGAATGAGTTTTGGTAAAATAAGATGTTGTATAAATTCTTCTTTTTTATTTTTATTTTAATTAAAGTTTATTGATTAAATATTTTGTTGTGTTTTTTATCCCTACTTGTTTCTTCCTAAACCGTTTGATGTATGTGTGTAAAAAAGTAAAAAAACAGAGTAATTTTTTTTTATTTCTTTAACACATATTTACGTGAGATGTAGCTTTGGATGAAGATATCTTCTTAAGTATATTAATGAAACCTCTTCCTTAACTGGGGCTACAAATAATCAATGATGTCGTGGTTGACATATGTGTAAAAATGACGACATTTCAGTTCATTGGTACTGATACGCTGTCATTTACAACGACAAAACGACAACTGCACGGTTGGCGCAGTGGCTGGGCAACTGGCTGCTATGCAACGTGTCGCGGGTTCGATTCCCGCACGGAACAATACTGTGTGATCCACAAATTGTAGTTTCGGGTCCGGGTGTGTTGTGTATGTGAATTCGTGTGTTTGTAAACGCACCCACGATACAGGAGAAAATCCTAGTGTGTGGCAACGTTTTTTTTTTAAATAAAAAAATAACGTTCCAAGACAAAAAAGTCTACTCCTGAGGCCCTTTGTTGTTGATTGACTAAATAGTTGGCTTGGCCCAATAATAATTCGTGATCAAAATGTAAATATTGTGCTTACATAATATGTAGGTACTAAAAGAACATTATTAAAAAGTACTCATTATAATTGTTCGGGTTACCGAATAAGATTCCAGACAAAATGTGTCTTTTGGGGGGGGGGGGGGAACCTTTTCTGCTCGGAGCCGGACCGAGGTACATCATATTTGTTCCGAGGTCATCATAACATAACAAATATGAAATAAATGAAACATTTATTTTATTTTCTACAGTTTTATAATTCCCCATACAATCCTGTCCTTGAAGAAACCAACTGGACAAAAGGAAAAAATTCTTCAATGGTAAAATGTCTTTTATATTATCCAAGTAACAATTCTGGAAAAAGTAGACTTCTGTGGGCGCAAGGTCTAGTGGGTACGGCGGATGACGGAGAACTTCTAACCCCTGCGCTTGTAGCTTGAAGATCGTCTGCTGTGCAGAATAAGGTCGCGCATAGAGAGAGATCAAGTAGAGGAGCAGTGGAGCCGAACGATTGACCAAAGCTAATTTAGCAAAGCCAATCGTTCGGATCATTGTTTTCAGTTCTCCACAACTACGGTGTAAGTAATCACATAATTATCTACATTAAGCCTCGTCCCATTTGGTGACCATGACCATAACTACTTTTCTAGTGATTTCATTTTCTGAGGGCGGAATATTGTCCTATTACTTCGTTGTCCCGTCCTGGATGAGCGAGAGGGAGTATCAGATTCTTACTGACTAAAACCCATTCCTCTCCTAATCCAGTTCCAGTTACTATTCTGAAATACAATAGCAGTGTCACCTGAGCCAAGTTGGTCCCAATACGCTACCCTGAGGAACACCAAATATATTTCTTGTTTGGTAATGAGCTAGGAATTTAGGTGAAAGTATTGCTTCCTTTGAATTAGAAAATTTTTGAACCATTCAAGTGCCAAATACCTCATATTGCTATTTTTTCTATCGAACGCTTTCGCTAAGTCTAAAAAGACTCGCGAGGAACGTGAGGCCATTGTCTCGATCTCTCGATGGTCAACAATTTCATTTGCTACTAGATTAACTGCATCTGCAGTAGATTTATGTTCACGATAATTCTAGGTAAGCTTGACACACCCTCCTTGTGTATGAGTACTATATTATTAGTCATTTATTAACACCATCTAATCCTAGAGCACTATCATTTTAAGGTTCAAGAGCTGGAGAACTGGAAGCCTGGAGCTAAATTATTACAAAGCTCTCTGTGTCGGTTGCTAACTTATCTTATCTAGCAATTCAAAATCGTAGTACTAAAAAAAAACACTAATTATTACAAACTATTTGTGTTATGTTGTGTTTATGAAATAAAATTGAGCTTAAATTGAGGTTATCAGCCAAGAAAATCTGATTCGGTGGAATGGCAATTACACATCTACCTAAGAATTATTTTATGTATTTTTCCTGACATTCTATTATGCGATTATTTTCCTAATCGAGATGTCAGGTATCGCCCTGTAGATGGCTAACATTAGGTGTTGTGAACCACAATTATAAGTGAGCCTTACTTTTAAAAAAATAAAAAGACGATATTTCACAAACATTAAATATATTTATTACATAACAGGTCAAGACACAGGTACACATAAATTCTTTAATGAATTATTATCATTCTACATCTCCTTCATCCGTATGGTCGGAGCATTCCTCAGGCAGGAAAGTATCGTCGTTGTTGTAATCCCGTCTGTTTGGCCTGAACCGCTTCTGGCGACGTTTTGGCATCTCCACAGGACGTCCCCCAAACTGTACAAGCATACAACAAACAAATTACAAACTTTTTATTTGGAAAAGTGTTGCTAAAATGTCACCATGTCGTGACTACCCTATTCTGCTTGCAGATGATGAGTAAAGAACTACTTAATTAACAAAGACTGGGTAACAGAACCAACGCGTATTCCGAACGTGGCGATTATGGCAGAAACAACCCTTAGCATGGCAGTAAAATTGCAAAAATATAACTATGTCAATGTGTAGCCAAATAGTTACTAATAAGTTGATAAAACAACAATTTTATTGCTCGAGCCGATTCTTAGAAATTACAAATAATGCTATCGTGTTATAAAGGTAGCAAGGTAACTTAAAACATATAAATGTACTTTACTTTGATCTTTAGCTTTGACATTTAGTTACCATTTAGTTGCTCAACCTAAATATAGAGAAAAGTTTTTAGGATATATTTTTCTTGCTTTGAACCCATTTTTTCTAGAATTGAAGTTCTAAATCTTAAGGGGTATATTCCAAATATTCTAATACAACTTAAATATCCAGCAACAAAACAATTTATACTGATCAGCCAGGTTTAAAAATTGGTTTTCATTTTCCTAATTCTTGTAGTCTTAAAACTGTTTTTAATGTGTTTGCTCATCAAGAGTATACTCAAATACCCCTAGAGGATGAGCATCACAATCGTTCATACCGATCGACTAGTTTTTACCCACTCTTTTATTCTCCTCCTTCTTGCTTAAAATTGAATAAAAAGGTTCTTTTAAATTTGTTGCTCATCAGGAGTATATGCAAATACCTTTGGAGGGTAAGCAAACATATTAGTTTTAAGTGATCAGCCGAATTTTGAATATATTTTTTCTCATCTTGATATATTTTTTTTGGAGTAGTGTTTTAAATGTTGTTGATCACGAGTATAACCAATAGCTAGTGGAGTGAAGTGTTTAAAGAGTATTTGATGCATACGAGGGGTACCTATACTCAAATACCCCTGGTGGATGAACCACAAAATAGTTTAAACCGATTTCCATATTGCTTTGAATTTTTCTCTTGAGACTGGTTTTTCTATGAGTGGAAGTGTTTCAAACGTGTTGCTCATCAGGAGTATACATAAATCAAGAACAAAATAATTGTCACCAATCGTCCAATTTTCAAAAGTGTTTATAATTGTCCTCCTTATTGCTCTAATGACATTGGTTTTCATTGGAGTGAGAAGGTTTTAAATCTGTTGCTCATCAAGAGTATACTGAAATACCCCTGAAGGATGAGCAACAAAAAAATTGACACCAATTCAACATTTTCGATCGTCCGATTTTGCAAATTACTTTTTATTTTCTTTGTTCATGTTATGAGACTGGTTTTCCTTGGAGTGAGTGTTTAAATTCCTTGCTCTTCAGGAGTATACAGAAATAACCCTAGAGGGTGAGCGACGAAATAGTTATAACAGATCGTCCGATTTTTCAAAATATTTTTAATTTTCCTCGTTCTTGCTCTTATGTGACTGGTTTTCTTTGGGGTGAGAGGGTTTAAAGTTGTTGTTCCTCACTCAGGAGTATACTCAAATACCCCTAGAGGGTGGCAACAAAATACTTCAACAATCCAACGATTTTCATAATTAGATTTTATATTTTCTTAGTGTTTACACGTGTAAAGACTTTTTGTGAACATCAGGAGTAAACTCAAATACCCCTAGAGGAAGAGCGAGAGACTTATTGAATCCGATCGAACGACTTTCCAATTGTTTTCCATTTTCTTTGTTCTTACTATCTTCGTCCGATTTTAAAAAATGATTTCCCTCATTCTTGCCATCTTAAAACTGGTTTGTCTTGGAACAGAAAGTGTTTAAAACGTGTTGCTCGTCAGGAGTATACTTAAATACCCCTAGGATGAGCAACAACATACTTTAAATCGATCGACCGACTTTCTAAATTGTTCTACATTTTCTTTGTTCTTGCCATTTTAAAACTGGTTTGTCTTGGAACAGAAAGTGTTTGAAACGTGATGCTCGTCAGGAGTATACTTAAATACCCCTAGGATGAGCATCAAAATACTTTAAATCGATCGACCGACTTTCCAAATTGTTTTCCATTTTCTTTGTTCTTGCCATCTTAAAACTGGTTTGTCTTGAACAGAAAGTGTTATAAACGTGTTGGTCGTCATGAGTATGCTGAAATACTTCTAAAGGATAAAGAAAAAAAGATTGAAAACGATCGTCCATTTTTCTGTATTGTTTTTAATTATTCTCGTTCTTTCTATCTCAAAACTGGCTTGTCTTGGAATAAAAATCCTGTTAAATGTGTTAAGCTTAAACACTCCTAGAGAATGAGCAGCAAATTACTTGAAAGCGATCGTCCAATTTTAAAAATGTTTTTAATTTTTCTCTTTCTCTCTCTTATTTGACACCGTTTCTATAGTGTGAGAGTTTTAAATTTGTTGCTCATCAGTAAAAAGGATACTCAAATACCCCTGATAAGCAACAAAATAGTTGAAAACGATCGGCCGAAACGTTTTTCATTTTCTTCGTTCTTGCTCTAATGAGACCGGTTTTCCTTGGAGTAAATTTGTTGCTCATCAGTAGCAATACCTCTGGAGAATGAGCAACAAAATAGTTAAATACGATCGTCCGATTTTCAAAATTTATTTCCCTCATTCTTGCCATCTTAAAATCGGTTTATCTCTGGCAACAGAAAGCATTTTAAACGTGTTGCTCGTCAGAAGTATACTCAAATAACCCCAGAGAATGATCAACAATCTACTTGAAACTAATCCAACGATTTTCATAATTGTTTTTACATTTTACTCCCTCTTGCTATCTTCAAACTGTTTTAACCTGGAACAAGAAGTGTTTGCACGTGTCACTCATCAGGAGTAAACTCAAATACCCCTAGAGCATGAGCAACAGAATAGTTTAGCCGATTGCCCAACTTTCCAAATTGTTTTTCATTTTCCTCGTTCTTGCTATTTTAAAACTGGTTTATCTTGAACAGAAAGTGTTTTAAACGTCTTGCTCGTTAGGAGTATACTTAAATACCCCTTGAATGAGCAACAAAATAGTTGTAACAGATCATCCAATTATCCAAATTGTTTTTATTTTCTTTGTTCATGTTATAATGAGACTGGTTATACTTGGGGTGATTGTTAAAATTTGTTGCTCTTCAGGAGTATACAAAAATACCCTTAAAGGGTGAGCGACGAAATAGTTGTAACCAATCGTTCGCGATTTACCAAATTGTTTTTAATTTTCCTCTGTCTTCCTTTTATGTGACTGGTTTCCTTTGGGGTGAGAGGATTTAAATTTGTTGCTCTTCAGGAGTATACTCGAATACCCCTGCAGGCTGAGCCACGAAATAGTTCACACAGATCGTTCGATTTTAACCTGTTTTTTTATTCTCCTCATTCTTGCTCTCTGAAGGATGATTAATAACTATTATATTTTAAAATGTGTTGCTCATCACGAGTATTCTTAAACGGCCTAGGAGGATGAGCAACGAAATACTTGAAACCAATCCAATGCTTTTCATTGTTGTTATTATATTTTACTCGTCCTTGCTGTCTTATGACTGGTTTACCTTGAAAAACTTGTTAACTGTTTTGCCTTGGAACAAAAAGTGCTTTAAACGGGTTGCTTATCAGGAGTATACAGAAATACCCCTGCAGGATGAGCAACACATTAATTGAAACCAATCGACCGACTTTCCAAAATGTTTTTCATTTTCTTAATTCTTGCTCTAATGAGAACATTTGTTGTTTCTCAGGAGTATACTCAAATACCTCTAGAGGGTGAACAACAAAATACTTAAAACCAATCCAACATCTTTTAAAATAGTTTTTGTGTTTTCTTCGGTGTTGTTCTAATGACACTGGTTTACCTTGGAATAAAAATTGTTTTAAACGTGTTGCTCATCCTGCAGGGGTATTTCTGTATACTCCTGATGAGCAACCCGTTAAAAACACTGTTTATTCCAAGGCAAAACAGTTTAAAGACAGCAAGAATGAGGAAAATATAAAAACTATTATGAAAATCGTTGGATTGGTTTCAAGTAGATATTTTGTTGCTCACCCTCCCAGGCTATTTAAGAAAATTCGTGATGACACTGGTGACCTTACACATTTAAAAAACTTATAGTTGTAAAATCATCCTTAAGAGAACAATAATGAGGAGAATGAACAAATAGGTGAATATCGGACGATCGGTGTCAACTATTTTGTTGCTCATCCTCCAGGGATATTTCAGTATACATCTGAAGAGCAACAAATTTAAACCCTCTCACCCCAAAGAAAACATAAGAGCAAGAACGAGGAAAATTAAAAACTATTTGGAAAATCGGACGATTGGTTACAACTATTTCGTCGCTCACCTTTTAGGGGTATTTTTGTATACTCCTGAAGAGCAACATATTTAAACAATCTCACTCCAAGGAAAACCAGTCACATAAGAGCAAGAACAAGGAAAATTAAAAACAAATTGGTTCGGTTTCAACCATGTATTTTGTTGCTCATCCTGCAGGGGTATTTGATTATACTGCTGATGAGCGACACAAGTCAAGCCAGTTTTAAGATAAAAGGAACGAGAAAAATGAAAACGGACGATCGGTTTCAACTTAGCTTGTCGTTATTCCTCCAGGGGAATATGAGTATACTCCTGATTAACAACAAATTTAAACCCTCTCAGTCCAAAGAAAACCAGTCATCAACTATTAGGTTACACACCCTCTAGGTCTTCGTTATTGTTCTAATGACACTGATTTTCCTTAGAGTAAGATTGTTTAAATATGTTGCTCATCAGGAGTATACTGAAATACCCCAAGAGAGTGAGCAACAAAATAGATTACACCAATCCTCTGATTATCAAGTTTGTTTTTAATTTTCTCCGTTCTTGTTCTAATGAAGATGGTTTTCATAGGAACAAAAATTGTTTAAAGCTCATGAATAGTATACTGAAATACCCCTAAAATTAAGAACTATTTAGTTACAAATTGATGTTTTTCTTTTAGATGTAGGTTAGGGTCTGAAGGTTTTTAGTTAAATCGTCAATCGGATCCTAAATCGAGCAGAATACCATGGTTGAAGGTAAGAAAAGGATGTTCCCTTTAATAATGGCAGTATATACTAATCTGACAAAACGCAAAAGGCGGGTATACTAGATATCTTATAAACTGTTGCATTGCATTAAGTGTGATCATACCTGTTCAACAAGTTTGTAAGGACCTACTCCATCAATAAATGTTTCTTTGAAAGCTTTGTGCAAAGGCTTTCTTTTAAAAGGTGCACACTGTTGTCTTAGTACTTCTGCTGCACCCTCAGGAAGATCTACAAATGTATAAAATTTTTTTTTTAGATTTGTAAAATATTTCTAACAATAGTATGAAGTCTGAAATCAATGCATGGCATTTAGCAATAGTATCACCCGTTCTCTTCTAGGAGCGGACCCACATTACAACTAGTAAAAATGCATTGTATATGTGAATCTGTGCTTAACCATCTGTTTAACCTTTTCACAGTTTCATCATGCACAAAAAAATATTAAATTAAAATATTTCTTACCAATCTCTCTGAATGAAAACTGCCTTGGTCTGATATCATAGACCCTGTAATCCAACATGAGCATAACGTCAAAAGGCTCCGCTTCCTCATACATATCATTCTGTGCTACAAATGAGATCTTCATGTGAGATCCATCTAGAATCTTGAATAATTCTCCTTCTATGTTCAACATTTTCTGTAAGCAAAAAGTAACAATATATGATATATAAGTACAGTGTAACTTTCACAATAGTAGCCAACGTAAAAAGCTCAGCACTAGAAGAGAGTGAAGGTTCAGTTACATCTAAAAGATGCAGTAGGTAAATTTTTTTACAAAATATCTTTTGTACAAGAATAAATAAATAAATTATCCATCACTGTATCAGGAAGAGCATTACCACAATTGTCAAGTAAATAATATACAGGAATAACATAGGAAATACAAAACAAATGGATTTAAATACCACTTTGGCTATGGACAGATTCTCAAAGACATACAAGTTTAATTGGAAGATACTTCAGATTTGATGAAATTATGAAATATTGCCCGCATATATCACTAAATGGTAGTTTTAAAAAATTTCTTACTTTCAAAGCTGTAAATTGATCCAATCTATTGTAATATGCAACCAGGGCCTTTCTGATGGCTCCAAGACATTCAGGCAGCATTATGTTATCAAAATCCTGCATCACAGCTTCTAAATTAAATCCCAGCGGGAGTGAGGACTTTGATACTTCATTTACACCTAAAAAACAAGGCAATAATTTTGTTATAAGCAAGAATTAATTATTTGGTTTATAGGTGCTCCCGCAACAGATTGATACGATGAGCCTTGGGTAGGGAAACCCGCCATTGAGTCCTGAATACTGCTGGAAAGTTAAAATTTATCAGCAGGTTAAAACATAAGATATTGTATTTGATGGGGCAATAAAGAAATATCAAAGCTACACTTAGACAGTACAAAGATCGCCGGGTCAGCTAGTAAAATATAAAATAATTAAATACTAACACCACAAACATAAATTGTAAGTTAATATTGTTACTAACTCACTAACCAAATATGGACATTTTTCTGAAATAAACATTGTTCTATTCTTCTAATAGCTTGTCTTTTAAACAAACAATCAGAATTTAATGGTAGCCCCAAAAATGCATGTCAAGCAATCCATACCATTTTTCAGCTCAATCCTCAATCCATGTTTGACCTGATGCTGTGTGTCATGCTGCATGTGGTAGACTATGCAGCAGTGGTCCTGTAAGACGTACGACTGCACCTCTATACCAGACAGCACTGACATTAGCTCCAAATCCATCTTCAGCCTATCCACGGCATTTGAGAGCACTATTTTCTGGAATTTACAACTATGGTGTTAGTTACAAGACATCATAAACAACGCGAAAGTTAATCTTAAAAAATTAGATAAAAAGAGATTGTAAAGTTCCCAACCCATACTTATACAGCCTACTACTACACATATTTGTGTAAGACAAGTCTTTATATTTAAGTTACCTGAGGCCTAACAAATGGTTCAGCCTTTTTCTTTGGCGGCGAAGCTTTCCGTCTATAACTGTTTCGTTGTAATTGAAACAGTTCATCTTGTTTGTTTTTCAGTTGTTGTTCCAGTCGCTGTATCTCTTCCTGCAGTTCTTCGCAATCTTCCGGTAACTTAGAAGCTAGAATTTAAATAGCACATTTTAGTCTTTTGATGAATAAAATAGCTCGTATCCTCAACTTTAACCGCATAATTAATTTACGTCCTCCTACATTTATACTATTCATATAATCTTGAACTATTTTTAAATAGAGCTACTGATTTAATATTTTCAAATTTCACGTATTTACCTCCTTTCCGAAACAACTTTGTTATTTTCAGTTGCTTTGTATGTGTCATTTTTATCGTTATAACTTTCTATAATACGCGTATTTCACACTGTATTTAATTATATTAAAAACAAAATAAAACCAATATCAACAAACAACTACACACACAACGGAATTATTTTGAACTTTTGACATTTCTTTTAGTAATGTTGGCTGACATGAATGAACGAATGAATGAATGACACCAATTGTAACCCTCAAATCGTCAAAAGGATGTTGAATATATTATTGTCTATTATAGCTTTTTTAAGTTGTAGTCTTCATACTTTTTATTTGTATTGATTCTTAATTATATTTTTAAAATAATCAATGGATGGGTATGTTTGAAACTAAGCGCAAACACATTATAGTTTCTTTTCGAATCAACTAATTTGTCCGTGGCATCTTTTATGAGACCGGGTTAAGTAGTAAACAGCCGTAGTATGTTGAACTACGGGGACAACTTCCTGGACTTACACTGGAGTTCGAACTGATAATAACTAGCAAATGTATGATTGCATAGCTCCTGACAAATATACGGTAACTATTTAGGTTTCATCAGTTTTTTTATGGAAGAGGTAGGTAAGTAAAGTAAGCATTTTAAGTGTGGGAGAGCCATGTTTCGACACGAATGGGTCGGCTCGACCGGAGTGATACCACGGCCTCACAGAAGACCGGCGTGAAACAACCACAGCGTTGTGTTTCGTCGTGTGAGTGAGATTACCGGAGGCCCAATCCTTCCCCGCCCCCAATTTCTCTTCAATCCCTAAAAGGTCGGCAACGCACTCGTAAATCCTCCGTTGTCCATGGGCGGCGCTGATTGCTTCGTCAGGCCTTACCGTCTGCTCGTTTGCCGACCAATTACATAAAAAAAAGTAAACGAGCTGACGTTTGACAAAAGCAATCGGCAGCGGCACCGCCCATGGACACCAGCAACACCAATGGAGTTACGAGTGCGTTGCCGGCCTTTTGGGAATAAGGGTTTCGGATATTTTAGAATTAGGATGGGATGAGGAGAAGGCGCGGGATTGAGCCTCCGGTAAAACCTCACTCACACGGCGAAACATAACGCTACGACAACTCTGCAGTTAAAGTCCTCTGGACGTGTTGTCACCACCTTTAGAAATGGCATATTATTATAGACTTTCATGTTTATTATACGTTCAGTTTTGGAGTGAAAACATAACACATGCAAAATATTTTGGAATAATGGCCGAAAGATAAAGAATTTTCTCTAGGTATGGTATACATTTGGGTGATACCCACGTTGGAAATATGAATAAAAAACAAGAAAAAATAATAAATATTTTTATTTCATTTTAAAAAACATGTTAGGTTTTATTCTTGGTATAAAATACTACGCCCACCGAAAACAAAAGAAAATTTTGATATGAGTGGTTCTTATATTTGGGCAAAATGATTTTGTGTTCTATATTATCATTATCATCATCATCATTAGCCTACAAGTGCCCACAACTGAACAAACGCCTTTTCTCACACTGAGGAAGTTTGATCATTAATCACCGTTGTATTTATCCACCTAGGTATAATTCTTATTGTCTTAAAATATATTCTCTCACTTATGAGCAATTCTTCGTCTTCGAATACAAATTATACAGTCACCATACTCTTTATCAGACATAGCCAATAAGCCCCGGGCCACAGACGAAAACAAAGCAAATGTCCGTCCAACATTGGCCCAAATATTTGGACACATGATTACGTCAAATATAAATCCATGTACGAATGAATGTCAACATTTTACAGTGTCGTTAATCCAATGGATTTCAAATCTTCTTGCGTCAGTCGGCCCTCATCCCATTTCACTCGTAATCTGAAACAAAATCGGTGCCATTTTAGTATAATCATGAAAAAGAGTAACCATGGAGTTTCAATAGGAATCTACATTTTGAAACGAGCAAATAGCTTCACTAGAGGATGGTCCGACAGAGTGACACACACAAAATTGAACATTTTTATACTTATTTTGTACAAGCTTCAGCCCGCGACTAAAAACTATCCTATAATCCTATATAACTCAAGAAAGGGCTTTCGAGTTTCAAACTATGTCTGTACCAAATATTATCCAAATTGTTTCTGTAGTTATGCATGAAGGAGAGAGAGGGATTAGGCATCACTCAGACGTGGTTTCACTGCGGTCGAGTCGACCTATTCGTGCCGAAACATGGCTCTCCCACACTGACCACATAGAACCTCACAAACTTTCCGATCTATATGGAGAAGGAGAGTAGTACTGCGAAAAGGACCGTGGCTTCTTACCTTTCCTCGTTATGCTTGACAGACCATAAAGCAGGCATATATTTAGGTTTCATATTTTTCAAGAAGTGCTCGCGCCATTCTTGTTCCAGTTTGAGTAAACCATGTCGTTTGAAATAGTAGTCGACTACTTTAATACCGTGTGATTCATAGTCTGTATTCTCTGTGCTGAAAGGAAAAAGAATAATGTTAAATATACTAATTCTCCCTAACGCGTCTGACGGTTTTCTCACGTAACTATTTGACAAGGTAACTCAACTAGTCATCATCATCAGCCTATACGTAGTACGAAAACCATCAGCTTTGCTTGCGAAAACTAAACAAACTATTTAACAAAATATTTTTTTTACTTAGTTTTTACTTACGCTAATAATATTAATATACCAAGAGAACTTTTCTGTATCAGAAACCTAAGAAACCCAACAAGTCCTGTCAAACCTGTCTACAAATTTCTGAGAAATTTTGCCACGTAATGACTATGAGTCCCAAGCGTAATTTGAAACCAGTCGAATTACCTCGTCGAACAGTTACTTACGTACTTACATAAATAAGCGTTAAAAAATAATTAGCTTTACTTTCTACGGTGAAAATACTTACACGACGGGTATATTACAGGCTTTCTTGAGCAGTTCCATTGTGATCTCGTCGTGGTCAGGATAGTGCTGCAGCAGGATGTCTTCCAGCTCCTTGCGTCTTACTTCTGGCAGTTTATCGTTCGCATTATATAGCGCGCGGGCAGCTGATCTAATTTTTCTGTTGATAAAAGTAAAAAAAATGTTTTGAATTAACATTTTTGAGGTATATTTATATTTCAAATGATTAGACATGTCCTGTTGTGGACGGAAATATGCTGATAAAATTAATTATATACTTCAACGCACTTTTAAAACAAAAATCCTAGTGTAAAGCTACGCATTTTTTATAAAATAACAAAAAAGTGTCCCATCGAGAAATTTTCAGTTATGTGTAGGTCCAGTGGATATTTTATTTTGAAATCTATCATCATCAAAAAAGAAAACGAGAAAGAAAAATATTCCGTAATGGCGGGCAAAATTAATCAGTATTCCTATGCGCGCGCATCGGCCATAGACTAAAAAATGATGATTCTATTTTTTGGGCTTTAGCATTTTAGGGTCAGGTAAGCGTAAATCTACTGATAATAAAAAAAAACTATTACTCACTAATGAATAATAATAATGAAAAAGACAGTTTTATTATAGATGTCATTACGTGCCTAATTAATTGCCGTGTGATTAGAGCCACTTTATGGGGAACTAGCTTTTGCCCGCGACTTTGTTCACGCGGAAAAGTTACTTCCTGCAGATTTTTGGAATAAAAACTATACTATGTCCTTTCTCAAGTTCCAAACTATGTCTGTACCAAATTTCACATAAATCGGCTGAGTAGTTTAGGCGTGAAGAAAAGACAGACAGACAGACAGAAAGACAGACAGACAGAGTTACTTTCGCATTTATAATATTAGTTAGGATTGTGTTGAAAAGTATATAACTTACTTAGCAGCCATATCTTCAATGAATCTGAAGCGGGAATCGGACGGTAGCGGCGCATTGCACTGCTCCGCGAGAAACACGCGCATGTTCTGGTCTCGCATATTACTCAGCTGATGGCAGTCAGCGCATAATAACACCACGTCGTGAGAAGAATGTTCCTTCATTATTTCTGTAATATAAAAACACTAATATAATATTTTGTCGTATACATATTGCTTATAGTGACCTCCAGGACTGTTTTTTTTTTGTTTTTTTTTTTTATTATACATATAAACTAGTGATTGGACTGACGTGTGTTTATTTGCAAACACAACACTGCGGCATTTTGGAGACCAATATTTCGTTTCTAACACTTTGGAAAATAAATAAACCAAACAAATTACCAAAAAAAAAATCGTGTACTAGAAGTATAGATAATTTATTACATAAGCGGCCTAGGTGCCTGGGGCATTCTCTGCCAATCTTCTTTTGAGTGTTACAAAGACAGGGCATAAAATATACAATTACGAACATTTAAAAATCAAATTTAGAATAAATATACAAAACTCACCAGGAAATAGTTTTCTATACTCTCTGGGCACAACGTTCTTACGGATGCAGCTATTAGTGCTGGCACAAACGACACACTTGTTCTCCTTCTCAAGCTGGTAGTAGCGGCCGACGTCGCCAACCGCTCGGCCGGCGGGTTCAAACTTCAGACGGACTGTCAAAGGATCCTCCTTAATCAAATCCGCCAGGCCTTTGTTCACGAACCTGTTGAGTAAAGATGTAAGTATAGTTTAGCTAGCCCGATCCGTTCCCCCTCTCCCATCTTCGATCCTCAAATCCCCTATCCTTAATTACCCACAAGAGGCCGACAACGCACTTGTAGTCCTTTGGCTTTACGAGTGTCCATAGGCGGCGCCGATTGCTTACCATCAGATAATCTGTCTAGTTGTATGTCGATCTATGACATAAAGAAGTAACTGAGAGGTCATTGTTGAATTAATCCACCGGGATTTTGGTGGAACGAGTTAAGGCCCAAGGCCAAGTAGATAGTGGAAAAAGTGCAACTAAGAAGTTACTACTCTATATAACACATTAAACACACAAAATACATTTTTCTGCTTCACTAAAGAACCGATAGATTTTTTTGGTCGTTTTTGAATAATAAATAAGGACATAGGATAGTTTTTTAATCAAAAATCTGCAGGAAATCATTATTCCACGTGAACAAAGTCGCGGGCAAAAGCTAGTTAAATATATTTTCTTTGGTTCACTAAAGAACCGATAGATTTTTAATTTGTTAGTTTTTTAAAAGAAGCTGTAAGTTCGGTAGTTCAAAACCGGCGTTTCAGATTGATAAACAACCACAAATCACTCAGAACACTTTGAACAACAGTTTGTGGATCAACACAGTGTTGTGCCCAGTCACTTAACAGCTGTAGTTGAGTAACCATTATTGGGATTTACAATAAAAGCTGTGTAAAATCAACCATGCATAGTTAGGACAACGTTAACTTACCACATTCCCTTTCTATTGTCACAAATGCACAACAGTTCGCCATCAGGAGCTTCCAGATAGCCATTGTTGTACAAAGGCCTTGTACGTTTTGTGAGCTTATACCTCTTGGTAGGTTCTTTAATCTTTGAGTCTTTTTCTTTTGCGCTGTTGAAAGATAAAGTAGAATGTGAGACTGAGAGTGTGTCGTTCTTGCAAATTTCTAGACCTGACTCAAGTCTTGATTCTACTATGCATCATTATGCACAGAACACAATTCCAGAAACCGCGTACTAATATTGATAGTCGATCAACGAGGCAACAAAATTAGTGCTTCTAGTATCTTTTATTTTATTTACAAAAAGTAAGAGAGACTTATACAAGTTGGATTAACAAAAAACAAACTTCTGTTATTTCTCACGTATCTATTATAGAGCTGGGATATTCGATGACCCCCCTAAAAAAATTGGCCGTATGTGGCCAGCTAGGCTCACTGGCGAAGTTTGAGTTTCGCCCTTATTCTGTTCCGCTAAGGTACGCCTGCGGGGCAACACACTCGTCCTACAGTACAAATATAAATTCAACTTCTCCTATTTATATAAATAAATAAACTTAGTTTTATTTCATCAACCAAAACCTAATGTAGTTTACTGATTGACGTCGTTAGATACCCGCGTACATAAACATATGAGCTATGTAGGTACGATATATAACTTCCTATGTCATTGTGCAATGAACAGGAAAATATACATAAATGGTACCTACTGACGCAACTTATGTAGGCAAATACAAAAAAAAAAGTACCTGAAGATTATCTCATTGATAAGTAGGTGCAAGCATTACTGCGAATCTAAATTAGCGGGTCGCCCTTTCTTCGCGTCGGTCTCAAATGACTTCGCTAATATCTAATTTTCTTTTACCTACCTACCTACTCTTAACAATTTATATGATTACAACAAAACAAAGCATTGGTAAAATTGTGATCCAGGAGTGTTGAGTGCATCAGTTGTTAGCCATTTTCTCTTTTTTTATGCCATTTTTTTTATATGCATTTTTATGCCATTAATTTCTATAGTACCTATAGATTGTGTGTTTTTAAGTTCATAACAATATTCGAAGGACTAGGAATACGCCCACGCCATGAGTCAAGAACAAAAAAAAACTACATCGAAATAAAAAAAAAATCACTCACTGATCCTTCAGTTTGATAGTATGTTTAGTTTTGTAGCCAACATCAGCATACTTTGAGCAATAGTCGTACGAACGAGTCCATACACTTGAACTATCGTAGCTAAGGGCCCAGGAATTTGACTTTTCCTTGTCAATCCTCTCCAGTAACAAAGCGAAGATTTTAATGGCAACATGGGCATCGATCGCTGCGTATTGCTTTTGTCTTTCTGATAACTCTTCAGCCTCCCAATCACTGCATCGGATCTAGGAAAAACAATAACATTGAGTACAGATTTTTATATAGTAGGGGCCAACCGCCAAAGACAGTAAACAGATCACCTAATCTAACGAAAAGTGATCAGTCTTGCTCATAGAGAGAAGGTGCATTAAAAAAAGAAAACAAAAAAGGAATGCGTCTCTTTCTGAAAAGGGTTGGGCTAAGACTCTAATTCAAGAATTCGACTGTATATAATACAAATGGGAACGATATGGTTTTTGCACCTAATGTGGGCTATTCTCTGCAACGCGCAAGGTTCAGGAGAAAATGTGTACGCTATTAAGACCGCCTTGTACAAAATTTTGCGCCAAAGCTTTAATTAAATAATAAATGAAAATAATACACTTGATAACATTGTCAGTTGGATTCTTGAACAGTTGAATACTTCCCTTGGAATTCGACGAGACGTGCGACGGTAACTAAGCTACGATCTTACGATCTTATTATTACTTTAAACACACAAATAATCCGGGGTGCGGGGTAAGCGCAATGAGGCACCGCGACCTCGGCTTAGAGCAGAAGAAGGAACAGGAGGGTTTTTAGTCAGTAAGAGTCTGACACTCCCTCATTTGATGATTTTAAAATTTCCCTCACAAAAAAACACAAATAATATTTCACTTACCCTCCAACTCTTGTCCAACACGGTGCGCAATAGGACGGAGCTCAATGTACCCAGGCCACCACCTTCAAAACCACAAGCTTCGGCTAAGTGTCTAATGTCTAGCGTAGACCTCAATTCCACCATATAGTCGTGGTGCAAGTATTTGCCGTCATCTTTGGGCGCTACACCTACCTTATAAATGCTTTCATCTTCTAATAGTTCCTATAACAAAATATTTATATTAAGAGACTTAAAGACATTATTGGTCGTGTACTTTTTTGTGGAGGTAAAGGGATATATTCTCTTTGGCTATAAAACATCACGCTAAGATTAAAAGGAGCCGAGCAGCGGGTGAAACCGCGCGAGAGTAGCTAGTATAGTATAGAGAAATAATGACTAAGGTCATGTTTTCGCATTTAATAAAGAATTCTAGAAAATATTTTTGAAGGGTACAAACATTATAAAATACTGATAATGTCTCAATGTTCTGAATTATGACGTCACATTATGTAGATACATGCAATATGATGCAATGTGGCAAGGGAATACATTTGGCGCTGCCACTTATTTATGGACACGTGTACCTTAATTGTTACTTGTTAGTCAATAATGATATCATTCTCTACCGCATTCATTTTCCGCAATTTCGATTATGATAACGTAAACATTTGGAGTAATAAATACATATACCTACATATATAGATATATTGGTCACAAGGAAGCGTAGTACCTACTTATTTTGTGATATTTATACCAAATGTGTAGCTAAGGGGATAACTTGGAAATTATTAAACTATCGTATGTTTCAAACGTGGATCCACGCGAGACACTTTCTATTGTGTCTTGTAAACCGACATTCAACGGTTAAACCGATTTAGGTATTTTCTTGTTTATTGTTTGTTATTTTCAAAGAAAGTTCAAGAAGATAAAAGTGTCTTAACAGAAGTGGACTTTTTTCTGTTGATTAGTTGGAAAACGGGACGACGGATCAACTGATGGTATATGATCAGCGCTGCCCATAGACACCCACAACACCAGCAAAGTCGCAAGTGCGTTTGCCGGCCATTCTCGAAGGAGTACCTACTCTAGTTTTTTGAAGGTTTGAAGGTCGTATCGGTTTCGAATAAAGACAGATTTATTAGCCTAATTAGATAAAAGAAAGTTATCAACGATAATGAATGTGTATGATAACAGTAATTCCCGCATGTTATGCAGCAAAAATAAAAAGGGTGTGGCAAAATGGGGCTGGATATTGTAGTATGATTAACCACACAGTAATGCAAACAATAAATTTAATTATTCTTTTTTTTTATTACAATTGCTGTTCTATTATAATTTATTGATGAAAGCTTAACTATAAAACATCAAGAGTGTAAAACTCCACCATTGTAGTTAGTACAATCTATTTTTATAACAAAGTAGACAAAATGCTATTTATTTTCTTATTGTATTGTGGTATTTCCGGTAGTAGATAGTAGTACTTATCTTTCATCTATACTAATATTATAAAGAGGTAAAATATGTAAGTTTGTATGTAGGGGGTAATGTTTGGAACCGCTGGTCAGATTTCCAAAATTCTTTCACTGGTAGCTACAATATTCCTGAGTGCTATAGGCTATAAAACATCACGCTACGATCTCTAGGAGCTGAGCGGCGCGTGAAACCGCGCCAGATTAGCTAGTAAAGTATAAAATGAGGAAAGTTTTTCTCCCTCAGCCAATATTTTTTAGTTCTTTATTGAGGATGTGTCATTGAACTTTGGGTGAGATTCCCAGGTAAGACAAAGTATTGTTGGGTTTCTTCATAAAATCATGGAGTCTGGATTTGAGGCCACCATATCGGAATTCTATTAGGTTAATGAAATGAAAGTTTGTAAAACCATGAATATGACCATTTTAGCCAGGAATCCTGTACCAAGATTTTCTTTTTGTTTATTTGCAACAGAAGAAATATTTGAAATGGATAAGTGTGTTCTTCAGAAAAAAAATCCCTTGACAGAGAACATATAATTATGGGACAAATGAACTACTTACTCTTAAAGATTTATGCACTGTCTTCATTGTGTTTAACCTGAACAGGCCACAGTATCCATCTAGAGAAGAGAGCTGGACTAAAGCAACAGGTTGGCGCTTCCCATTATTTGTGACCCATTCACAGTCAAAGCCCAAGGCACGGTGCTTCTGGCATCGCCTAAAAAAAAATTAACATGTTTTCTTAAACAAGAGACACAAAAGAAGAACAATATGTGCTTAAACGCCAGCATTTGCTTGGGGTTTGAGGAAATAAAGAAAGAAAAACCATTAATTAATGCTAATATTGATGAAATGATGTATTATAATTATATCTTTCTGTTTAACTAATTACAATGTTTGTAAACAATGAAAAAGTAGAAGCTTAGTATGTAATTAGGTAATATTAATTGTAAGGGCCCGATGTCATAGACATTAAAAAAAAAACTAAGTTCTTATTTTTATTTTCTTAACTTTCGTGAGACATTCTAAATTAATTATTATGTTTTCGGCTTACTCACGTTATAATTTGACGAGATACTCGACTAGTTTCAAGCCATCCTAGAGGCCTATATTGATGAGCAGCTGCTAGTAGCAGCGCGACAGTCGAGTATCTCGTCAAATTATTACGTGAGTAAGCCGAAAACATAATAATTAAGTTGTTCTTACCTTCTTAACTCAGTAACAACGAAGTCGCAAGATTCTTCAGTGGTCACAATATTAACATTTAAATAATTAAATAAATCGCTAGCATTGCGCACTCTTCTTCTCCGTTTATATGCAATATAAGAAACGGTACAACCTACAGCCACTGCGGCAGTTGCAGCGCACAACTTGTAACTCGTCGGAATTTCCATTTTACTACTACAAACAAAAATAAACAATATTATCAAAAAACGTGTAATAACCTATACGAACAATGTTTATTTGATAACAAAAGTTGTCAACGAGATTATTTATTATGAATATTTATCTTTAGACTGACGTGTTGTTCTGACACTATACCGTTTTATATGTCTAGATTTTCAAATTACATTCAGTTTGTGCAAAGTTGCCTCAGTTTTTACGCGTAGCTTCTAATGTTGTAATCATTATGACACTTTAGGTAGGTAGTGAATTTTGACGGGAATTTATATGGTTTTGACTTTTTTGGCGACGATATGACGTTGACATTTGGGACTTTGCTTGCCATCTTGTTTAAGGTTGCCATTGATTGGGACTTTCGTTGGTAGTGGTGAAGGTTACGCACGTGCTTTTATCGGTGCTACGATTGTTGTCAATTTTAGTGATCTTATTCATAGTGAACTAAATTGAAACCCTTTTATTTTTGTGTTGTTTAATTGTGTGTGTGTAAGTTTTAATAAGGTATTGTGTAGTCTTAAGTTTTAACACTTGTTCTCTCTTCCCACCGTTCCTACTTTTTTTTAATAATGGACGAGGAGAAACCCCCTGATCCTCCCGACAAATCCGATTATAATTCTATTTTATGCACGACCCTCCCTCACGACAACCAGGAAAATGAACTAATGGATTCTGAATGTAATCTTAATAGAAAGCGACCGGCAGGCTCCCCCGTTATCTCCCGCGTCAACCCTCCGAAGTTCAATGTGTGTCCAATCAAATGAAAAGCATCAATGGTAGGCAGTGCTATACAGCTAAAGACAACCCCCCTTATATTGTTCATGTTTCACTCAAGGACTCCCAGACGACTGGCACTACCCTTCATCCAATCAAATTCGGGATGTTCTTGACGAAGAATAATATAAACAATATTAAAATTGGAGGAGTGAAGCGACTCGGTAGGAATAGAGTGTCGGTCGAGTTTGTCTCTCACCAAGACGCTAACAGTTTCCTCGTTAACTGTGTTGTAGCACAAAGTTACATTACCTCAATCCCTCAATACAACATCACAAGAATGGGTATTGTAAGAGATGTTCCCATTGAGTGGACAGAGGAGGAAATAATCAGGAACATCAAGGTTCCCGCTGGATGTGGTATTGCTATCAAAGCAAGACGTACCTATGAACCGTAAAGTGTCAACAGAAAATGGTACAGAGTGGAAGCCTACTCAGACTGTGGTTCTCACTTTCGATGGGCAAATTCTTCCAAAGAAAGTTTTTTGTTTTTACTCGGCACTCCCTGTGGAACAATACACATACCCTACAATACAGTGTTTCAACTGTTGCCGTTTCGGGCACACCCGCACTCTATGCCGCTCCAAGCCGCGTTGCTTTAGATGTGGCCAGGATCATCCTGGTGATGGATGTTTAGTAGCTGAGGAGGCTGCACATTGCATTAATTGCAGTGGCAACCATTTCGCTAATTATAATGCTTGCCCTGAATTAGGTCGCCAGAAGAGCATTAAAGCTCTAATGGCAGAAAAGGCAATCTCCTATGCGGAAGCAAGCCAGGTATTTCCCTCAGTCAAAAAGTCATATGCCGAGGTATCTAAACCCAAATCCACCAACTACATCCAATTGACCCCAACCAAAAAATCATCCCCGCAGAGACTATCCTATAAAAAAACTGTCCATGTCAAACCCAAATCCCATGCTCCTCTTTCTCCCAGCTATGATAAGAAGGCCCACCAGGCCCTTATCCATAATTACTCCTTTTCCCCGTCCCAAAATGGTTGCGTTTTCCCTGTGGAATCCGGAACCCATAGCTCTAAAAACATTTTAGACATAATTTCCAGCATGCTCATGGCAGTGTTATCCAACCCTGACCAGACCGTACCTGACCACGTTGCCCATAGATTAGCCACCATCCTAGATTATATTTATAAAATTCCATCCACTAACAATTCTCCAGTGGAACGTGAGGAGTACTCTTCCCAGGAAGAGTGACTTGCTACACCTAATTAACAAATTCAAACCATCAATTTGTGGACTTGCTGAGACATGGCTCCGACCGAATATCAATTTCGGGATCCCGTGTTTCAGTGTTGTCAGACATGACAGATCTGATGGTTATGGAGGATGTGCTTTGTTAGTTAATAACAAAGTACCCTTCACCCAGATCCCTCTACCCTTCGTTGGCGATGACATAAATGTTGTCGCTGTTAAGGCTGAGGATATAAATATTTTTATGTTTTATATTGCGCACCCTAATACTAATCATTTGGCCATAATAAAAAATTTACTTATGTCAGTGAGTGGCCCATTACTTGTAATGGGCGACTTTAACTGTCACCACTATAGATGGGGTTCCGATACCTGCGACAACATAGGTAGCGAGTTTGTAGAAATGATAGATGAGCTTAACCTATGTGCCATTAATGACGGCAGCCCAACCCGTAGGTCTGAATTTGGGCAAAGAAGCAGTTGTGTAGACTTAACCTTCTGCTCACCCAATATGGCAAGCGTGCTGAATTGGAGCTGTTTGAATATGACCTATGGTAGTGATCACTATCCCATAATAATCTCTAAATCTGTCCCCGATAAATCCCTCCCCCCTCTCTTAAAATATCGTTTAGAAAAAGCAGATTGGGACCTGTATTCTAAATTGTTAGATCTCCGCATTTCTTCCCTCCCACTTATTACCATTGAGAATGCCATGGAATGTTTTTCAAAGTTTTCGGAACTGATATCCTCTACAGCTGAAGATTGTTTCCCTGTGAAAAACACACCAAAAGGCAAAATCCCCTCCCCTCCCTGGTGGGATAGTGAATGCACTGCCATGATAAGAGCCAGGAATGAGGCCGAAAAGGCATATAACCGAGACATGAACCTGGAAAATCTCCTTAATTTCAAGCAGGTGTTGGCTAAGTCAAGGAAACTTTTTAAAAAGAAGAAGAGGCAGGGCTGGCAGAGATTCTGTAGCTCCCTGAGCCCATCAACACCGATAGCAACAGTTTGGCGAAGGGTGAAGAGCTTCAGAAATTCCATTAAGCCTAATTCAACTCCTATCTTGCCTGACGATCTGAGTCACAGTTTCTTTACCAAAATTGCTCCTCTGTATGTTCCCGGTGAGGAAGAATGTTGTTTGGGACATTATGAAGAATCGCGTGACCCGCTTGATAGGAATTTCTCCATGAATGAGCTCCAAATGGTTCTAAACCATGTAAAAGACTCCGCTCCAGGAATTGATGGGTTCCCTTACTCCTTCTTGGTGAAAGCAGGACCCAAAACCAAACAGTACTACCTTGACTTAGTCAACTTCTGTTTTACTTTCGGCTATATTCCTCCTATCTGGAAGGTTCAGGTTATTATGCCGCTGTTGAAAGCTGGCAAGGATCCTGGTGACCATTCGTCTTATAGACCTATTGCCCTATCGTCCATACTTATAAAAATTTTAGAACATCTCATAAAGACCCGGTTGGAATGGTCGATGGAAGGCCGGGGGCTGTTCCCGGCGACTCAGTTCGGCTTCAGGAAAGGTTTGGGTACGGCTGACAGTGTGGGTACCCTCACGTCAGCCATCCGACTGGCCCTAAGCAAGGATGAGTCGTTGGTGGCGGTCTTTCTGGACGTCTCATCCCCCTATGACTCGGTCCTCCTACCCCTTCTCAGGCAAAAGCTGCAAGAGCTGAGAATCCCGAGTAGGATTTGCCAAATTATAGGCTGCATCCTTTCCAACCGCACCCTCCAATTGAGGACTCCTGGGGATGAGCCTTCACAGAGAACATCTTGGAGGGGCTTGCCTCAGGGGTCTGTCCTTAGTCCCATCCTGTATAATATATATACCTATGACCTCCCTTCCTGTCTAAATTATGATTGCAGAGTCCTTCAGTATGCTGACGATATCGCATTAATGGTCACTAGCAGCTCTATAACAGATGCTACCACCTCCATGAATGTCTCTTTGTCCTCATTACACCAATGGCTTCTCAATCATGGGTTGTCTTTAAGCGCCCCAAAAAGCTCAACTGTCATTTTTTCCCGCAGACGTCGCCTTCCAGACATTCATATAGAGATAGACGGTCAGCCCATTCCAGTTATGAGGAAGGCTAGGTTCTTGGGCGTCATCCTCGATTCTAGGATGTCGGGGGTAGACCACGTAGAAGCCGTAGTTAGAAGATGCGAGCGTTCAGTGTGTGTTCTCAGAGCACTAGCTGGGGTATGGTGGGGTGCTCACCCTTACACGCTGAAACTCGTATACAATGCATTGGTCAGAAGTGTGATGGACTATTGCTGTTTTCTTATGGCGCCCTGCAATAAGCAAGCACTTAAAAAGCTAGATTCCATCCAGGCCAAATGCCTAAGAATAATTATTGGAGCTATGAAGTCTTCCCCTATAAACGCTCTTCAGGTTGAATGTGCAGAGCCCCCCCTCGACCTTCGAAGACAATACCTGGCAGACCGTTTCGTTTCTAAAGTCCTGACCCGCTCTTCTCATCCCCTGCTTCCTATCCTTGAGCAAATCCATTGTTCCTATGGTTCTTCTCCATATTGGAACAATAAACCTGTCCCACCCGTGATTGTTAGGTATAGGGAGCTTAAAAACCTCTCTGCACCCATCAGTCAATACCCTATCCTTCCGGTTTTCTCTTCCGCATATGAGGTTATTCACTTTAGGCCAAAGCTGGTTCTGAGTTTGGGCATTTCAAAGTCATCAGTGGACGCCAAGGGTGATTTTGAGCGCGCGCTGAGCAATTACTGGCACGGCTGGAATATGTTTTACACGGATGCATCCAAATTGTCCCGAGATGGATGCACAGGAGTGGCAGCATATTACCAGAACTCAAGAATTGCTCTGCTCTCCAAATGTCCCCCTGAAGCCTCCGTGTTCACTGGGGAATGCGTTGGCATTCTGGAGTCCATCAAATTTATTAAATCGCACAACCTCAGCAACTCAGTTATCTTCTCAGATTCTCGAAGCAGTCTACAAGCGCTCGGTCAAGATCAGCTTTATTCCCGGACGCATTGTAGTCTGATAGTGGAAATAAAATCTTTACTTTTATCCTGCCAAAGAGACGGACTAAATATTGAGATCGCATGGATTCCTGGCCACTCTGGTATATGCGGTAACGAGTGTGTTGACAGATTGGCAAAGTTTGCGGCCGTGAATAACGTTGAACGTCACCACTATATTGTGTATGGGTATGACATACGTGCCGATACTAAACTCAAGCTCTTCGACTCGTGGGCTACAGTGTGGGCGGACTCCTCTAAGCGGAAAGGAGCTTACTATGCTAGTATCCAGACCGATATCCAGCGGAAACCTTGGTTCTTCAAGCACAAGAAACTCCCCAAACACACTGTTTCGTCTTTGTGCAGACTCAGACTCGGCCACTGTACTAGCCCGGTATTCCTCGCCAAGATACGCGTACGTGACAGCTCGCTGTGCGAATGCGGTCTTGATGAGGGTACCCTAGACCATATATTTTTTTCATGCCCTCTTAATTCCCAGTCCTTTGACCTATATGGAAAGCTTCCCAAAATCCAAATCCCACTCCCAATCAACTTCCACTCCCTTCTAACTAATTTTTCCCCCAAATTAATTAAGTGTCTGTCCAAATTTATGAATGAAAATAATATTAAAATGTAGCGGTGTGTAATAATGTAAATATTGTATGTGTTATAATTATTAACTATCTAATTATCTATTAAGCGTAAGGTAAGTATAGTAACTGTAGGTTTATAGATGATATATGTTTACTAACCCAAATGTTTTGTCCTTTTCAGCTACTAACAAGTAAATACTACCACAAAGTTAAAAGTCGACGGTACAGTACTCTGCCGTCACCACTCGACACTGGCAGTATAGTCGACAACATTATATTGGAGACTCAGTTGCCAACAACAACAAAAAAAAAAAAAAAAAAAAAAAGGTTGCCATTGAATATACTGAGAGTAAACCTTCCACCACGAGTATACCTCGGTATAGACATTATAAAGATAAAATTACTTGAATAATTTGGTGAGTCGATTAAGGTTTGAATGATTAACTTTTATATTTTTTAAGGAGTGTCATCGTAATTTACACAGGTTATGGTCTAGCTAGACAATAGAAATTCTTATGGTTTATGGTCAAAACTTTTAAACTGTCAAAAAAGACGAGTGTCATGTCACCTCAAAAATAAGGCAAAAACGAAGGTTTATTTTATTGTGTATTAAATAAGCGTGCTAACTTGTGTAATGTCATTTATATTACAATATTGTGAAAATTAATCATGGCACGTGATAGGAGCCCGGAACGTAGGCGCTCGCGATCGCGAGAACGACGCGACAAAGACCGGCACGAAGACCGCGATCGAGAGTCTCATCGAGACAAAACCAAGCGTCGGGATCGATCTCGCAGCCCTAGGAAGGAACGGGAAAGGTCGCGAAGCCCGTCACGGAAAGAAAGAGATAGGTCTCGTAGCCCTGTACGAAAAGATAAAGACCGATCTCGAAGTCCGGCACGGAAAGATAAAGAAAACGACCGAGCTCGAAGCCCTACTCGGAAAGATAAAGATAGTGACCGAACTCGAAGCCCTGCACGTAAAGATAAGGAAAAAGAAAAAGATTCTCGCAGTCCATCACGAAAAGAAAAAGACAGATCGCGGAGCCCTAGCCGGCGAGATCGCGAACGTGGTCGATCACGTAGTCCCAAGAAACGTGATGGCAAAGAAAAAGAATCAGAGAGTAGGAGAAAATATGATGAAAAGGAAAAGACAAAAAGCAAAAAAGATGAAGACTCAAAAATGGAGGAGGATGAGCCACAAGAAAGTAAAGAAGTGGATGTGAAACCAGTAAAGAAAGAGCCACTCTCTCTAGAAGAACTACTTGCCAAAAAGAAAGCAGAAGAAGAAGCCCGTAGCAAACCAGTGTTCTTGACTAAAGAACAAAGGGCTGCTCTAGCTTTAGAAAGACGGCAAAAGCAAGTAGATGCTATTAGAGCTAACACTGACAGGCCTTCTATAACTACAATTGATCTTACAGGCCCATCTAAAAGAGAAGAAGAAATGAAGAAGTATAGAGATGAAAGAGAAGCTATGAGAGAAAAAGAAAGAGAGAGACGGGATGAGAGAGAAAGGGAAAGAGAAAGAAAATATGAGGAAAGGAAGTCAATGAGTGATCGCCGAGATGATAAGAAGGATAAAAATGAAGAAGTTTCGAAAACAAAAGATAAAGAACGTGAAGAAGAGGCCATTAAGGCACGTTATTTAGGTATTGTGAAGAAAAAACGCAGAGTGAGAAGGTTAAATGACCGTAAATTTGTGTTTGATTGGGATGCATCTGAAGATACATCAAATGATTACAATGCACTGTACAAAGAAAGACATCAAGTCCAGTTCTTTGGCCGTGGCCACATTGCTGGTATAGACATAAAATCACAGAAGAAAGATTACAGCAAGTTCTATGGCAACCTATTAGAAAAACGTAGGACAGAATTAGAAAAAGAACAAGAAAAGTTACGTCTCAAAAAAGTTAAAAAGAAGGAAGACAAGCAAAAGTGGGATGATCGTCATTGGTCTGAAAAAGATCAGGACGAAATGACTGAAAGGGATTGGCGTATTTTCAGAGAAGATTATAATATCACCATTAAAGGTGGCAAGATTCCGAACCCAATCAGAAATTGGAAGGAAGCTGGCTTCCATCCAGACATTATGGAAATTATAGGGAAAGTCGGCTATAAAAGTCCAACACCCATTCAAAGGCAAGCTATTCCTATTGGTTTACAAAACCGAGACATAATTGGTGTTGCTGAAACTGGATCTGGTAAAACATTGGCCTTCCTCATACCACTTCTCACTTGGATTCAATCACTCCCGAAAAACGAACGTTTGGAAGATGCTGATCAAGGGCCATACGCTATTATATTAGCTCCAACGCGTGAGTTGGCGCAACAGATAGAGGAAGAGACTAATAAATTTGGAATTCCTTTGGGTATTACATCTGTTGTTGTAGTGGGAGGTTTGTCAAGAGAGGAACAGGGGTTCAAGCTCAGATTGGGATGTGAAATAGTTATTGCGACGCCTGGTCGTCTTATCGATGTATTGGAAAACAGATATTTGGTACTAAACCGTTGTACATATGTCGTCCTCGACGAAGCTGATCGTATGATTGACATGGGTTTCGAACCTGATGTACAGAAAATTCTAGAATACATGCCAGTTTCTAACATAAAACCGGATTCGGATGCTGCCGAGGACGCCTCAGTTTTGCTAGCAAATTACAACTCTAAAAAGAAATTCAGACAAACTGTGATGTTTACAGCTACTATGCCTCCTGCAGTGGAGCGTTTAGCGAGGAGTTATTTACGTAGACCCGCTATTGTATACATTGGTTCTGTTGGTAAACCTGTAGACAGAACAGAACAAGTCGTCTACATGATCGGCGAGAATGAGAAACGTAGAAAGCTGACAGAGATATTACAGAGAGGAGTCGAACCTCCGATTATAATCTTCGTCAACCAGAAAAAGGGAGCAGATGTCCTGGCTAAAGGTTTGGAGAAGTTGGGTTTCAATGCATGTACATTGCACGGTGGTAAAGGACAAGAGCAACGTGACTTTGCGCTCGCCAGTCTTAAAAATGGTTCGAAAGACATTCTGGTGGCAACAGATGTCGCTGGTCGTGGTATTGACATCAAGGACGTCAGTATGGTTATCAACTATGATATGGCAAAGACTATTGAAGATTACACGCATCGTATCGGTCGTACTGGTCGTGCGGGCAAGACTGGTAAAGCTATATCATTCGTTACAAAAGAAGATTCGGCGTTGTTCTACGACCTCAAACAAGTCCTACTTGCGAGTTCTGTGTCTACTTGTCCGCCTGAGCTGATGAACCATCCCGAGGCTCAACATAAGCCCGGCACGGTTGTCACTAAGAAAAGGCGAGAGGAAATGATATTTGCATAGGATTAATTGTAATGTAATTCGACATTTTGTAGAATGTGTCAGAATAAAATAAAATTAAAAATATAATTTGTTTTATTAATTACACGTGTTGATTGCATTACACTTTTACTAGCAAACAATAAATAAATGTAATATTTCACTATAACTGGTTTTTAGTCGACATTTCGTCTTCATGGTGCTGGAATGAAAAATAACAAGTATTAGTAAAATTTTTATACACAAATACACGTCATAAGTCAAAGTCAAAATTATTTATTTCAATTACCCCCTACAGGCACTTATGAATGTCAAAATAGTGGTACTTTAGTGTGAAGTATTATATGATACTTCTTACTATAAACTTAGCCTAACTTATAGACAACAAGCTATCATGTTAAATAATGGATATAAGATGCATAGGACAGTTCGTCTCATAGACCCAAAAATAATAGACAGATATGCAGAATACCAGTGCTTCTGACAAAACCTAATCTAAATCAAAAATATAACTTTGGCACATCTCTTTGCTTTATCAATGATGTGTTACTTACATCCTTTTATCATACTCTTCCTTTTATGACATAGAACTCTGGACATTATATCAGAGTGTTACTTTACAGATGAGGTGCATATTCGGTATATATATTTTTGAAGTACCAACCATTCGTAATTACCTTATTCCTTTAAGAAACATTTTTCGTAGGGCAGACTAGCTTATCGTTTACCAACTAATAAGTATTCCCTATCAAAAGTACGTTAAATTTATAATGTTACCAACCTGGAACTGATTGATCATCTACTTCATCTTTTGTTAAATAATCTGAAATTGAATATTTTATATTAAAAAACAGTACCCACAACATATAAAAATCACTCTTGAAGAAAGAAGCATAAACAAAATTCAACATGCCTTGATTGCAAAAAAAAACAGAATTATAAAATGGAAATAAACTTAATGCATTCATATGAAAAAGGGAAAAAAGCGTAGTTACTGTTATGCTGTTAAACACAATTCAAATAAGAGTTTTATTTATAAAAGAAAACCAAAGAAATTATATTTAAGAATGCACAATGCGTTGTGATAAGAAATGCTATGCTAAGTGAATAAAAATTTAATTATGTATCGTATTCTGATTAAACCAAAGCAGGAACACCAAACATTTAAGTAATAGAAGCAAGCATTCGAATTAAAACTAGTGTTGCCATATGTCCCTACAAGTCATATATTTACTTGTGTAATTTATTACAGTTGGCTAAGCAATATTACACGCATATAGTTCATGAGTATTAGAGCCCCTAGCGTGGCTTGCAACTAAAGACCGACTTCGTTAAACTGTTCCAGAAGTAAGCCTTTAAACATTAATAATTATTTGTTAAAAGCTCCTTCGGCTGAGAGTTCAAAGTTCAAATGTATTTATTTATCTACACCTGCTGAGTTTTCTGGCAACACTAGTCAAACTCGCAAACATAAGCACTTGCACCATTCCAAAGCTCCTGTGAATACCTATTCTTTTTTTTCATCAGGTTTTAACTCCTCTTTAGAGGGCGGAGGCATTACCGCCTGCTTCACCGAAGATGCCAAAGAGACAGTCATATCCACGAACTCGGAAAAGTCTTTGGGGAAAGACAGCTCTGGGAAGTTCACCTCCAGTTGAGGGTCACCAGGTTTCACTGATAAATTGTTTTAGAATTTTGATTAATTCCTTTCACACTGAAGTTACACCAAAAAGTATTTGATTGGGCTGGTCGAGTTATATTATTACTTCTTTGACAATGCTGTTTGAATATTACCTAATTATAATAATAAGTTGATACTTTACCTCCATAAAGGAAGTTGTATGCAATATTAACATACTGTTTAGCTAGGACTGAATTGTTCTTCATAATGTCTTTTGTTTCTTCAGGGAAGCATACGTATCCCATGGCTGTAGTGGTAGCACCGGCGTAAAACACTCGCTGGAATAATAATTTATTCATAAATAGCAGATAGAAATGTTCGTTAGCCAGTTGCTGTGTGAACGCAAGCGTGTTTGCGACCAAGGAAGGTCGAGGCACCCGTAGGTCAGATACCTAGGCGACAGCTTTTTATTTTATCAGTGGTAAAGATAGTTATAGTGTACACAATATGATTTTCATGTTTCGTCATCAGATCTAGGTACCCATTCTCCCCCTATCCGCCATCAAGTACCCCTCTATCCCTGTCAATCCTCCATTCATCAAAATCTGCTATCCTTAAACGTCCGTCGACGTACGGCGTTGCCGCCTTTTAACTTCAGTATTGCTAGTATCTACGAGCAACATTGATTGCTTACCAACAGGTCTTTTCTTCTTATGTTAATAGATTGTTTTGCAAAATGGCAAATGACGCAATTAATAAAAATCTTTGAAACATCCAACGTACCCTGATAATCCCGCCTCTGAGACCGAATATGAAGCCAGTGAGACCTCCCATTGCAACAGCGCCATATCGGACCTGCTTGTTCTCTTCTTCTCGAAGATATTTGAAGATCCCTGAAATAGATTTTGAAAAAAATTTGAAATTTAGACATGTTCGTCAACAAGACATTCAAAATGAATTCGGAAGGTTGTTAATATATTTTTTTTTTACATTTGCGAAAACAAAATTAAATTTGTTTATGTATCAGCAAACAAACAGACTGATTGTCTGATGTAGGGTTGCCAGGTCGCTAGGCCTTATAGCCGGACAGACCAGCCCGTTTAGCCGGACATTTGGCTAAAAAGGCCGGACAACATTTAATGTAAATCAAGCATTGTTGATTATTGTCATAAATCTTGTTGAATTCTTATGAAATAATTAATAAGTCTTTGCTTCGCTCAGCCATATTCGGTGTTTCGTTTAACTCGTTTACGATTGTGAAAAGTTTAGGTAAAAAGCCTAACAAAAGCCGGACAGGCCGGCCACCGCCTATTTTGGCCGGACTAGCAATCAAAAAGCCTAACTATGTCCGGCTTTATCCGGACGCCTGGCAACGCTAGTCTGATGGGAAGCAATCGACGCCCATGGACACCCACAAAAGTGTGTGGAAGACTTTTTTGGGGATTAGAGTTTCGTAATTTTATTATTTAGTAATTTGGGAGGGGAAAGACTGGGAAATGGGCCTCCAGTAATCTCAAACCAATAGCACAACACATCACGGTCACATGGAACTGTTGTTTCATCATGCTGGTTTTCTATGAGCCCATGGTATCTATATATATTTATAGCCTATAGCACTCAGGAACATTGTAGCTATTTTATAATATTAGTATAGAAATATAGATAATACTTATTATTTACAATAATTATATGTCAAAAATAACTGTGAGCCAATAGACTCATAATCATAAGGCTTTTGGCATTGTTAGGTTAATTACCATTGTTAATATATTACACATGTAAGTAAGCCACTTCATCAGCCTATTAAACTTGCTCAATGAAAAAGGTTTTGAGCATTAATCACCATCACCATGCTTGTTCAAGACAGATTGGTGATTTCAAACTTTTAATTATGAATTATAAGTTTTCTTATGATGTTTTCCTTCACCATTTGTCAGTGGTGTCTAAATACAGTTAGAAAGTACCTACATGTTATTTATAAAAAGTCACATTGGTGCTTGCCAGGGTTCGAAACCTGGAATCTCATGCTTGAGAAGAAGGAGCCTTAAGCCATGATGACCAGATTAAGCCAACTACTGACTAATTCCAATAAATAAATATTATAATAATTTAAAATTAGCAAGTAAAAATTCATACTCACAACCAGTTTTATCTTGCAGCTCAGAGTACTGATCTTGTATTGTATGTTTGGCACGATCTGTGTGGTCCACAACAACCTGTACCTGCTCACGCATCACGCGGACAGGAGCCAAAAGCATAGACCTCACATAGCCAACCTCATTATCACTTTTGGACTTGACCTTTCTAAAATGAAAAAAAAATGTAGTATATTATTTATGCATTTGGGAGTGTTTTATCTTGAATTATCAATATTTTGTTGACAAGGAGATAATTTACAAAAGATATGAATAACTACAGGTTTTCATGTATGTCATTTAGCTATTTTGGAAAGTAAATGTATTGGTCATTGGGTAGCCTTAGGGGTGGATTATTTTTTAATTGTGACACAATTTTCATCAAAGCCCCCTTCCAGTGTAGACTGGGTGTATGTGAGATTTAAATTGTCATTGAGAATAATAGCATAATGCATATAATGTGCATAAATTTGTTTCTGGAGATTTTATTATCATTTAACCTACCACCTGTTAGAGGTTATACTCAAGAATAAAAGGTTTATCCAAGAAGAAGAAAGAAAAAAGTATAATGTTTATCAGTAAATGAATAAAAACATACTCAGCGTAATCAGCATGCGGAGCTTCGTAAATCGGCAGTTCGGAGGGCTTCATTGGAGGCGGCTTCTGAGGATTTGGTGGGGCATCCTTGATGGGAGTTGCAGCACCAACCACCGGTATGAGAGTAGCCACTCCAACCGAACCTAACACTACTTTTCGTAGCATCTATTTGAAAATCAGAATTGACACTTTAGTTCAAAAATATCCTCATCAAACAAAGTGAAACGGAATATAAACATAATTGTGCGAAAAATTTACCTCTAAAGAGATGTTTCACAGCAAAAATTACATAAATGTTGTATGTAACAAAATCTCGATTTATCAGCTGGTCGGTGACAGCTGAAAATAGTGTTGCTATGGTAATTTTGATTTTCGTCAATGCAGATTAGCAATATTATTTGTGGATAAGACGCTGTTGGATGGCTTTCAATCATATTACTTATAAAATAATTTGTGATTTAATTATTAGTTGGCTAAGACAAGTTACCTTCTCACTGAACCTTCTCATTATTGCTGACGTTTTACATAGTTAAGTTTTTTTAAGCACTAGTCTTACTTTTGTACCTACGAAAGTACGTATCTAACTTTCCAAGAAAAAAAAAATATAAATTAAATAAAAACAGTCTCTTTATGATTTTTATGATAAATTATTTTTATCAAGTAGAGGTAACAATTAATTTCCGTTGGCAGCATCGATCCGTTTCCATTGTTTGTAATTTTTTTTATTAGTTGTCATTGTCACGTCAAAGTTGTCATGGCCTCGACATGTCACAATTTCCTTTCGTCTTTCTTTTGTGATCAACTGTGATTTTAGTGCACGCTCTTTTTCCGTAAAGAAAATTTTAAGCTATATGAAAATTGTTTAATTTCGATTTTTTATGAGAACTACACGTTAAATTTATGTGTTTGAATAGGAGTGTTACTGCAGTTCAGTGTAATTCGAAAATATAAATTGAGGTGATTATGAGTACCGTTTTGGAGTATCTCAATCAATAATTTTTGTGTGAAGTTAATACGTTTTGTGGTTATTTTTGTTGAGCAAAAAATGTCGGAGGTCCTATCAGGTCGTGTGTCTAAGCATAGGAGGGACCGTCGCGTTAAGAATAGCACAGGTACGAGAGGGCCGCATGCTGGGGCCGCGCTTGAACGGACACTTTGATTACCGCTTGGAGATTTTCATTTTGAGTAGTGTTCTGCTTGTTTGAGACATTACGACTGGCTAGATCTTCATATGCCTATTCACGCTATCACTATCAGGTCCACTTCATAGTATTTCTTAGCTCCAGTTATTAATTATAGCAGTTGACAACTTTCATTTACTAAATCAATTCTGCAGATCAATTATTTTTCATGGTGTCTCATTATGTTTTATTGTTAGTTGCACCTATATGGGGATTTATTTATTAATGGGATATTTTATAATTCACTACTTTACAACTAACAAAATAAAATAGGTATTCTTATTAGAATTGTATGTACCAGTACTATATTAAAAATATTTAATTTACTGACTTTGAGCCTTCATTTAAAGCATAGGGTAGATATGACAACATTATTTTTCTAATAAAAAAACAAGCCATGAGGAATTTAATTATAATCAGATGTAGGTCAGAGACTACAGTAGTTTTTAACAACCCATTGACAATTGTATAACAATGCTGCTTTAAAATGACAAAGGCCACTTGGCCTACAGCCTAAACAAATTGAATAGTTTATATAACAGGAGACTAACATTTGCTATCAATTAGGAAAATGGTTTGCCTTAACAGTAGTTACCTGAATATGCATACTAACAAACAACTTGTATCAATCCAGGACTGTGAGGTGCATGATGTGTGTAGAGTGACAATCTCTTAGATCAACTTGGGAAGAGACTACTTAGCAGCCACCGAAGATTATTGGGATGAAATGGTACATAACTGTTGCATTTTACTTATGTATGTTTCCTTTTTCAAAAAATATACATTTTGGGTCTATTTTATTTTCATGTACATATTTTTAAACAGTATGGTTAATGCATGTTTTTATATTCTTCCATTTGAAAAGTTTGGTTGCATGTTTGGTAGTTATATTTATTTTTAAGATTAAGATTAATGATAGACATCATTGTCTTGTGAAGACTGACCATTAAAGTAAGTAACTACATAATTGTAATGGAATCTAATTAGACTGCTGAATTTATTAACATACACACATAGGTTTTATCTTTTAAAATAGTCTTTAGCTAAAGAATTCTCACATTTATATAACCTTAAAAGTAGTTATACCTACATATAAAATTATGTAGAGACATCAAACTATGTTTATCAAATCTAACTAGTTTTTTCCACAAATGCTTTATAATGGCACTGAGTCATTACACTTAAAGCTATTAAAGATTAACTTCTACTATAAAAACAACCAGTTTGTTTCAGAATCTTGTCCAAGAGTTTTTATTATGTTGAATTACACAGATATAGTCTAAATATAAGTTGTAAGCAGCTAAATGGTTGCGTCACTATACCATTGACTGTTGAAAGGACATCAATGCTGCTTTGAAATCGGGTCTCATGATTAGCATAACAATGGAACTTCTTTGAACAATTATTGCAGATATAACTTTGTATAGATAGATGTAGATAAAACCACATTTTAAACAAGTAGCTGAGCTGCTTTCATTTAATACACAATGTACATGCATTACTCTGTGCCTTCTTAATTAAACAATATATATTATAGTGAAAAAAGTACAGTTTAGTTACTGAAATCTATTGCAAAAGTATATTTTATTGTCAAGCTGGTCTTGTTTTGCATGTCCACCTACTAAAACCAAGTAAATTATGCACAACTTGCTATATAAAACAATCAGTTTTTTTACTTTTCCTTTAGACTGGCAGACAAAAAGATCTTTTTTTAGGATAGCAATGATCACCATTAAGTCCATCTTTAAGTATTCCCCTGTTAGCAAGTGGTGAAAAATAACTTTTAACACTTTTAGTGTAACACGAATAATACACAATACATAACTATTATTATTTGTTTATCATCGTTAGGGAATTTCCCATCGAAAATTCCCAATTTTGACCAAGATGGACAGGCACGATTGTTGAGAAATTAGTATCTCAGTATTTGAAAACCAGACAAAAGTATTAGTGAAAAATTTGGCGTCAAAATTTGTATGGTAATTAGTGTCGGCATGCAATACATTTAAACTTTGGACGCTGAAGGAATCTTCAACAGCCAATTCACGCAACAGATGCCTTGTAACGGAAAGAGCATTCGTATGTCTCCGTAATTGAGATTAACAACCTATTTACGTCATTAGTCGGTAGTCCTAAAGTATTTTCCTCGTGTCTTATCTTATCTAATTAGATAGTAGAAATTGTATTGCTCCACATATTGATAACCTTTATACAAAATCTTTCGCTAGCCTAATATAGTTGGCAACTTTCTGTTGCGCGTTTTATCCCTTTATTAGCGCCAATACGTTTATGGTCACCGTAATCGACCCTGACACCAGACGATAATATTTAATTACGTTCAGCAGTATTGAAAATCGATCAGACACGAACAAGCCCAGCTGTTCAAAGGCCCAGTAAAAGCCAATTTTATGGAAATAACAACAAAGCTACTTGGTATAATAATAATAAGTCCGATCGCAAAAAAAAACCTAAGTCATGACACACAAACTGACTCCCCTTCATAAGGGACTGTATTATTATTGCTACTCATGTATGCAAATACAATATGATCGTACAATATCGCGTTGAACTGAAGATACGGGCACGTCGCGTCGTGTGATACCTTTCTTATCAGTCATGCGTGGCGTGACTTTGTTAAGTCTTTGACATCATAGAACGTCAAGAATGTATCTTAACATTTCAGGGTCTATTTAAATGTTAAACAATGCAACCCTTAAAACTTTTAATTAAGTTACCAGCGATAAAATGTTTTCATTTAAATGTTTCAGTACTGAGAATGATGGCAATCATGCAGGAAGGAAATAGTGAGGTACCGAAGGAATTTCTGGAGACGGGACGGACGGGGCGGAGGAACGCAATGCCGGATATACTTCACCCTCAGAACGCTGAAGCTAGCACTGCGGACTTGCCCTCGAGATTGCAACAGCTTACTGCAGCCGGTAAGTTTTGTCTACATAGTCTGAAAATCCTTTAGGGTTCGAAAAAGTTAACGACTCAAAACCCCTCTTATTAGCTAAGGTACCCATAAAAAGCATACCAACTATTATTACCTTTCGTTATGGTTCGTAATCCATTTTCCGTTGCCGAGATATCGTTCTTTGTCATCTACGAGGGTCAATACCTAAATATGAAAGTTAAAGGTCATATTTTCGACATTACTTGTTCAACATTAAATTTTGTAGTGTTTAAGGTACGATGGTATTTGTGTTTGAAGGTAAAATACATAAATGGAGAATGTCTCCGAAAGGATTATGATGTATTAGGATATAGTTTTACTGTTAATGGTAAAGGCCCTGTGGTGAATTCTCACAGGGTGCGGTTATTAGTCGTATTGGTTCTATTAGCAACGTATTTACGTTTGCCGTTAGATTATACTACCAATATCACCGTTTATTACCCCATAATCCTAAAATAATTATCAGTATATACTCGTATTTATCTTACGATAAAATTTATTAGTACTGCGCCAACATAATTGGATTGTAACTTTGTTTAAATGCGGTCGTACACGATATAAATCGAACTTTTACTAAAACTTCCAGTTATAGGTACAAAATTTTAAATCGACTGCTTTTATCTGTTGTGTAAATGAAAACTAACGGAAATGTGTTGTATTGTTTTTGTATAACATCCGTTCTGTAGCTTTTATTGCTCGTTCGTGACGTGCTGTCGACGTCAAACGTTTGTGTTTGCAGCAGACTTTTTTTCTGAATTTAGGTGGTAAATTATATGAATAAATAGCTGAGTTACGTAGGAAAGTCGTCAGAGTCCACATGACTCCGGAATAACCCCGCTAAACTAATACAATTTTGGGCACCTAGCCAGAAATCACAAACCACGTAATGTAATTGCTTACACACATTTGTAATCTAAAATCTGCTTTAGATGTTTTGCACAAATTCCCATGTAATTTGTGTTAACCGTACCTACATTCTTGGTAGCTGTCGGTAGCACACTGGTCCCGAGATTGACGTATTTTGTTACCCTGCGTCATTAACTTGTAATTAAAAACGTATACCAAACCCGTACGTACTTTAACGATGTTTGTTTTGAAATGGTCTCTCTCTCTTATTTTTTAGTATTCCACCGCTTGAAATGCTCCAAATTCCTAACCATCTCCAAAGCCCTTGTCAATTTTCTGGTGTTCATTGGCGACGCCGATTGTTTACCCGTTGGTACGTGTTCCATTTTGTACGTAATCCATTTATTCGTTTGTAGTCCTATCCCATGAAACAGAAACAGAGCTCACCTTAAATACCTACTGTTTTCATCAGGGCTTAGGATCAACATCACCTAAAAATATCAGTTGCGCTTTGGTTAGCTTTCAAATAGAGCTCGTTTAGGTTTTCTTATACGATGATTGGTCAGCAAATCAAACATTTCTGTCATATGTCCTTTTAGTTCTGTACCTCTCGATAACGAGTAAAATCGATTGTGGTTCTTGGAAAGGGTAAGATACCTAGGTACTTATGTTTTTTCTACGGAGTAACCTCAATTCTGTTTAAATATTAATAATGTTGTGCTCTTTGGTGTGGTCGATAATATTAATTAAAAATAACCTTACCTCATAAAATAGTGGCCATCTCTTCGATTCTAAATAACCTGTGAAGTGCAGTCTGCTCGTTTGCCTCCTATTCCATAAAAAAGACAAACCAATGTATTAATACAAATGTACATCGTACCAACACAATACACGCGAGATTGACAACAAATATAATAAAAATACTTAATTATTATGAGTTTTAATGAGTACCTACATTTTAACAGCGGTGGCTATTCGGGTCGGAAACTATTCTAAGGAATCAAAATTCATGGAAATCGGTCTAGCCGTTCTCAGTTTTCAGTGCATTTTTGTTGTAAATATTTATTTTCGACGTGACTGCAACGCAATTTAATATACGATATTTTGAGATATTGTTTACGATGTATTCGCTTATCACAATCCTCCTGTCACTACAGTAATTGAGGGCCAGGAGTGACGTAGATCGGCTCGTAATGCGCCGATAAGCACAGGTTATCGCACTATGACGTTGGAACTAATATTATATCTAGAATTATGATGAATTGATGACACAAAATATAAAATTATCGCCACTTTAATTATAAGATAATCAATCATTGTTTCCATGTGAATTTATTCGAGAAATACTTAACTGTAATAGCTCGTGGCAATTTAAATAGTTTTATCTGAATGTAAGCATTATAGGTGATATAGAGTTATTACCTACAATTTGTTTTGAAAATCTAAGACTCGATTTGTCTGAAATACTTTATGATATCCGGAGAGACGACACACGTGTACAGTTCACGTGGATTGACACTCGTTACGATAACCTAACAGACTACTGACCTAGTTGTGTGACAGCAATCAGATATCAAGATCCATTCTATGGAAAATCTATACCTAGGTATTCACTGAATAATTAAATGATACAAATTCAAGTTTATGTAAGCAGAAGACTGAATGTTGTGGCAAGGGTCGACCTTCTCGCAATAATGAACGTGGCGATGTAAAACCGCTGTGATGTGGCCGCTCGTGAGTGCGGACTCGGTACTTGATTTAATACGAACTTATGCAGTACTTTATATGAGGCACGATGACATCAATAACAATTTTTACAAAGTTTATACTCTGTAAGAATAAACTCGCCCTCTATAAAAAGAGAACAATATCTGACGAAAAGTGGGTTTCACATTTAATATACGAGTAATATGAGCGGTAGGTACGTCTGGTCTACCCTTTCGACTAATAAATATTTTAGGATAATGTATTTGTACTTCAGTAAAAGGACGATAATTTCCTTTCAATAACTGGCCATTCTATTCGCGTTCTATTGTACTCGAACCGCGTAAAAGGACGTTGATTGCGAGGCCGAGGGTATTTCTTTGAAAATTATAATTCGTGTACTTAGTTATAATAGTGTTACCGGAATCGTAGGGCTGACGTGGGTAGTTTGTGTGTTATGCTTAAGGTGATATAATAAGGCTCATGATAAAGGAACCCTTCTCATCATGCGTAGGTACCCTTTGTTGCATTTCTCCAGTTTCAGTAACGATTCTATCTAAACCATTTGTGTATTATAGTAGGGGAGCCCATGAAGGGATTTCGGTAGTTACTCGAGCGCGTCTGATTAACATATGGGGAGTACTTAGTATCCTGTTGAATATACCCATCATATACTTAATGTAAATAGAGGAGGGGCGGGGGGATAATAATATAAAAAAATAACTTTGTACAGTCGTTTTCGTCAGATTAAGGGTAAATCGGTAGATTGCATGCTAAAGAAAGTGCGTTTAAAAATCGGCCTAATCCATCGTGTTTTACAACATTGGTAGAGCTTTGAACGGGTCCCTTTTCTGTCGTCTCATACGATCAAACCTACCGTGCAATACGGTTGTTTCCAACTAGTCAAATTCAATACTTTTATCCAAATGTCAAAAACGATACTTTTCTATGAAAATTGTGTGAAACATTGAATTATGACGTCATAGCATTATTGCGTCAAATAGCTTACTTATTTTTAAAAAATTTGCTAAAAAATATCTAAAACTTAGTGTATCGATCGATCCATGAATAAAAGTATAGTTATTTTTCAATATTTTATTGTATTAAACGTCGAATTTATTTATTTTTGACCTAGGAAACTACCCAATTCGGCAGATGAAAATATTTTCATAGTCAGGGGTACATACATCATTAAATTCTGTCACGCACAAAACAAAACAAAAGTTACACTTAATAATTTTGGATAACCATCGATCCACTCTTCCCCCACCGGAGGAGGAATGTAGTGTGGAGAAATGTCATTAAGCCATTTTTTCTTTCTATCACCAAATCTTCAGAATCCAGTTGCTCTGTACGACGCTTGAGTAACGACAAATTTAGCACCCTGGGCTCCCCTACTATTAATATAGTACAGGTTATAGTAAATATGTATTAATGTGTTGAAGCTGTTGCTTATATTAACTGAATAACTAAAATAACTGTCTAAGTAATAAGATGCTTTGTGTCTGTGTACCTGTTTAAAAATAACTAATGTGTCAAGACGTAACACAATTCTGCCTAATTGCTTTTGGAAAAAGAAGCGTAATATTACGCCATTCACGTAAGGTTACATCGAGATAGGATTTTATTGTTCGTAGGCAGATTGATGCAATTGCAATCGGAAAAGTGATGAAATACAGTTGCAATAAACACTGGATTATCCAATTTCACTAGATATAGCATGTTTTTATATGCATGTTGCATTTAGCTCTAAGTTTGGCGATGATGCAAATCATGGTGCACATTCAGGCTGCCATAAAGTTAAGTAATATTTAGTCAAAAATCCGAAATTAAAATGCAATTCTTCAAATAATCGAGAAATTTTGATTTCCATCGAATTGTCTTTTATGCATAATATATGGTTATTGCTTTATATTTCATAACTTCGATATTTCATTGAAAACGATAATAATATAAAAGTAAAGCCATGATCGTATCGATTTTGCACGTTACTTTATACGAAGGTAAAGTAAAGTACCTATACCTAACTGATTGCTTTGTCCGCCAAACAAGTCTGACTCCTGAGAATGACTTCTCATAGTCATTCTCAGGAGCAAATGTTCTAGTCTCATTGGAGTTTAAATATCAAGTAACGAAAAACGCAATTAAATATTTGTGGTTATCATATTATCCGCTCCGTCATGCTTCTTTGGGCTATATGAGAAGCGATATTATTTCGATGTTACCTACCAAACGTTGTTTTCTGCTCATTATAATGTTCCAAAAAGATCAGCTGACCTACATTCGCGTAATTCATATTTCATCAAGGAAATTCATAAACGATCTTTACAGGCTTTTGCGTAGAATTTACCCTGATGATTCAATAAGGGATTTTGCCGCCCCCCTCTCAATCTAATTTGCTGCTCCTCTCTTAAATATACAGGTCCGGGGTTCAAGGAATGTCTTAAGATGTAGTCGCAATTTTCCGGAATATACAAATATGATTAGATCGTTATCGTAAATATTTCACGGTAGTCCCTAGACGGGACGAAATTGAATAATTAAATGTTGACCGACGACAGTACGTAATCAAATATTCGTCTGCCGTATAAAAGTGCGTGAATTCGATTCCTGTGGTAGCATTGCGCTATAATTGTGACGGGTATCGAACTAATAATAATTTCAAAGCGCGACAGTCGTTTGCAGTGTAAACTGTTCAACAAAAACGTCACTATTAGACTGAAATAATAGTTAATTTTAAGTGTTGAGTTAGCTAGTTAGTATATACTTATTTTTAGTCCTATGTAATAAGGAACTAAAAGGTTCGGGTATAATAAATTAATACTGTTTTGCGTATACTATTCTACTCTTATATTATACTCTATGGTGTGTGAATTTGTATCGCGCTCAAGTTTATCGTTCTTATGTTCAAGATTGCATATTATAATGCCAATAATATATGGGGTTTTATAGACTGCTGCGATATGAAAGGTTGGTAAGTAACCTTATAAGTGACATAATATGGTATCGATGATCGCTGTCAATATAACTATCAGTGTCGTAAGTCGTAACAGTTACAAGAACGACCTTACAGTGAAATTTAATATTAAAATAACAGTCTATCTACCAGCTTGAGGCTGGATTGGTTTTCAAATACATATTTGAAGTCCTAATCATGAAGCTACTGAACCGATTTTATTGAAAATTAGTAATGAGTCGTTTTTTTTAATCCAAAAAAAAGTAGGTACCAAGTTTCACCAGTAGTCTATGTTAAAATTTATTGGGTGAGTGTGATCGCAAGCTAGTTTGAATGAAAACATAAAATTGCCTCAAATCTTATTCGAAAATGTTCGATATTACGTTTTAGACCTTGATATTTTGCATTCGTCCACATTCAAGTTTCTCAGATAACATAATAAAGTTATTAAAACTTTAAAAACGAATTTTAACTAGAAATCTTACATTGAAATAATATTTTTTGGAAATGGTAGTATTAAGACCTTTATGCAAGTACCTAAATATTAGAGTCCAGAAGTGTACGCTTCGTAAAATCATGCAAGCCTCATAACCACATGATGTGTATGACGGGAATTGGCAGCTTTATGTCGTTTTGTGTTGGGGTAACATTTGCGTCTTGGTCACGCTTATGCAAAGATTAATTCTTTCTGTGATCATTAAGGAGTCTCAACAAAGCGCGGAACTGTCAAATCTTGAGTGCGATTGATGATAATAATCAACAATGATTTGCCATTAAGAAGAATGTCATTGACAATATTCTCGTTGAATAGTTTTTACAACATAAATTCAATATCATTTATATTCCAAGGTTTCAAACACTGCTGCACCAACAAAATGCTCCCCGTTAATTGATAGCTACAAGCAGTGCACGACGTCACGAACCCAATGTATTATGTCATCTAGTCGATTGAAGTAATTCAGTTGAAGGCCACTGCATTTCAAGGGTACCTACATAAAAGTCCTTGCAAACTAGTGTTTCGTAACCGAGCTTACGTCACTAGCACGTTTGTTGCTGAATTATTCTGCCAGCTCCATAGTTTCGACCGTTACATAACTTGTCAAGTGTTTCGTTACATATACACAATATGAATATATTTTCTACTCTCATTTATTTCAGATGCAGAGACCCAATCAAGTACATCAACTGCGTCGCCTGCGGACCCGAAAACACCCACTAAAAAGGATGACACGCCCAGTTGAACTGCTTACCATACTCTCAGTCCCCAAGGACTACACAGGACTTGCCCAAAGCTAAAGTAATCTCAATCAGGTAAATAGTATTACTAAGCACTGAGTAATGTAGCCCCACCTTATAGGGATGGAATGGTGTACAAATGTAGCTCTTATGCCTAGATCAACAAGATAGAAATTGCATAATTTTTAGTATATAAGATTTGTGTACACGGGCGCTTCGTCGAATTTATTTTTTGAAATTATTAGTTTTTTTTCATTAAGGTTTTGAATTGGCGTAAAACGTCTTGTAGACATGTTTGTTTGTTACTAAAGTCGAAACAAAATCCAGATGATGTTCGATGTAAAGTTGGTTTATTGAATGTTTTTAAGTAAACAAAGCTGAATGTTGTAGTTAATGGGAGTGATTTGTATCAAAGTGATTGATATTTAAGAGTGTCGTGTAAAAATTGGAATTAGACAATACTGATATATTAGTAGAGAATGAATTGTTTGATTGTTGATAAACATTACACCGAATGGGTTTGATATGGCAGCACTACCAAAGAACAAGGAGAAATGAAGAATCTTTTCGATTCAAAAACAATAATAAAACCACATCCATTCATGCGTAGTTATGTAAAGGACGCACAATGACAGGAGTTCTATTGGTCTATAGGTTTTTATATTCGGGTGTCCTAAAATGGCGCGATAATTATAAGTACCCAAGTATTCGATCTTTAGTTGTGAATGCATGACATTGTAATTTCATCAGCATTCTCAGCTTTAACATAACATTACTTAGCATTAACTTGGTACAGTCAAAATATGATTGGAGCTGAAACAATGTTCATATCTTTTATATTAGAAGTTTATTACGCCAAATTCATGTCTATTAATGTTTAACACTCAACCTTAAATGCCCTGTAATAAGTAGTTTGAAAAGTTTTGGACTAAATCGAAACTAATTGAGAGAACCGACTACGTAAAAATTGTTAACAATAATAAATATATTTTTTTCATATCATAAATGCAAAGTGCAAAAAGAGTTAATTCTTGATCGATGCATTATAATCAAGGCAAATATTATAACAGTAATATGAGCGTTGAAGCAATTTTAATGATAAATGAATGAAAAATTCAAAAAATCATAAAAATGGACTTTATTGATGATATCGATGCTATGGAAATCGGCTTCTAAGGAGAAACAGTCTTCCTACCCAATAAAATTGGCCATTATGACTTTACAAGGACTTGGAGAGATTAAAACAACTGAAGGTTGTTTTACTGATGGGGTGTTTTATCAAATTAAGTTCGGATTTTAGTGTGCATTGAACATTATCTGATTGCATCTAGACAATGCGACTATTAAAATGATTGATTCAATACCGACCGTACGGAAATCAATAAATTATAATTACACATTGTTGTCTAAGCTAAGTGGTCTGCAGCATATATTGTATCTGTCTTTACAAAATTAGCCATGATTATTTGTATAGTTATATTTCCTAGTATGAATGGTTTACCATATATCGCGCAGCTGTTTCGTAGATATAGGACACTAAGTACGCTTAAATTGAACTAATTTATTTGTTAGTAATTATTTGAAGAGTACAACTTTTGTTTTTAGTCTCTACAAATGTAACGAATATTGTACATAAGGTGCTGTATCAATTATATTTATTTGTTATTTGTAGAATATTTCTCGTATATAAATTTTGTTTAATATTTTTACTTTGTGTTATATTCATTGTTGCTTGTATCGAACAAAAGTTTGCACTGTCTCAGCGATGACGTAATATCTAAGAAATTAATTAATCTTAGTTGATTATAAAAACCTTGCGTAAACATGGTTAGTTTGATTTAGTTGGAAGCATTTACCACATTTAAAAGCAATCTATTAAAATGAATAAACGTTTCGTTTTATTAAAAGTCCAGAAGAATCTGATGTTTTATAAAAAATAAGTTTGAACTACCAATTGAAAAGTGGACATTTTAATTGACCCAATGACGCAACAAAATGTTTTGTGTGTTCAAACTAATGCAGTGTAAAGATTAAGAAAGATAAGGATGCTTGGTGTTGTTTCCTACTGATCTATTCTATAGTATCTAACTATATATACTACACTCGCTACGCCAAAATCATCAAGTCAATTACTTTGACTACACTATCGAGGCTGTACAACTTAATGGTAGCTATCTCTAATATTTATATGTAAACCTATAGTCTAGTTTTTACCTAGATACTAGTTGATGTAAAATTTGCTACACTTTCATCAATTTCCATTTTCATAATCATACAATAACTTTATAATACTTTATCATAAATTCACGCACAAGTTTATTTTCTAATTATGTACGTAATAATTTTACTTGCCGAATTTAGTTATATGTTGAATTAATTTCAGCTTTCATCTACCGAGGTAGAAGTCTGAATCTCACGGAAGTATTGTATAAACGATTTTTTGGTCTTTAGCATAAGTGGAATATGATTTTGATCTTGACACCATCGTGAATTATTACTTACATATCCATAAGCATTTTACGAAAACTAAATTAAGCACTCGCTGTAAACTCTTTGCCTTTATGTATAGCTAATGTGAATAAAAAGTTTACTGTGTAGATCGGTGATGCTCAACTCTTGTTTTAAACAACTATTCTTTTATAAACCTTGCTGATCACTGTTGTCAAATTATAAGAAATGTTGAGTATCGCTGGATTAGATAGTAGTATTGTATTTTATCAAACTCACATCTTATTTGTACAAGGTGGTTGGAGACACTGCGAATGCTGTAAAGTTTCTTTTGTATAAGACATTTAAATTGTTGTTCAGGTAGCTATCGGGGCATTATCGGTTGTCGCTCTGCTGTGCCCAGTCCATAACACTTCACATAGACTTTACCCGATAACATTCAGTACGTTAAGTGGAAAATTATAAGTGGAATTTTTATTTTCAACAAATAATAACAAGTCGTGACTATCGGTCATTGACCCACTACCATAACGGGCTGTCTCAATATTTACCCTGCTCCTATCACATTAATCTTTTAGCCGTTTATAATACGGCCTAAATAAAAATATTTTAAATATGTCGCTGGTGTCTCCTCTTCTTGTTGTTATAATGCGGGCGTCATATTTGGTATAATTGGGTTCCGCAAAAGAACACTACCTTTTAAAGTTCATTTTAATGTATTATTGAAATATGTCAAGTATAGCGTCGGCATAAAGTGCAAACAACGCATCTCTTACTAAACTGCCTTATTATCTTCCTCGTCTTATACACATCGAATTTCAACGTTTTTGAGGCCTATTTGGTGTTTCGGTGTTAAAAATTCTAAAAAAAATGAATAGATTGATGTGTTTAATTCAATGTTTCTATGTTTGGGCTCGAAAGTGACTCGACATAAATGTTGTCACTTATGTAACTTTCAACTTCTCGTTTTATATCACAAAATCATTAGTATAACTCTTCAATTGTGTCTCTATCACTATTTTTGTCTAGTAAAATGTCTTGACAGTGATTATTACCATATCTACAATGTATGTTTTTGTCAATTACAGGTGTATATTTTTATAACTCACCAACCCACATCATCTTTTTGTAAAATTTGCACTTCTATAGGTAACATGTGAAAAAGACAATTTATCATTAATCATCTTAGGGCTGATTTTTTAATGGTTACATAAAAATTATCTGGGGAATAATTATGATGCTGTCGCATTAGAATGTTTTTGTAAGACAGTGACAGCAACAATTATATTTCTCAAATAACATTTATCTGACTATTGAAAAATCAGCCCTTATAGTAAATAAATTATTTGACGCACGAACTTGTAATGGCAAAAAAATGCTGTTTCACCTAGATATACAAAGGTACTCAACTAAAAACAGCAAATATTTTCAAAGCTATCTTTTGCATCATTATCTAAGCATTTAGTATGTCAATTATTACAGTAGAGTATTTATTTTATCATACTGAAATATGTATTGTATTTTATTTATAAGCGTATATAATGGATATAAGTAAAAAAGGAACTCTACTGAAGCTACCTAGTCTATCGACTTTATTTTAATTTACTATGTAACCCTTACGACCTGCCTTCCTATATAAAAGCGATTAAGTAGTATGAAGTCTAAAGTATTTATAAACATAAAAAAATATATGTTTTATTATTTAGATCTCTGATATCGTAACATTGTGATCGTCAACGTAGCTATAGCTTTGTTTACTACATGAGCTGTAAATAATACACGTTTACTGTAGTCTTTATTTACATATTTATATTATATTATTAATTTTTAATCTTATACGTAGAATTCACGCCATCAAATACTAGACCTTGTATTGAAATCAGACTTAAAAATGTATCCACTTTACTGAGCACACGTAAAGAATTTTTATCTTTATATCTCTTGAAAATTATTTAAATAGTTTTCTCTCTCATATAACTAACTGCTATATGAATAGTAATGGGTGAACCTAGTGCTGTGCTATATCGATTAATCGATTATGCCAAGACATAATTCAGTCTTAATTGATTAGCCTAACACTAGTATTTGTGTAATAGTTGTGATAATACTGGTATAAAAATTGTGTGTTTGAACCTGTATTGGTATGTTAAAAAGACAAAAATTACATTTACATTCATTGGGCTGATATACAATTGTCAAAAATGATTTCACAGATGTATTTCATCCATGTTGTATGTTATTATTATGTTTATTCAAGCTACATAAAAATATATTTTAATTCTTTGCTTAGATAGCATAGCAGATTCCAGCGCCAATAATAATGTGTTGGGATGTAGTTGCAGTGATCATTCCAAATGATTTCTTTTATGAATTAATTTGAAGTACATCACTTGTGCGATGTAAAAATAACTAGAAAAGACAACGATTTGAAATGCATTTGTGAAGTTGGTTTCTTTTATTAAGTGTTACTTTGTTGGCTCATACAGAAATAAGCTAAGTATGTTATAGTACCCAACATATAGTTTGTATTCATATACATAATATATTGCGTAGTAATTTACCAGGATGTTTAATTCACTGTATTGTAATATGTAATGGTGCAAATTGAATCCGTAAGATCAACATAGTTATCAGAAAAATAGAATTAATGAATTTGTATCGTTTTGTATCTAGTTTGCTGTTTAGCAAACGAAGATAAAAATAAAAATGTAAAAGAATTTTGGCATTTTTATTTAATTTTTAAAAATAAATTTAACTTGAACCCTGTACGGTACGTGAATACGGTAGGCACTAAAGGTAAAGCAAGACCAAAGTTCTTACTTACCCTGCTCATTGCTAGGCTGTTCGCTGGGTGAATTAATTGTTCATTTGTGAGGCTGTAACATATAAATAACAATAAAATGCTAATTATCTAAAAAAATCTAAACCAAATTCTCAAATATAATAATTCGAATTTTATAATTCGAAATATTATTGAACACTAGAATTTTGTAATTACGCGGGACGTCCAATAATGGCGGCCAAACTGTCAAACGTCGTCAATTCGTATTACCTATGGCACTTTAATAAAATTTGAGTCGTGGCAAGGGCTCTTAATTGAAATAGTATCAATCAATAATAAAAGTGAAAATAATATATCCGTAACGTGTAATTATTAGATAATTTATTTTATGACGATTGACGAAAAGTTCAGAGGACAAAGTTGCCATAACAAATTACAATCGAAGAGTTGACAATGACAGGCAAATAAGGTTGCCAATAACAAAAATCAAAATGAAAATATTTATTTTAAACTTTTAATATAATTTAATGTGCTGTCGACCTATAGCTATTATCATTTAAAAAAGGGGAAACAGCGCATTAAATTCCCTTTGATGTCTATAAAAAATTATTACACTGTTTTTTGATAAAATATTCTGAGGCGTTTAAATTCTAACTATAAATGGGATTGTAAAAATGCTGGCAACTATAATAAGTCAGAATTTATTCACGTACGGATGTCGACAGAGAAAGTGAATTGGAAGTTTACGATTTTCGAGTTTATTAAGTTTAAACAGTGAAATGAGTATTTCTGTGTTGTGAGAAATGCTCTTATTTTCGTCTAAAGATTTTAGTGTGTGTCGGTTAAGTGCTTGTTATTTGGCTATAAAATGTTTGAAAGTCGGGGCGACTGACACATCGGTACTCGCATGTTTAAAGTAATTTTTAGGTGTGTTTTGTTGAATTAGTGTACAGGATGCCGAGGGGAGAGAACAGGCCGAGCATCCTGTTATCTCGGGAAGAGAATGACCAGGTGTTCAGTTTGATTGGACCAAAATGCCAGGTGAGTAAGCTATGAATTCTCATTAGTGTTCCGCGTGATTCAGAATGCCCTTAGATTACGTATCTCTGACCATATCAGAGGATTATCTGGCGATATCTCTACGGTATTATTGTGAGTTCCGAAAATTATATGTATGACATATGTGTTTATCAGAAATAGAGTATCAATAACGAAAATAATCAACTCAGCTACCTGTTGGGTTTATTTTGAGATTTATTTGTATGTGTACTTGTACAATTTATCCTGTGGAATGACTATTGTACTATACTCCATCGAATTAAACTTTTAATTGGCATTTTCAGAAATTTTAATTTTTTGTCCCAAAAACCTTGCACACCCTTTGCTACACTCCAACCTTTAATTGACTAAACTATAAAGAAATCGACACTTAGTAAAACCTGATAAAAACTTATCTCTAGGATAGTACTTAAAAACTAGTTTGAAACCTGAAAAGCCTTTTAAAATTTTTGTATAAACTGTTTAAAGTACTCATAATTGTTATCTTCAGAGTACTCTTCAGGACTCTCCTATCATTATTTTCCTTCTGAACTGGTGATTAAGACCATTTCAAGAATTTTTAGTAGAACAAGTAATTTTTGGAGCCAATTAGCAGCTTGTGTCAGAAGAAGCTTTAAGTAATTAATTTTTTTTTTCATTTAGAGTTACTCCAAGATGTTATGAAATGTGTGGTGTCCAGGTGTCCATGTCCATATCATTCGAAAATAGTAAACAGCTGGTCATAGAAATCATTCCATGAAGGAAAACATTAAAAACCAATACAGTCAAAGTTATAGGTAAAACACTATTCATGCTTCAAAACATACATAATATGAAAGTAGCATATAGTTATTAATGAAGTAACAGATTTGCATAACATACATAATTGCTACATTTGCATTAAGAAAAGTGGACCAATCTAATATTGTTGAATATTAAGTGACCTATGTTATGTATATATATGTTAAATATAATCAATATCTTCCGTTTCGTATTCTTTGAGGTCACAAGTTACTGTTTATCATATTGCAGTGTCAATTTCCTGGTAGAATGAAGTATCATTATGCCTTTTTTATAGAATATAATGCCCTGCTTTGTGATTTGGCCCCTTTTCGTATAGATATACTTCATATGCCTATTCCTACCTCGGATAGAGTGAATGAATGTGTCAGACTCTAACTTATAAAAACCATTTGTTCCTAATCCTGGTACTTGCTGAGGTTTACATTGTCTGGGTAAAGAGATAATTTAAAATCAACTCAAACCAGAATCTTAACACTGTCATACAATGTGTTGCTGTTTCGATTCCCACCCTTAATTATTTGTTTGATCCAAAAAAAATTAATAGGTCTCTGATTGTGTGCATGTAAATTGTTTATAAACACAAAATACAGTACAAAATAACCTCAATAAGAGGAGCATTAAAAACCATAAGTTTTATCACTACATTTATTATTTAACTATGCAAATAATCTATTCTTAAATAACCTGAATTTTATCTGGGTCTTTTTGACTTTTATGAGGAAATTAAAGTCGCCTTTCAACTTGCATAATGGAAGGCGTCATTAATTATTTTATGTGAATATTGATAAAAACTGGTTTTATCGCGAAAATTAATCATATAATATCATTTATAGCATGGGCCTTGTATTTGCAGAGCATAATATCATATTATAAAAACATAGTTAATTTAGCATAATATCACATCTTTTTCCTTAAGAGGTTCATCATCATTATCACCGTCATCATCAATCAGCCTATATGTGCCTGCTGAGCTAAAGCCTCTTCTCATATGAAGAAGATATCAGCTCATCATGCTTGTTCAGAGCAATAATAGTCGACAATAAACACTACAAAATACAAATCATAAGTCCAGGTTTACCGACAATTTTTTTATCCGTCATTTCTTAGTCTAAATGCAACATCCACTTTCGCGCCTGCAAGTGTAGAGATGTTCGGAGATATTGACAAACCACCCTACGTATAGACAAGTCAACTATCATAGGCTGTGGTAATATGTACCTAACTTTCCTGTTATAAGCAAAGTATTATTGGGGCTCGAATTCGGAAATCAGACCCGAAAGAGACCCTTTGCTCGGAAGTAACACTTGCTACTTTCGACTAAGGCAGTTACATAACATACTATAATAGTGATGATCAGTATATAATTTGCATAAATTAATATTCATGAGTCTTATAACACCATATTAGTTCAACCTCGCGGTTTCACCCGTGTACTCGATTATCACAACAACAACGACAACCGACCTTCAAGTCCTCAATTCTAAATGCCGATATAGCAACACGCAAAAAGGCGACAACGCACTTGTAACTCCTGGTTTTGCGAGTGTCTTAAGGGTAACGCGGATCGCTACTACCTATAAGGTGATCCCATCTGCTCAAATCAACATTAAAATCAAAACATGCGACATCATTAAGAGAAAGAGAATCGTTAGATTTTCAATTTGTAAATGTTTAACCACCTACCTAAGGTGGTTTAGCACATAGGTACTCTCGAATAAGTTGCGCTTGGTGGTGGCCATAAGCTCACCTCCATACATAAATGGATAGTAGTCTGCATTATGCACCTTAATATGTGCAGCTCTGGCTCCAAAGGATAAATTAAATAAATAAAACAACACAAGTACGTATATGTTTATGCAATCTAAATGTCATTATCGCTATGGTCAAATTCGCCTAGGTACGCCGAAGTGAATAAGGGAGACCATTTGTAACGACTCGTTTAACTTAGCCTAGATGGCTTGAGTGGTATAATTATGAGGACACTATGGTGAAAAAACTAGAATAAGCTCACTCAAACCAATATTGCTACTTTGTTTTTACAGAAAGTATCGATATACAGATCAGAAGTTTAGTAAACTCCATTAAGTGCTAAAGAAAGCGGTTTTAAGCTTGAAATGCACAAAGTACAAGTATTACACTTTTACCATTAACTACAAAACAAACGTCAACAATCTTTGATGGTCCACTGCTGTAACTTCTCTACATAAAAGGACTTGATATAAACTTCTGGCTTGATAAGCGAGTTCGATCGCAGTCCTGTAAAGGGTCTACAAGTTGGTGTTTACGACATCCACGCGAACAGTAAAACTGATGACAAATATGGTGATTACTCTGGTCTGGAATCACCACACAGGTCACTTTCATTTTATTTTTTTCAAGTATCATCATTTTTGTGTTGAAAGTTATGATTGTAATAACTTCGTTGCAACTTGGTAGACCACAATTTTATGGTAACAAACAACTATACTATAATTTCACTCCATAAAACATTTATAGGGCGAAAGTTAATCTAGGCGCCGTATAAATGGTTCTGCCAGTTAGAAAGCATGCTTGATCGGTCCGTCTTTCGTAACTTTGCAAGGATTTATGGTGTCTAAAGAAAGTGACTTGCACAGCTCAAGTTTTGTAATTTTGTAGCATTACTGCTCAGCAATCCGATAAGTGTTCACTAGTTACAAAGAAATTAAAAAGTTGTCTTTTTAGGTGAACGTGTGATGAGAAAGGAAAAACATTGTGTGCTGCCATTTTCTTGCCTTTAACCTTTGATTATTAATATGTCTAGATAGAGCGTCAAGTGCGCGCAAACGTGTCAAAAAGTGTCGGCCAACTGTTGGCCGACAGTTGCTTACCCGCCGATCAGTACATATCGTGTCGCTGTATTGTCACTACGCATTACGCGCGCTAAGAAAAAACTAATAACAGCGATAAAATGACGGTATGTTCTTTAAAAGTGTGCCGGAATTATAAAGGAAGAGCAAAAAATACCAAACACCTCACCTATCATCAGTAAGTAGCCAAGAAAATTACATATATTTAATTTTTGTTTTAATGCTTACCAAATGACGCCATATTTTTTCGTCTTATCAGTGTTGCCAGTTTCTGTTTTTCATTCTCCCATTTTTGTGGGTAAATATTAGTTTGTTTTTGGTTACGTCTACACAATTTCGTTCATGTACTTTTTAAAGTTTTACTGGTCAAATGCAAATTGAACTCGAGTGCAAAGGGTACCCAACAAAAACATTTTTTTTAATATCACTTTTTAAATCGTATATTTTCCTAGAATCTATGGGTACATATTATCTGTAATATATTTTCTTAATTTTAGGCCTAATAATGTCGGAGATAAGACGATAAATTACATAATAACTTCTGAACAGACTTTTTTCTTTATTACCCGACTTCCAAGAAGAGATATGTTTTTTTTTCTCGCGTATATCCTACTATAATAATAAATGCGAAAGTTTGTATGTTTGTTTGTTTCTCCTTCACGCAAAAACTGCTGAACCGATTTTGATGAAACTTGGCAGTAATGTAGCTTATACATCAGAATAACATACAGGCTACTTTTTATACGGGTGCGCGATGCGAGTAGAACCGTGGGGAAACAACTAGTCGTGTATATGTATGAGCGTAATATTCTTTATTATCTCATATTTTTGAAACGATATATATAAATATTATTGCGACACCTTTTCCCCGACGCTTTATTCGCCCGACGTATCGGGCGAGTCCACCGGTCACCACGGTCAGTGCAATTCGGCCGAAACGTCACGTCGGGTAAAGAAAAAGGTATCGTACCATTTTAGTAATAAGTATAATACTGCGAATAAGTCCCAATTTATACAAATATTGTAATACTTGTATAATTTACCTAATTGATTTAATTACAACATTCTACCACCCAATTTTAATTAAATAGGTGTCTTTAATTTATTTAAAACAGCAACAACTTAAATATAAAAATACACTAAAACTGAATAACACTAGGTACATACATACATACAACCCCTAAAGTTTTTTTATTTATTCTATTTTTAATGTTATTATGGAGAATTTGTAGTAGCTGGTATCATTATTCCGTATTGTTTACGCACACAAAGACATAGACGCGCAGTGTAAAACGACGCCTGCACGCACACATGCTTGAAATAGTTGACTCGTTTTCTTTGTTATGATTGTAGGGCGACACTCCATCTAGA